AATGTACTCAGGGATGAACTAAGTGGGTTGGATTGGGGGGTTTGAGTGGATGGGCGGGCAGATCAGGATTCAGCCTCCAATGAAAAGCTACATTTGAAAAAGTGATTTCTCTGCTTTTCAGTTTATATCTTTCAGTGAGTCAAGCAAGACAATCCAATGGGTTGTGTATAAATCACAGCATAAAGTGCAAGGCAGTGAAGATGTCAGCTCTGTATATTGTCCCAGCACTCGCAGTGCCACTCAGTGTTGATGATGACTAATCCTTTAATAGCTTATTTGTCAACAAAGCTGCAGAGAGGATTTATTCATCGTGACAAAGGTAGTTATAGATGCTGCCACAGTGCCATATAGATGGAACCAGTGTGTCAGGCAACAGTTACGAATGCTAATTTGAAACTGCAATCAAATACTAAATGTGTGTCTTTGGACACAAGGAAAACAGTCTGTATGTATGTTGATTAGATCTTGTTGCAGGTTTTGATTTGGATTAAGTTCCTGCACAAAGTAGAAATTTCAGTAGAAATACAATTATTTGAAGATGGAGGTGAGGGACCTGTGGCCATCTAACTTTGTTTTTGGACTACAACTCCCATAATCACAGATCCTTGCCCATGCTGGAGAGGTCCACAATAACTAGAAAGCCACACGCTCCCCTCCTGTTCAAAAGCTGGGTGTGCAAATCTAGGGAAGAAATTTGCTGGAAACCAAGAAACATGATATGATTTTTTTTAAAAAAAGATTATTTCCCCCAATATGATTTACTTAAAATGCAAAAGAAATTTTGCCAGTTCATTTAACTGGCAGTTGTTTATCAAACATATGTGGTGTTTCTTTTTTAAATAAATAAATGAATGAAGAGTTATGGAAGGATCTGGAGTTCATAGCTGTCAAAATGTTATATTATACTCCTTTGCAATACTTTCTGATTTTATCTATTCTATATTAGGTTTATGTACATGGCTACTTTTTATGTATCTTGTCATGGTACTTTGTACTTACTGTGCATGTGTATGTTTGTGTGTGCATTTACCTATTGGAAACCACTTCAAGATCATTTAGATAGTAAGTGGTATATAAATAATAAATAAAATCAAAATGGTTCAGTAATGGAAATCTAAATATCCACTTGTCATTAAAGACAACACATTTTCAGCAAAGAAATTGACAGATATCCATAGGATCAGATGAAAAAGGAAATCCAATAATTTCTTTAAAGAAAATAGTACTCTTTTCTATTCGATATGAATAAGAATAAGTGAATATGAATAAAGCCAAATGAAATAATTATCTTTGTAGTCTTCTTTTTTCTTTTTTACTCCGTTTCCTTTCCTTTTCCTTCTTTTTTCATAACTTGTAATTTGTATATCTGCTAAATTTTCTTTAATGCTAATACAATTTTTTAAAAAATGAAGCCTACCCCCCAAATTATACTGGCATAGTAAGGTCTTTCGTCTTCCTGAAAAAAGAAAAGAGACACTTTCCTTGAACTATTATTCTGTTCTCTTCCCCCGCCTCACTATGTTCACATGTGGTTGAACATTACTTGAAGGCTGATGTTGAGAATTTCCTTAAGAAATTTCATGCTTCATTACTTCCTTTTATGAGAGCAGAGAAATAAATTGCTGTAATGTCAGCTAATGTGATTAAAAGTGTTCACATTTTTCAATAAAGAAATCACTGCCCTGATTTGCTGAACTCTTTCCCAAATACATTCACAATCACCCTTTATTCCACAATATCGTCACAGAGCATACTGAAGTATTGCTGTGCTGGATTAAGGAAAACAGAGTGAGCAAGTTAGTGAGGCAGGGGAAAACATTTTAGATGTACCTCATGAGAGATGAACCTCATGAGTATGGTTTACAAAAAGTTAAATAAGTTGACTTGGCCGTCTGGTCAACCACAATGGTCCATCAGCCTGGATTGTTGTAGACTATGTGCATGGGTTCAAATTCTCAGTTAGCTGTGGTCTGGATATGGGAGCAGCTGTAGCTCAGAGTTAGAACATGCAGAAAGCCCCAGATTTAGCCCTGAGCATCTCCAGATAGGGCTGAGCGATTCCTGCCAAAATCCTGCAGAGCTGCTGTTAGTCAGTGGTAGTGGTAGTGAACTAGATAGACCAATGGTCTGACTCAGTGCAGAATAAGGCATCTCTCTATGTTCCTATGACCTGGGGCCACTTCATACATGCAGACTTTGTTTTCAATGTGTGTTGGATGTCATGTTTTAATGGGAGCTTACAAGTGTGGAGTCTAACTTGCACATGCCATTCCTAAACCATTTGTTGAAGGATGGTGGTAATGTTTGGGCTAGACACATTGCATTTGATGAATGTGGACCTGGTGGAATCTACACACATATAAAAAATGTTCTGACAATGCTTAAAAACAAACCAACAAACCATGTTTAAAAATACATTGAATTTTCCATTAGGCTCACCATCGCCATCCAGTGTCGCATTGTATGTTGCACAACGTTTTATTTGCAGCTGTATAGCTGAGTCCACAGATAAAATTGTGACATTCAGTGAAAGGACACCAAAGAACTAGGGCCACTTGCTGTGATCACAGTCCTCCACTGGATGTGGAAATCTGTCTGGTTTCCACATGGTTAAAGTAGGAAACCTCTTTCTAGATCAGGTGCAGGGAACCTTTGACCCTCCAGATGTTGCTGAACTGCAACTCCTATCTGCCCAGCAAGCTTGGCCAAGGATAACAACATTTGTAGCTCATCAACATCTGGAGGGTCAAAGGTTCCCCACACCTGGGGTGTGTGTGTGTGTGTGTGTGTGTGTGTGTGTGTATGACTGGGCACACTTATCTTTCACAGTACATGCATATTGTATACAGATGCTGGGAAGCTGTAGTCTATCTTCCCAAGTAACCTGGTAACTTGATAACCAGGCTTTAAAAAGACTTCCTAATCTGACCGGAAATAGTTTGGATCCCTTTTCAAACAATCAAACCATAATTAGATTTCAACAGGTCCTAAATCTGCATTCTGGAATCTTGTTGTTTTTGTTACCATTCTTATTAATAAATATGTAACTAAATGAGCTTCTAGAGCAGTGGTTCCCAAAGTTAGCAGTGGGATTACCTAGCAGGGTGCTAAGAGACAAAGTGGCAGCAAAGGTGTGCTGGAGGTAAAAAAGCTGTTGTCGCTGGATCCATTTCATCAATTTTGTTGAATTAGTTAAACTAATAAATAGTTTTAATTGGGTTTTGAATATATGTGCAATTAATTGTGACTGTTCTGAATTTTATTGTGTTATCCTTATGGTGTCCTGCAAACTGCTATTCTGAATACAGTAATGGTTTTTTATAAGATAGGGTAGAGGATGTGTTTATGGAACCGAGGAGGAGATGGCCAAAAAAGTTTGGGAACCATTGGTCTAAAGAATGGGGGGGGGGGATAGTTTGAACATGTGTTTGTTGCAGTCCAAAGAATTTACATGCAAGACAGAGAATATGTGCTCATCTTGTTTCTGTTCATCTTGTATCTGACTTCTTTAGCCCTGAGGTAGACTGTAGGTAGGAAGCAGCACACTTTGTGGGAGGGTGGTGGAGAAGAGATTAATAAAAGTATTTTGTTTCATCACAAGCTCTATGGGACACGTATAAGGCATTGATGGCTGTTTGTTGAGGACAGGAGAGTGCCCTGAGCAAGAAGAAAGCAAACATACTATGAAAATTGTCAGCAGGCCAGAGAAGAAAGAGGAGTATTATTACAATAAACCTATTGATTGTGCATTTAGCTGCTATGTGAGATGATGACCTCAATAATGTATGTTTACAAAGTACGCAGGTAACAAATCATAATCTTGCATTATGGGAATCATTTTAAACAGAGATTTACAGTACTTCCTAAAAGTGTGCCCTAAGCCAGGAGATAAGTCTTCTAAGCCTGTATTTACTACATGGAACACATGTTTAACTCTGGGTGATGTGATTTCTCTTGCTGCTAAAGCTGCTACTGCAGCTCTGGGGCTCTGCAAAGATGGACATTATCTGTGAGTTAGTTTGTTTATAGTATAGCCCACCTTTCCATATATAGGAAGGCCAGCAATATATGTGCATTGAATATGCATGTGATTGAATTGCTTTCTTTAAATGCGCCTGCGTATTGTGTAGCACAGAGTATGTCGGACCTGAATAGTACCAGAGGAATGTGGGTTCAGATGCCCACTTAGCCATGCAGGAGCCGTGAAGGGGCATACAAGAGGAGATACTCCCAAGCTGCATTTTAAAATATTTAGCATTAAAAATAAATAAATGAAAATGCCTGCAGCAAAGAGGGCACTTTAAAAACAACAACGCAAAACTGCATCTTCTCTTTACATAAGAAAGGGGATGAAATTCAATTGCTGATCTGTTGATTCATAACATTAGATGAAAGGAGAAACTCGGCACAGCTGCTCAAAGAAGAAAGATGCAGAGAGCAAGAGACAAAGGGGGGGGGACGACAGAAAGCATCTGTCAAAGTATCTCAGGGACTAGAAGGTACGACCACAGTATGTAGCAATAACCCCAAACTTGGATGGCAATAAAAGGGTTTAAGACACATTCATGGGGGATAAGACTATTCAATGGCTGCTAACACTGGTGCCTATGTACCACTTCTGGTATTGGACGTGGTATGCCTCCCAAGGTATGCAAGTTTCTGGGAATCACAAGTGTGATGTTGCTCTCACACCCTACTTGTGGAAATCCCATAGGCATTTGCATGGCCACTGTGAGGACAGAGTGCAGGACTAGATGGGCTTTGGGGGTGATCCAGAAGGGCTTTGGGCTAACTCCAACTTTGGAGGGCTTCCTTGAACAAACTGTTACTTGGTTCCCTATCAGATTTTGGCTAGCAGGCCTATCACTGTGTGTTGTCCTGAGTCAACACCTGGATGGAGCCTTGGAAGGGATAGAAGGATGTTAATATCCCAGTGTTGTTGTGTTCCCATGGAAACTAATTGTTAGACCAATTCTCTTAAGTCTTCTGAATACTTGAAAGGGGAGGGAAGCAGATTTCACCCCCCTCAGCCCCCACTGTGGATGTTGCAGTTGGCATGAATACACTCTATACACTTAAAGTACCCCTACAAAGAAATAATTGGAACTTCAGTTTATCCAGCTAGAATTCCCAACACCCTTAACAAACTACTGTTCCCAGGATCCTTTGTGTGGGTGTAGGTGCTTTATATACACAGAGGAAGAGACAGAGAGCTGAGTTTGGGTTCTTCTTGCGATCCTAGCTGTCTTCTTGTAGATCTAACATGGGACTTTGGTTATCTGTTTGGTTATCTGTTGCAGTGTTTAAACTGTGCCTCCTCCTGTGCCCAACCTGTACAGTTGTAAACAAAAGAAAATATGATAAAATGTCTCTAAGCCTCCAGTGACTTTTCTTTCAAAGAAAACCAGACTTGGGTAAGCCCTGCACCCCTCACTATTTGAGAAGCGGGGTGAGAATAATGCTGGTGTGAGAGTGGGATTGTGTTTACACAGAAAAGAACTGTCAGCTGATGTGACTGAGCCAGAATGGAGGAATGAGAAGCAACACATTCTGGTTCCAGCAGTTTCAGACGGCTGCAGTTCCTGCACTCCAGAAGCAAATTCTGGCAGTGAGAGCAAGCCAGAAACCTATGCGTTTCATAGTGTAAAAGAAACTGGGGGATGAGAGGTGCCTTAAGTTTGGACTGGGAAGGTAGGCAGAGGGATAGAAATTTCTTGCTGCTAACTTGAATGGACTAGGACAGCTTGTTTTGAACAATGTTCCACTGGACAGATGGATAGTTAGTTCCAAGGAATGGATTTGACTGGTCAGGGTAACAGAAGAAAGAAAAGCAAACCATTTGCCCTTGAGGGACAATATGATTGGAAGGATGTCCCTTAGATCTTCCTGCAGCAGTGCCTTGAAAGGCTTTGTGCAATACAAAGCTTTGGAGCTTCATGTAAACCCTGGATAAAAAGTCTGCCCAGGACAATACACTGTTTGTAGATGGGAGCTTGTGCTTTTTTGGACTACCTATTGATTTTTAGGAATCAGTCCAACAGCTTTCCCACAGTAGGTGGTTTGGTCATGTCTAAGATTCACTAGAATGTAAATTTGCAAAGATTATAACAGCAGAGATTTTGTGGGCCTGTGCCTTCTGATGGTAAAGAAAAAATGGCTTGCACTGCAGCAACGCAAGAGATGGGAAAGATCTGTAATGTCTTATATGAAGATATCTTTCTGTAATGCAGTTCTGATGTCACAAAGTGGAACTTCTCATAGCTCTGAGATGCGGGGTGAAAGCAACAATACATTACGCAAGGTTCAGCTGCTCCGTGTACCATCAAATATTTCATATTAAAAATTAACGAGTCGGTGGCTGCCAGAGCAAGATGCAAATGGATGGAACGGGAGTTTGGGTCACCTTCTTTAGCACCAAGAGATTTAATGAGAGATGAGTTTTCCATTACAGTTGAGAGTACTGCAGTGAAGGATTAAGGAATATATCTATCTTGAAAACAAACCCCTTCCTGATGGTTCTTTGGCTATTTTGCCCCTCCACCCACCCGCTTAATACGGCACAAATAATATAAGTAACAAAGGGCTTCATCTTTTTTTTCCCCATCTGCAATGCACTTCTTCATGAGGAAAAAAATGACTTATGTCCAAGATTGAAGCTTTGCAGCTGCTTTCCATCCTGCCTCTCAGTCAGGTTATAGTGGAACAAGGTAAAAACAAATTTGGAAAGAAAGACACCCAGGGAAGTACAATGAATTTTCTTCTCTCAACCCAGCCAGCAAGGGAGATCTATATGCACATAATAAAGCACAGGACCCAGGAAGCTGCCTTATATTGAGGCACAGCCTTAGTCCTTCTAGCTCAGTATAGTCCCCAGGGACTGGCAGCTATTCTCCAGGGTTTCAGGAAAGGTTCTCTTCTTGTCCTTCTGGAGATGCTGAGGATTGAACCTGGGATCTTCTGCATGCAAAGCAGATGCTCTACCACTGAGCTATGGCCCTCAGACTGGTCAAGATTCCAGTCAAGGAGTGTTTGAATGGTAAGACGTTTAGGTGGAAATGCAGTAGGTGAAATGGCTTGCCTGTGCTGAAAGCCAGTCTCTTTCAAAGATGGTCTCTTTCAAAATATTATATCAGCTAAAAAAATTAAAAATCCCTCTTTTCCCATTAGGACCAAGCAAGCAACACGTTTTTCTGGAATGCACACATAAATGCCCCCACCCCCGCCTTTTGTAAGCCCAACTGACAGGACCCCAAAAGAAGATCCTGCCCATTTTATACTTTTCCTTTCTAAGTTCCTGCAAGTGGCAAGCGCTAAGGCACCCATGTCTGTGGTACTCAGCCTACATGCTGGGTATCACTTCCATCCCTCACCTCCATTGCCTCTTTTGAGCAGATTGTTATCCTCCATCCACCTGCTCTCCTGATCTACAACATTAAAATGGGGCAGTATTATTATTAAAATGTATTACCTGCCGTTCGGGGACGTGGGTGGCGCTGTGGGTTAAACCCACAGCCGATCAGATCAGGACTTGCCGATCAGAAGGTCGGCGGTTCGAATCCCCACGACGGGGTGAGCTCCCATTGCTCGGTCCCAGCTCCTGCCAACCTAGCAGTTTGAAAGCACATCAAAGTGCAAGTAGATAAATAGGTACCGCTCCGGCGGGAAGGTAAACGGTGTTTCCGTGCGCTGCTCTGGTTTGCCAGAAGCGGCTTAGTCATGCTGGCCACATGATCCGGAAGCTGTACGCCGGCTCCCTCGGCCAATAAAACGAGATGAGCGCCGCAACCCCAGAGTCGGTCACGACTGGACCTAATGGTCAGGGGTCCCTTTACCTTTACCTATTACCTGCCGTTCACCGAAAGGTGCCAGGGTGGGTGGATCACAACAATCAAAACACAACATGGATATTAAAAACACAATATTACACAGTTTAAAACAACTTAAAGTATGCCTTTGTCTTTGTTTACACAGAAGTTCACTGCTTGTTTGCTGCATTTTAAATATGTTACTAGAACCTAGGGGACTGTATCACAGTATGGATTAGATAAAAAATGGCTGTTCCTTTTCCAGTTTCTGATATCTCTGTTTAATGCTGCTTGGTTATTAGAAGAGAACTGGCACAGATCTGACTCTTTCCCTTAAAGACACTGTAAGCCTGAATTCCTGCATATTATTCAAGATAACAAAACATAGGTGAGTTAACCTATAATTTGAGATGGGCAAGAGGCAGAATAAAGCAGACAAGTTTCTACCACTTTGGTATGATATTATTAATTATATTAACAGCAGGGACAATGACAAGGAACCAGCAAACCGGCTTTCATCTGGAACACTTGAATACCTATTGCTAGAAATTTAGGATTTATTGTACATGTATATATGGACATTCCATGTCTATTGTGAATCTATCCTGTTGTTTCTGCATTTTGATACATTTTTCCTCCAAAGTGGCTTCCATCTGAAATGAGAAAAAGAACGAGCAAGCTGCATTTTAAGCTGGCAATGTGCACACAGCCATAGTCGTAGCCATTTGCTCACTGAGGGGGAATGAAATCCTAAGCACAAAAGGTTGTGCAGAATTTTGTTTACTACAGCTAAATATGCCCAAACAGAAAACAGACGAATTTAGGGATAAGAAAAAGCTGCAAAAAGCTGCTAATTACACCATGCAAAAAAGAAAAAAAATCTCTGAGAATTATCCATTGATTGCAATTAAGCTGACTCTATTTTTGTGACATTGGCAAGATCTAAGAAAAGAGAGAGCTTGCTAGTCAAAAGAATCCCCCCACCAAGCTCTCTCAGTCCTAATGAAAAGTTATGTGTCTAAGGCCAATAGGCATTTATTTGGATAGCCAGTGTGGAGATGAAACAAATCACCTTGAGTCCCTCAACACACACACACTACAGTTTTAGCATGTAATATACGTCCAACTCTAAAGTAAGGTCAGGAAAAGCCCCCCCTTTTTTTGGAGGGGGAAGATGGTAATGTTTTATACATCTTGAAATCTTAGCAGACTGAAGAATCTAGCGAAGAAAATGCTGGGATGGGGGAAAGGAGAGGAAGAAATGGCTGAAGCACTCGGCACAACCATTTCCCCCCTTTGATTTATTTCCCTTTCCTTTGATCACCTCACCGCTTGGATCTTCATACTGCATTTCTTTTTGCTGTGGTTGAGTGTATAGCTCATCCATCCATGCTTAGACAACAAGTAGTAAAGCATAACATGATACTGCAGATAAACTGGGTTCTGGTACTCTATACTGCCTCAGCTCTTTGCATTTGGCATATTATACACTGAAGCAAACCTTTCGTTACATTTTATTTACTTCATTTTATTTCTTACATTTATATACCACCTTTTCTTCCACAGAGCTCAATGTGGTACACATGGTTCTCGTCCCCATTTTATGCTCACAACAACCCTGTGAAATAGGTTAGGCTGCGAGACAGTGACTGGCCCAAAGTCACCCAGTGAACTTCATGGTTGAGCAGGGATTTGAACCCTGGTCTCCTAAGTCATAGTCCAACACTCTAACCATATTACACTACAGATTGCAATCCTAAGCACACAGTGAGTAAGCCCTGCTTAACACAGGGAGGTTTAATTCAGAGTATATATGCATAGTATTGCACTATTACTCATTTAGTTTTACATGATTTTAATATTGTATTTTTAAATTGCTGCAACTCAACCTGGGTTCTCATGGTGAAGGGTGGGTAGGAAATCTCATTATTATTACAACTTGTGCAGTTCTTACACTCAGTGGTGGAGCTTCAAGCTCTGGCGGGGGTGGTGGAGAGCAGGCGGGGGTGTGGCGTGCATCCCAGGGCATGGCGTGCGTCCTGGGGGTGTGGTGCACTGCCTGTGGGGGCGTGGCACCCAGCGCAGGGGGGCAGCCTCTATGGCACCCCACCGGGATCATGCCACCAAGGGCGGTACGCTCCCCCTGCACCCCTGTTCCTCTGCCAGTGCTTACAGTTATCCTGACTGTATACTGTAGTACAGGGATGGGGAACCTTATAGGCCCCATGGGCCAGATCTTTATTTACCTGCCACCTGCATGGGCCAACTTTGACAGGTAGGCAAGACTGATAGCAGAATTGAACTCTTTATCCATCAGCTAAAGGATGGGTGGATGAAGTCATTCCTGCTAGGTGAAGGGATTGACTGTATGTGCAAATTCTCTGTGCACGCAGCCAAACCAAGCAGAACTGAACTGCTTTCTGCAGGAATCGACTATTCCCCACAGGATTGACTGTGTGTGAAGTTGAAGCAAGCAGAATTGACCCTCTCCCTGTCCATCAGCTGATGGGAGGCGGAGATGTTGAATTCTGCTGGGTGCAGGGAACCACCATGCCCACAAACCTGCCCATCAAAGTGAAGTAACCTGTCCATTGATGTTATGTCACCTGATTGACAGGTGGGTGTGGTGGTTGTTCTTGTTGTTGTTTTTAATGGCATCACAGGTAAAATTGGAACCCCTGGTAGGCCAGGACTCGCCATGTGGTGAAGGTTACCCACTCTGGTTTAGTAGATTGTTTATCAGCTGGCTGAATGAGATAAGCATGTCAAAATGTAGGAAGGGGAAGGCACACCCATGGCGGTGGTGGCATGGCACAACTATGGCAGAGGTTGGGACACACCCACAGAGGTGGCAGGGGCAAAACATCTTGGGTGGGCCCCGAATGCAGGCTTGTGAGTTACACATAACTCTATATTTACATACCCATGGGTTGACAGATATGAGTTGAGTGAAAGCTGTCACCTAAACCCAATTTTATACTTTTTAAATCATACTACTCATCTGCTGTGATCTAGACAGCCAAAGAAGTAATACTTCTGTAACTAAGAATTCTAACAACTGAAAGCCACAAAATGAAACTGAAATACTGCAAAACATAATATATGCACTCATCACTGCTGATCTCATATTTTGCTTTTGATTCTACAGTACTTTTGAATGCCAAACACAAAAAGGCTAAGCAGATTAACTGATATGTTTTAGGCTGAAACTTAAATGGGAGTGTTTGATGGAACTCAGTGGGACTTACATCCCTGTAAATAGATACAGTATAGGTTTAGTTTGAATGTACTATTTTGGTGGCAAGGTAGCCTGTGTAAATGTTTGCCCTTAAAAAAAAAAGGTAGTATACTTCTCCATGAGGGTGGAGAAACCCCTGTACTGTATATACATGGACAGCAAATGCAAGTGCACCCCAAAGAGTATAGGTTCTAGAGTATAAGGTCTCTAGGTGCACTCTGTACTCCGAAAAAAATGAAGGGGACAAATTGTGTGTATGGACCTATATACACTATGGTGAAGCTGGCACATTTCTGTGCAAATGACACATTGAAAACATGGAGGTTGAAAGCAGGGCCAATTGACATGATACCAGTCTCACCTCTCACTTATTTATTTGTGCATTCAATGACCATCTGCTCAAGACTGTTGTGAAGTCACAGTGCATGAATGCATCAGAGTAACAGGTTCTGTGGGTGTTTCTCCTTTTTGGAATTTTCAGTCTCACTGGGTGAATACAGGCAGCCATTTACTAAGTGGTTATGCATTGAACAACTGAGCGTGTAACCATGTGATAAGCTAGTCTCCTGTATCATTTGGCCAAATGATTAGAATTCTACTATTCCTCTGGTTCCCAGATTTCTGATACAGAAGTGTTTTGGCAGGCTGATATAGATGGCCAGCTAATCAGCTGGTTACATGCACAGTTGTCATGGTCTGGCTGGATTTAGAGGAGTGGTGGGAGGCACCAGCTGGGGAAACCCCAAGGGAAGAAGGCTCAGAGCCTGGGGATTAGTGGTGGGACAACGGTGCGTGGTCAGAGGGAGAAGTCTGGTAGGAGGAGGTGTCAGAAACTAAAGAGGCAACAGGGTTTAGTGAACAGGAAGAGGCTGTGGCAGAGAGCAGTCCAGAATCAGAAGTGGAGGCTGGAGAAGAGGGGGGTCAAGTGGCAGAGATGGGTCAGGCTGGTGAGGAAGTCAGGCTGCCTCCCCCTCCTGCAACAGGCAGCTGCCCTCCATCCTGGTCTCCCAGAACCCAAAGAGGCATGTAGCGGGCAGAACAAAAAGAGGCAAGACGAAGGCGTCTCAGGTTGCTTGGGAAGGACCTAGAGAGCTGCGGGAAGGTGGGGACCTTCAGTCCTCACAACTGCCTCATTGGCACAAGATCTACCAGGAACAGTTACTGTGTTCACTTGACCTGGCCTACTGAGCTGTCTTGTTTCTTTGAATAAAGAGAGTTAACTTCACTGCCACCATGTGAGTTGTTATTGCTGACCTGCTCCTGACACCCACCCTGACAACAGTGTGGCAGACGATAACTTGATAAACCCAACTAGTCAATCTATACAATCTATTTCTGTGCTCAAGAAACAGAAAATCCCAGAGAACAAACCAGGGCCTCTTTTTCAGATACAGGAGCCTATGCACAAGTCACTCCATTGTCTGGAAACATCTTATAGGTATTATTGATGCCTGTAACTAGCAGCAAACCAACCATGTGCACTGTGCAGGTCTGCAGTCCAGGAACATGTCTTGGAGCTACTTGTTTGTCTTAAACATCTTAACAAGGTTTTCTCAGACTTGAGATGGATGGGTTAATCTATTACTGGGTTCATGTCAGTTTCACATATCCATTTGTAAGTCCATTCCAACATTAATGTGTATTCCATGTAAACTGCTTAGAGGTTATTGATGATTAAGTGCTATATAAATCCTGTTAAATAAAATAAATATGTAATTTTTAAAAAACTGGATGGAAATTAAAATATAAAAATGTTTCAAATATGTATTTAAAATGCAACATTTCTAAATATATTTTATCCTAAACGATTATTTTTTGCTATTCTTTTGAGCTGAGAACCGTATCACAAATTTCAGAAAAGTATGAATTCCAAAGGATAATAATGTCTCAATCTACACAATCAATCAGGAGGCGTGCAGTTCACAAAGATCAAATTCCTCAAGGATCCCTGTCTTGGAGACAAGAGTGACTCCGAGTGCTCCTGTCTTTCCAAGCAGTGAGCTCTGCTCAGCACCCTCTACGATATTTGAATTCTCCTGAACTGCAGGAAGAAGCAAGCATGCACTGGTCTAGGAATTAGATAACTCAAAGCAATGACTCATCCAACAGCTATGTAACATTTGTGGTTAAAAACACTTTGCCAGAAGATGACTAAAAACTGTTGGCAGCTGCTTGAAAAGAATCATGACTGGGCCTAAACGACTGGATGCGTAAGCGAGTTCTGTTTAACTGGAGAAAAGTTAGGGGTGGGGAAAAAATGTCCCTGTTTACTTGGATTACTACAGCACTGTTGCAGCCTCAGGGGGCCTTTCAACCACTGCATTCGGTGGGGCCAAGTTCAGACTGAAATTCCCTTGTTCAAGCTTGGCCCTGTGAGTCTCTTTTGAAGGCCTCAGTTGGCAGTTCCTGGATAGCTGAAGGGCATTCATTCCTGAGTCAGTGTTCAACATACAGCAGGAGGAAGAACCAATTTCCAGCACTTTTCTTTCCAGCAGAAGGAATTAAAAACAGAGAGGCAGACTTTTTGTCCGAAGTCTAGACTGAGAATTATTTGGAGCTAACGCAGAACCTGTTTATCTTTTACTCTGGGTCCCTTCACCTCCCATGACTCTTTCAGCATCTTTCTTGGATAGATCATGTTTTTAGATTTCCACCCAGCTTCCCCTCTGACCAAGAAACCCAGATGAAGCATTGCAAACATGTGAATGAGGACAGGAAAAGAAAGCATGTATTTTACACAATGCACAATAAACATTCAGAATTCAAGACGCAGTGTAGCCAGGAGCTTAACTAGCTCTGTTCAGTCATTCCTCTAGGTATTTATCTATACTGATAGAGAAGGACCGCATCCACTGAACCTGCTTCTAGCCTCCAGATCAGAGATAAGCCCTTCAGCTGTTGTTATACTGCAATCCCCATCAGCCCCAGCCTGCATTCCCAGTGGTAAGGGTTGAATGGAACTGTAGCCCAGCAATATCTGGAGGGCCACATGTTCCCAGCCATTGCTCCAGACATGCGTCCCTGGGTGCACCAAACTACCAGGTATGAACATGAAAAGAGCCCTGCTGGATCAGACCAAAGGCTTGGCTTGTCCAGCATCCTATTCTCACAGTGGCTAATCAGATGGGAGCTCAGAAGCAGGACCTGAGTGCAACAACACATGTGATTCAAAGGCATACTGCCTCCAACACTAGGGTTAAGTAAAGGTAAAGGTACCCCTGCCCGTACGGGCCAGTCTTGCCAGACTCTAGGGTTGTGCGCTCATCTCACTCTAGAGGCCGGGAGCCAGCGCTGTCCGCAGACACTTCCGGGTCACGTGGCCAGCGTGACAAGCTGCATCTGGTGAGCCAGCGCAGCACACAGAACCCCATTTACCTTCCCGCTGGTAAGTGGTCCCTATTTATCTACTTGCACCCGGAGGTGCTTTCGAACTGCTAGGTTGGCAGGCGCTGGGACCGAACGACGGGAGCGCACCCCGCCGCGGGGATTCGAACCGCCGACCATACGATCAGCAAGCCCTAGGCGCTGAGGTTTTACCCACAGCGCCACCTGTGTCCCAACACTAGGGTTGCCATATTTCAAAAAGTGGAAATCCAGACACAAAAGTTGTTGAGTGTTTTTGGCAAAGTTGTTGCCGTTTTTGAGCTATTTTGAGCTATTTTTAAGGGAAATCAGCAAAAATGACACTGCTGGCATGGCTTGCCATGCGTCCGGATTTTCCCGGACATCTACTGATGCGAGTAGATAAATAGGCACTGCTGCAGAGGGAAAGTAAACAGCATTTCTGTGTGCTCTGGCACTCGTCAGTGTTCTGTGTGCCAGAAGTGGTTTAGTCATGCTGGTCACATGACCCAGAAAAGCTGTCTGTGGACAAACGCTGGGTCCCTCAGCCTGAAAGTGGAGATGAGCGCTGCACCCCATAGTCGAATTTGACTGGACTTAACCATCCAGGGACCCTTTACCTATTAATCTGTATGCACCAAAATACTTCTTTTGATTTATGCACACCAAGCTGTTGATATAAGGAACAAGAGCAGGGATTTTTTTTTATTCTTTGTTAAATCTGGTCAGCTAGCAATTCTACCAGCAATGCAGCTCTTATCTTTTTAAGAAAGAGCATTTGTGAAAATATGGAGTTTGTTTTCTGTTGCCACTGCTTACTAAAAATAGCTTTCATACAGTTTGGTTTCTCTGGCTGTCTCTGATATCCATTTTTTTTTTTAAAGGTACCCAGAAAAGTTGTGGTACAGTCCCACAGACTTTCCTCATTAAGTTTACTGAATGCCAACAAGCCCTTCCTCTGACTGGCATCTGTTATCAAGCAGGGCTTTACTTTAAATTAATTTGAGCATATTTGCCTGATTTTAATGGATGAAGCTTTGTGGCAGTTCGTCAACTATGCAATAAGCCAGTCATTTGGTGTGTGCAAACACTTATTTCCTTCCAGCCAAGGTCTGAGCTGAGCCCTGGCATCATTCAGAAAAACCTCCCCACACCTGCTTTTAATTTCCTATATTTCTGGTAATGAACATACGCTGGACCTTGAACTATAGATTCTGAGTACAAAATGTCATTTATTTTTCTTTTCCACTAAAAGCTGGTGTTGGTGTGTTTCCCCCCTCTTTCTTTCGCAAGTTTTATTCTTATAAAACATTAATACACAACAGAATTTCAGCAAACATTTCTGTGCTCTGTGCAGCATTTCATAGCATTAACTAGCCAGTTAATTTGGACTTGCTGAACCAAACTGAGATTATGGGTTTTGGAGAGGTGAGCAAAAGAAAAGGGTGAGGTGAGAGGATGCGCAGAGAAAAAGAGACCCTCTGTGGAGATGTTGAGCCTGTGTGTCACATGATCAGCAATGTTGATTCACTGCTGTTCCCCGTTTTGCATTTAGACAAGCGGAAAGGGCAAAGAGTTGTTGAATTGCTGGTTCAGCAAGGACAAAGCAATATAGGTTGCTCCTTCCAAGCTTACTATAGAGATATTATGTGCTGCTACTAAGCGCATGTACACACTGCATGATAATGTGCATTTGGTGCTGGATGAAGATGCCTTTTTTGGTTGCTGTGCATATGATGTCATCCCCATGACATCCCTGTCCCACACTATTTGCCAATCTAAAGTGAATTCTGCCGGAATGGCTATAATCTGTTTTGTGCCAAGAATGCACTTCTGAAACGCTTGCTGTCTACATGTTTATACACAGAGTGCTTTCTCAGGTCACTTCCTATTGGAGCAGACATAATGATGTTGCAGGACTGTGTCGCTCCCCTCACTATGTTTAACTTGCCTATGAATGAAACAGGCAAACAAGGAAGCAGTATAGTAAGTTATATTGATATATATCCTCTGTATATCATTATATCAATGTACCAGTTTCCAGCCCCTCTCTTTTGAAGCCTTTGAACGTGTGTGTGTGTGTGTGTGTGTGTGTGTGTGTGTGTCTTTAAAAAATGGTCTGTGGAAACAGTAATTGAAGGACAGGGAGTAGATAGCACACTGATTTGAAAACATGGCCACCTACAGACAACATGGATATTAGCTGACACTTTAGATGATGTTATTGCGTGAAGCAAACTACTACGTACTGTGAAAAAACTGCCCCCTGTGCATTTCAAATGCTACGTGTGTATACAGCCTACAGCTGCAATCCTATGTAACACCCACTTGCGAGTAAGCCACATTGAACACGGTGTGGCTTGCTTCTGAATAAACATGTCCATATAATTATGCTGTGAGTAGCTTACAATAAAATACAAAAATGATCATGTTTAATGCAGAGATGGCGAACTAGTGTGGCCCTCCAGATGTAGTCATAAATGAATCCCTATTGTGGCCCAGCTCATTGTGAGGGATGATGCGAGCCAAAGTCCAGCAACATCTGGAGAGCCAGAAGTTCCCTATCCCAGTACAGTGGTACCTCAGGTTACATACGCTTCAGGTTCCATATGCTTCAGGTTACAGACTCCGCTAACCCAGAAATAGTGCTTCAGGTTAAGAACTTTGCTTCAGGATGAGAACAGAAATCGTGCTCCGGTGGCGCAGCGGCAACAGGAGGCCCCATTAGCTAAAGTGGTGCTTCAGGTTAAGAACAGTTTCAGGTTAAGTACAGACCTCCGGAACGAATTAAGTACTTAACCTGAGGTATTGATGCATTCTCATCATGAAGTGGTGCAAGCAGGGAAAGGACTCTTCAAGTGAGATTCCCAGAAGGAAAAAGTTCTTACTTGGGTAAGAATTTGTTGAGCTGGGTGTTTAAAGGTGAGGAGGACTGAAAAAGGACAGATCCTTGGATGGAGAAGGAGGGGAACTACAGCAGACAGGGGTGGAAGAGAAGTTGCCTAGGAAACTAGTTTCAAAAAAATTTAATTCACAGAAAAAAATGTTTCAAAATAGGTCTTATGACTCTTCTTTGTGCGTCTCTGTCTGTGACTTTCCAGCTGGGGGACGGGAATTAGAAGAGAAGCCTCAACAAAGGGATCAGGTGTACAAGCCTCCCTGGGACAGAGATTGCCTAGGAAACTAGTTTCAAAAAAAATTAATTCACAGAAAAAAATGTTTCACAATAGGTCTTATGACTTTTCTCTGTGTGTCTCTGTTTGTGACTTTCCAGCTGGGGGACGGGAATTAGAAGAGAAGCCTCAACAAAGGGATCAGGTGTACAAGCCTCCCTGGGACAGAGATTGCCCATTGCTGCCGATTTTCCTTAAAGTGTCTGGCAGGGAGAGACTGGCGAAGTGGCTTTCTGAAAGGGAGAGGGTTGAAGTGGCAAGAAGTTTGGCACTATGCAGTTGCATCAGCGAGAGTGCTGGATTGGCTCCACTGTACCAGCACTGACCTCTCCACCGCCGTCCCCATCCCAGGAAGCTGCAATGATGCTGGGGCCTGGAGGCTGACAGATGGTGAAGCCCAAGAGCCTTAGCTAACAGACTGTACAAGCTAGTTGTGCCACCTAGAAGTTTTTTAAAATATATTTTATTTATTTAGGTAATAAATATATATGTTTGTTGTTGGCAGCCATCTGTCTTGAGAGACAATGGAGTGTGCCTCCGCAAGTGAAGTCAAACCACTGGAGAATCACAGCAGCTACTGTGACTGCAGGGAATGGTAACTCATAACTGCTCCCTCCTGTGTTGCTTTTGCTGTGTTAGCAGCACCAAAGTGACCTCCCCAGGGCACAAGACTGGGCAGTGTCTATGGAGGTCCTGGGCTGCCCAGATGATAAGACATCCCTGCCCCCAGGTTTTGGTCCAAAGGAAAGCAGAGCAATACATTTCGACCACCTTGGCTGCAGGAGTTGCTGGAAGGAGGCATACAAGACACCATCCAACTGTCCTAGGGACTCCAATCCAGATTTGTGTGGTGTTCACTCCTTAGCCTTTTCTTCTCCCGAAGATGTCCCACAATGCAGTGGACAGAGATTTTTCCTTGGGGTTTACCCCCAAAGCCTTTCTCACAAATGAGTACAACCACAGGGCAGAAGTTTTCCTTCTCCTAGATGAGATACCTTCCCAGGTTGACCAGCCCCATCGGCCCAATATGTATATATAGCTTCATATTTCAAGGAAATTCTCTAAGCCGTTGACAACATTCTAAAATGCTACTTTTAAAAGTCAAATACAAAAGTAAAGTAAAAAGTCCACATTTTAGAGCAGCACAGATAACAATTAAATAATATACCCTCTTAAACATCAGTGTAAACTGAAACAATTAACATATGGGGACTATACCCTTAGTAGCTTTTTCTTCTAAAGACAGTGGGTGTTAATTAAAGGCTGTAGCCTATTCCAACAATAACTACTAGCAGATCCAAAATACAAAAATGCAGCAGAGGCAGACAGTCCCACCCACCAAATATACAGGCATGTATTTATAGGTAGAAGCAGCACTCTCACATAAACGTCATAGTAAAAGGTGTAACAAAATTTCACTTTCTCCCGAAGCTCCCTGCTCTCGCCAGGAAGCACCCACAACCCCTCCCCATCCAAATATCAATAAAAACAAACAATGAAAGGGAGTGGCACCATCACAGTCGTTATAACCCAAAAAGGTGATCCACAGTGCCACTGGTTGTCCACCTTGCAAGGGAGATTAAGTAACTTGACCCATATTTCTATAGCTAAATTTGGAAAGAATGAATTTGTTGGACTTATCCAGACTTCCTCTCGCCCTCTGCCCCCCCACCTGAGGAAAACCACTGGAGCAAATGGCAATTCAGATCTTCCTTGGATTGCCATTTCTTCCAATCTATTGCTAAAGAGTGGGTTTTCCCCTGGGAAGGAGTAGGGCAAGTGGTAAACCGCTTGGATCCAAGCCTAAAAAGTGTGAGTCAAGCAGAAAACTGCTCAGAACAGTATTTTATAGGCACTGTACAGGTGGAAGTGAGGATGAGCTCTTGCCCTGCTTTAGTAAAAACCTTTTTTAATTTAAGGATACCGTGGGCTTGTCCTACCTGTTCTTTTGTTTTTTGGGAGAACAGATCTAGCCTATTTGGGTTACATTTTTATTAAGCTATAGTCAATGTAGAATCATTTATTTACAGTGGTACCTCGGGTTAAGTACTTAATTCGTTCCGGAGATCCGTACTTAACCTGAAACTGTTCTTAACCTGAAGCACCACTTTAGCTAATGGGGCCTCCTGCTGCCGCCGCGCCACCGGAGCACGATTTCTGTTCTCATCCTGAAGCAAAGTTCTTAACCTGAAGCACTATTTCTGGGTTAGCAGAGTCTGTAACCTGAAGCGTATGTAACCTGAAGCGTATGTAACCTGAGGTACCACTGTATTTTGTTTGCAATACTAACAAAATACTTTGAAATACTAACAAAGTGCTTACAATACTAACAACAACAGCAATTATAACCCCCCTAACTTAAAATAGCAATAAAAACATACAACCAAACAGAATAAAACAAGCTGTAGAGTCAGCTGAAAAATAACTCAAAGGTGTGATGAAGTAAAAAAAAATAAAAAATATCTTTATAATATGCCTGGATATAGTCAGCCTTAGAATTTTAGAAACATACTTACATTACAAATTTGAACTACTTGTTGAGCTCTAGACATTAGAGGCACCTGAAAGATTACAATCCCCTGTCATTTGAGTTGCCCCATTTCCAGTTCCACCTCTTAATTCACTATCTCTTCCTCTCCCCTTCTCATCCCATGAGCAATGTGAGCCAGAAACTCACAGAGTTTACTTCAGAAACTTCCATGATTATTGATGTTCCAAAATGCGCCTAACACCTTGTGGTTGTTGCTGCATGGGCATAAACGTCTAAAATTGCTGCTGGCTCAATTTTACCCCAGGACCAGACTAGAGGAAAGGATAATAGAGAACCTAGTGAAAGGAAGTACAGTGGTACCTTGGGTTACATACGCTTCAGGTTACATACGCTTCAGGTTACACACTCCGCTAACCCAGAAATAGTGCTTCAGATTAAGAACTTTGCTTCAGAATAAGGACAGAAATCGGGCTCTGGCGGCACGGCGGCAGCAGGAGGCCCCATTAGCTAAAGTGGTGCTTCAGGTTAAGAACAGTTTCAGGTTAAGAACGGACCTCCAGAACGAATTAAGTACTTAACCCAAGGTACCACTGTACCATATTTTGCTGATTAGGTTGAATCGCAAATATGGGTGGACCTACCGGTACATAGGCCCATGCGATTTAAACACAAGAAAATAAACAGACCCTATCTAGAAGCCCATCTACTCCAGATTCCTGTTTCACACGGTGGCCAGCAGGTGACTATAAGAAGGCAAGGAGCATCATTGCAAATAGATCTCTTCTACTCCTGCTCTCCAAGAAGTGGCTTTGCCTCTTACTTGGAGCACAAGGGAGTGCTCACGGCCCATGTTGTTTCGCCATGCCGTCATTCTCTAAGCTGTGGGAATTGGTCAGTATTTTAGCACACTTCGGCAGAACCATGAAAGGATTTCTTTTGTCTTGCAAAGCCAGCTCCTTGTCTTCTCTACTTATACAGATGGAGTCTGGATGCATATTGATTTTTCTATATTTTTCAGACTGTGGCCATCAGTCATTTTATATTACTGGATAAACCATTAGCAATTAAAAAAATATGAAAGGATAAGAGGTAGTGGGCCCATTAGCGTATGCATATGAGGAGAGAGGGCGAAACAATTAAAAGAACATCAGCTTATAAACCTGCTGATACAATTATTAGCGTACGGACTAAAATACCAAGGGACACAAACTCCCCACTTTGCCTTTCTCTCTTCCTTTGCCCTTAAGTGAAAGAGAGAGAATCTGGTGTTCCAATAACACTGCAGAATGCAAGTAGCTTTAACAGTTGTAGCTAAGACAGGGAAATAGAAACCTCTGTAGGAAAGCAAAGGAAATGATAGAATACATGAACATTACATGACAGAAATTCAGCTGCTGGTTCATGCATGAATAAATTTCACAACCATTTTGGAGAAGCTGAAGTGTGAGGCATGGAGGTTTTAAAGGAAAGGAGTGACACTGAAGTCTCTAAAATGTATTTATAACTTCCAGGGAAAGAAAACAGGCCAAACCCAAGACATTTTTCCTTCTGAGGCATAGCACCAAATAGCATCCATTTCCCCCCAAGGTAAGGTGTACAGGATACAAGGCTGGCCAAATTACTTTGGCACTCCAGGCAGAAAATCCCACAAGTGTTTCTCCTCTGAAGTATAGCTTACAATCATAATTAAATAAGTAACAATTTACTGCCCTTTCAGAACTCCCAAAATCTGCTGCGGGAAATGGCTGCCACACTCTGCCTAATGGTAAAGTTGGGCCTGAAAGCAATCCCTTTCTGGTAAATTGAGAGATGAGAGAGTTTCTGTTGTTTGATGCTGGATTAATTATTTACAAAACATTCATCAGGTGTGGTATAGTGGCTATTAAGAGTTGGTAGTGAGTGAATCAGTTAATACAGAGTGATTGTGCAAGAAGTCTTAATCATTCTTGTGTATCCCTTAGTCAGGTAAACATCACTCTTGTACAAGATCTCACTATTTTAAAAAAGCACACATCATCTAAACCAGTGGTGGTCAAACTCGGCCCTCCAGATGTTTTCGGACTACAATTCCCATCATTCCTGACCACTGGTTCTGTTAGCTAGGGATGATGGGAATTGTAGTCTCAAAAAAACATCTAGAGGGCCGAGTTTGGCCACCACTGATCTAAATGGAAAGGGATGCTGCCCACCCCAGCACCAAAACAGCATAAGCTTCAATTTTTGTCCATTGTGAAACCTGATAAGTAAGGTGGGTAAACGTTTGCCCTTTCACAAATCCTAGGATTTTAAAATTACTTTAAGGTGTGCACACAGAGATATTTGTACACATGTCCTGAATGGAATAATTTGGTGGCAAGTGGAGGAGACATGACTGAAAGGAGGGAGAACTCCCCTCCCCCCAACCAAAGCCCCTTCTTTCCAATGGAATGGACGGTGAGTGAGTTGAATACCAATGATTATCAATGACTGGAAAAGCAGGAATGCGTGGAAGCTAAAGTGCCAAACATGCTATGAAAAAACCCCCACCAGATTTGAATGACCTGTTTGAGTTCAAGCCGTGCATCTGGAAGTACCCAAAGCTACTGTGTCTGCCTTAATTAAGCCACTTTCTTCTCAAGTTCCTACTCACCACCCAAACTCCTGTATGATATGATAGTGACTCACCTCATAAGTTGTTTTAAGTTGTTTTTCTTGGGGGCAGGGTAAGGTTTACTGAGGTAACTTTTGACTGAAAGTGAGAAGCAGTGTTTAATTTTATGGTTTTATCTTTAATTTTATATTAAAATTATATTTCATTTATTTGTTGTAAGCCACCCCAATACCTTTATGTTATGGGATGGAATACAAAAATAAACATAGATTTTTTTTAAAAAACACACACCACGTGGAATACTTTGGAAACGCAACATAAACATGATGATATTGATGATGATGTTATCTGACTGCCTAAGAACATTCTAACCGTGTGAAATAATTTATATCAGCACTCACATTTTCCCCTTTCTTCATTGTGCAGAGTTTAAAATGAAAGAAGAAATGGCTGTTCTCAACGTGATGTCTTGGTGTATTCAAAAGAAGATGCAGAATGGCATATATGCACTGTGTGGTTAGAGGGCAGGAATTTAACTAGGAGAATATTATTGTCATGAAGTAGTGATCCTGTGAGCAAGTATCGCTGGGTGTGGCCCCTCAGGCAGGTGGTAACAAAAGCCTGGTAACAGGTTTGGTTCCTGTGTGTGATTGATTAGTAGCTTGGAGGGAGAACTCAGGAAAGCGACCCCCTCCCTGACAATTATGTGTTTACGTGCATATACAGTTTTCCTAGCCAGGAAGGAAATGGCAGAAATAATCCAACCAAGGAACCCTATGTGTGTGGATTACACTGCTTACCCTGCCTCTCTCACACATCAACACCAGACAGGAACATCTGCAAGGTAATCAAGAAGAAGTGCTGAGTGAAGAGACGCTGTTGAATTGCATATTTTTTTATTCCCACCACTGGCAAAAGGTTGGATTCCAATTACTTTTATGTACATGTTTCAGATGACATAAAGGAAAGTGCAAGTCTGACTCAAAAATGCAGGAGTAAGCTCATTGTTGATTGTTCATCCATTTTGCTTAGTCAGGAACACAGCAGCTGTCTCTGGCTTTAGAAACCTTCCTTCAGTCACTAGCTGGTCTCCTAATGGGAAAACCCCCAGATTTTCTATGTAAAATACACTTACTGAGAACTTAAGTATCCAAATGATTTAGTGCCAATAGTCCTTTTCAAGCATTCCAAATACTTGATATGTGCCTGATTAGGTGTGTGTTTGCAGGGCAGGATGGGGTGGGAGCAAGCACTATCTACAAATTACATTAGCTATGGATGCATGTTGCTCATACAGCTGCAATAGTAGGGTTCATTACCAAATGTACAGCTCTATACACTCCACACTGGACTGGCCCTATCATTAGGCAGCCACCTCTGGTGGCAGAAGTTGAAGGGCAGCAGTGGCAGCTCTCCTGGCTGTTGCTCCAGCCATTCCCCTCTGCAGGAAGACAAAACTGTGTGTGCCTTGCAGCATGCACTGTACCCCTTAAACTATGGAAGGATGCTTGTGTCAAAGTGAGTCTCATCTACCAGTCCAGTCAGCTTCTGTATGTGTACTGGTGAAGGGCGCCATCTTGTCCTTCACCTTAGGCTACAAAGCCTTCTAGGCTGGCCATGCCTCTACAGCAGCCTTCAGCCTCCCACAACCTTGAGTCCTGAGATCATCACCAGCATAGTCAATGGTCAAAGATGAAGGAGATGTAGTCCAAAGAATATCTTGGTGGCCAAGAAGAGGCTGCCCTACAGGCATTTTAATGAGCAGAGTTGTGTAAAAGAGAGATTTGAGGTTTGTGAAGCAGGGATGTTAGAAGCAACAAGGGTAATGAAATTTCCTTCCACAGAAGTGTTAAAAAGAACAGAAGGCCTGGTCACCCAAGCTCAGACTGTGAAAATCCTTTACTGTTGCCACACAGAACTACCAAGAACAACATTTTTCCAAGGAGAACAAAGGAACAATAGGACAAGTAAGGCAAAAAGTTTGCATCTTTGCTTTGTCATAGGGAATGACGTTTGGTAACACATCCCTGCACTCTCACTTGCATAGCTTCAATCCCAGGTGCAGGTTTATCCTGTTATTATGCTGTAGTGAAAGGACAGCCGAGTACCACCAACCCTCCGCAACTGGCTCTTGGCACAGAAAGCATTCCCAAGTGTTAACACAGTAATTAAATGCTGTACCCAGTGCTTTTTGACTCTGCAAATGACAGTCTGCGGTTTGTCTGCCCACCCAAAGTGTGTGGGAGGGCAAACCCAAGTCTTAGCATTCAAGCTTCAGTGAAGTGGCTCGTCACTGTCTTGATCACAGTCACTGGGGGGGAAAGGTTGCACCCTTTTGGAGCTGACAACAAACTGCCTTCTCTTCTTTTGCAATCAACTTGCTTGAGATGCCTGCCCAGTGATGTTCCATTAGCTCATCTCCTGCATTGCGGCAATGCTCAGTGCTGTAATTTTCCCTTTATTTCCTATCAATATGTACAGGCATCTGAAATGAGGATCCAACTACTGTAGCATGTCCACTCAAAGTGTTCAGTAAGAAATCAAATTAATGAATGCTGCTGTCAATACCCTATTATCCTGTTGCTTCTGAGTAATGGCTCAGACCCATTTAGTCACTTCAAACATTAGTACAACTTTATGGAACAAGCAGCACAGCTGATAGCTTCTGTAAGTTCATATCAGTTTGCTCTTTCATAGTCTTGGCTATTCAGAAAGCTGCAACACTCCCTGTATTTTTTTTTTAAATTTTACCTTAGTAGTACATTTGCTTTTGATCTGTATTTTCTCCATGGACCCACATACAAAAACTGGGGTGGTTGTGCATTCAGCTGTTGAGCATTCCTAAGTATAGGTTGCTTCATCTATGATGCTAATAGTCCTTCCTATATCTACCAGAAATTGTATTACAATGCTTTTCACATAACAGCTCTTTTAGGCTGGACCATTTTTGAACTAGTTCAGGAGAAGAACACACCAATAGGATCTCTAACAAAATGTTGCCGTATATTCTAAATACGTGACAGGAGTGTTCCTCTTCAGGCTGAGACTGAAATGCACCTGGCTGATTTCTTTTGAAGAAGAAGAAGAAGAAGAAGAAGAAGAAGAAGAAGAAGAAGAAGCAGAAGAAGCAGCAGCAAACAGTTTGTATTTCTTTTATTTGAAAGGTGGAATAGCCATATAGGCCAACCAATCAGCTCCCTGTGGAGTCAAGGGGGAGGTGTCTTGCCAATCAGCACTCTGTATAAAGACAGAATGGGCCAGAAACAGAAGGCGTGGGGGGGGGGATAGGAGACCTGCCCACCTTACTGTTAGAAGTCTGGAAGCAGAGTTTCTATTACATTTGCAGCTCAAAGCAGAGGTGGATTTAGGGGAGTGAAGCTGGTATGGAGCCTCAGGGTTGCCTCAGGGGTCTCTGGAACTATGAGGTACATAGAATGGAATGCAAGAGGCGCAGGGTGTCAATTTTTGGCATCACACAGGGCAGTGCTGAAATTTGAGACCCCAAGGCCCACCACTGCTTAAAGCAGAACAGGAAAGACTTGGGTGCAGTTAAATTGTCTATGTTTGGAAGCACCCTTCCCTTGAATTAGAGGCAGCCTGCACTTTCCAAATTCAGTGAATATACGGAATAGGAACACCTTGCTAATGGGATTACTGGCATCTTTGCTGATAGTTTCACTTAACACCCTGCCAACCCTAATAATATACTAGTTAGTCTGTTTATTTGCTCTAGGATAAACGTCGTGCTTTTTTTTTTTTTTAAGGAACTAAGAAAGCTGTTTGCTCAGATTTCAGAAACAATGTCTTGTTGCATTTGGCTACCTAAGTAAAATGGCCTCGAGGCAACTTAGCTGGTGTCACTGGCTCTTACGCAGCAAATCACTCTGAGTAGCTGACCTTGCCAACTTCACAGAGGTCATGTTTTCTCACAGCTAAGACCGTCCCCTGACGCAGTAAGAATGAAAAGGTTTCTTTCACCCTATATATGCACAGTGCACGTCAGCATCTTTATCCTTATTTGTTTCACTTCACAAAATAATGACGTTGGAAAAGAAAATGCATCAGAGTTTGCCCATGAGATGATATATTCTTAAACACCATAATGACAAATGCATTATTCCATCCTCTCCTGTTCAGACTTTCTCATCCACTGAGGCTAGTTGCAGTGGGCCTTCACCCCACCATCAAAGGAAGGAGGAATGGTAGAAAAAGTTGAAAGGGTTTTATTGGTTGTGTAACCCAGAATGTGGGACTTCCTCTCTCTGAGAGACCAATTCAGCTGCCTTTCTCTGTCGTTTGACGGCGGCTAAAGACTGTCATTTAAACAAGCTTTCACCTTGTCTGCCACTTGAGGTTGAATTTGTCATTGGCTTTCTATAGTCTTGTCTGTTATGTCTTAATATCATTTTGTGGTTTGATTGCTAATGTTAACCACCTTGAATGCTGTTTTGGAGTTCAAATGGTGGCATAGAGACCCATTAATAAACAGACAGACAGAAAATGACCCGATTCCCACAACATGGTATATTGAACTATGGTTTAGCTAGAACACGCTCAAGGGCAGTCACAACCTCTCTTTTATATTCATTTCTTTGTCCATGAGCAATTCATTAAAATAATGTCCTTTCCTCTCCCTTCTCCTCCTCTACAATTGGCTCCGGCTCAAGATAAACTTCCTATGTTTAATCTACACAATCACAGAATCATAGGCTGAGGTAACAAAAATGCTACTCTATACCACTGCCTTTGGCAAGACAGGCCACATGCTAAGTTCCTTCAATGCCACATATATTTTTCTGCTTACTAAAGTCACTATGTATGTGCATGTTCCGTTTTTAATTGAGACAAATGCTGTTTTTGACAATGCCTCTAGAAGACTGTATTGAAATGAAACAGTGTTAAATGCACAGGATTCACCTGGTGTGTTTTTAGTCACATTTCAGTTCATCGTAATCATGGTACTTTTAAACCTTAAAACAGGCTTCCTGTACTTTTCTTTCATTTGTTTCACCTTCTTGTTGCTTGTCTGTTTAAAATCTGGTAGAGCAGATGATCAGTAAATAGACAGGCAGCTTTGACAGTCCTGTTTAGGTTTTAAAATGTGACATGTCTGGTAGAACATGGAAATTGGTGGCAGTGTGGGTGAGTGAGTGGGCAGGAGGGTACAGGATTTGTTCTTAAAGCAGACACAGGTAAACGATAAAAAACAGAGCAATTTTTACTGTACACACACACACACACATGATCAGTGCTCAATTTCTTTAACTGCTGCCTCATTGAAGATGAGAAGCTAATTTTTAATCTGTGTCATGTTCTTGCTTTTTGTATCTTGCAGTGTTGATGCATCTTGGTGTATAGTAAATGTTGCAATCTAAGCATGGAAATCCCTATTCTACTTTAATAAGAAGTCAAAACTTGAGCAAAGGCTAAGGAACTCAAGTTCCAGTCATATACACACTTAGTTGGGAATAGATCCCCTCAGACAAAGTGCGTCTTACAATGAGTAAACATACATGGGATTGAAAGAGTGCTTATTAAGATCGGTAAGGCAGACTCTACTACAAATATAGAACCGTATCCATTGTTCATTACTAGATGTTGCTGCCACCTTCCCAGGAGTGGGGTCTTCAAAGAAGTGAATGGACAACTACCAACTTCCTCTTATGCAACAGAAATGCCTTTTCATCAAGTCCAAGGACTCAGCTATTCAGCTACAAATAAAATGTTTAAAATGTGTTGTAAAGGGCAATATACAAATGTGACACTAGATGGTGACAGCGAGCTATGCCAAATTCAATGTATTTTTCAAAACGTTTTTTAAAAAAGCATTTTCACAGCATTTTTTATATGTGTGTAGATTCCACCCAAGTGTCCATGGATTGTTAGCACCCCCAAAACAGACATTGAATCAGAGCCATTATTTTAAAGTTTTGAAGCTTTTAGCAATTTATGATGAGCATCTTCCTTCAGTAGATAATGGCTTGGATTCTAGAATAGATTTTATTTATTTTGAAATATTTTGTAAGCTACCCTGCATCACAAAAGTAACCCCTGAGTTACATTTAAATGGAATTAAAACCACAAATATAAACAGCTGTGTATCAGACTAACCTAAAGGCATTCATGGAAGGAAAACTTCCCACACCCTCCTCACCACAGCTTGAGGGACCCCTCTTGAACAATGTGGGACAGGGCTTGGGAGTTGCTTTGGGAAGAATGGGATGGGAAACTTTTCATGAGGTTACTGGCCTGTCAAGTTTTATTTTTACATATCTTCAGCTGAATAATGAAGGGTGGTTTTTTTTTTTAACAGCTTAAACCTCCTGAGAAAACCTTGTATGAAAAACACAGTTTGAAAAACTTGACGCTGTCCTCCCTATACTCTGCTAAATATACTGTTGCAAGTAGGTTCTTGGTGAAATTGCTTTCTGACCTCATATTTGATCACCATGAGTAGCTCAGAGGGAAACCTGAATGAATAATTCACTGGATATAAGACGACCTAAATGAATAATTGACAGTGAATAATTTGCCCATTGAAGGAAGTGCCTTTTTTCTTGCGGAATGTGTCTAATTATATTGCCTGGATTCAATCCTCCTTATCCGATCGTCCAATGATCCTGTACCTTGAGGCATCTGGGTGTATTTGTAGCACCTGCTGAATTCCCCTTCCCCACCCTCTGCCTAAGGAAATATGATTTAAGCAGTATTATGAGAGTCAAATTTGGCACTGTATTAAATCATGGAATCAAAGAGCAGAAAGGGAACAGAAGAACATCAGTTCTAGCCTCATTTATCTTTCATACATCACCCCATCACAAATCAACGCATCTTATTATTTCATTTTCTTTAAGATAGTTATACACTACCCAGAAGTATAGTTCAGAAACCAACATTATCATGATAAAATACAAAAAGGAAATGGTTAAGATGAACTATGAAACTTAAGAAAAAAACAGCAGCCAAATGGAAGAATTAGTCTCTATTAAGCATGCGTCTTCAAGTAAAGTTTAAACATCAGCAGAAAGGCCTCCACAGATGGGAAACCTGTGGCTTTCCAGATGTTGTTGGATTACAGCTCACACCATCCCTGACTAGTGACCATGCTGGTTGGGGATGATGGGAACTGGAGTCTACCAATGCCTGAAGGACCACAGGTTTACCAGCTCTGCTCTAGATGAACAGATTGTGCATTGGGAGGGGGAATAGACTTCCAAAACTGAGGTGTTATCATTAAGAAGATTGGCCCCTAGTTGCTACCCACCTCAGAAAAGTGCTTTAAACGTATGGCAATGATAAACCTTTATTTGATTGATGTTAAACTGAAAACTTTTTATCTGCCTTAATTTGTAAAATAACACAAATATTGTGGGAGAAATGGTAATAGAACAAATATGAGTTTGCTCAAGAAAACCACAGCCTTGACCAAGTTTCACCAAGCATCCTGGCTGAAGAAAGAGAAAACAGGAATATGTGCACAAAAGACAAAAGAAACTCTGTCTTGAGTGAGCCATCTTATCAGGTCTGCAATTCTGCACCTGTCCAGGGATTTGTCTCTGATTGGTTCTCTTCTTTCATATTTCTGCAAGTACAAATTAGAGTTTTAAACACATGATGCATGATGTGTCGAGCTATGCATGATGAATAGTCCCAAGGAGCCAGAATCCCAGCCTACAAATCTTTTGACTGCAGATGGGACTCGGAGAGAGTCATGCTTTTGAATACTCTACTACCTTAAAAACAAAACAAACACCCTGCATGTGGTTAATTATTTATTCATTTAAAATGCATTTACCCTGCTGCTCTCCAGGGGGTCGCAGTGGTGTACAACACACTCCCTGATGTGCCTATTTACTGCACCGAGGGGCATTTTATGTGGGCAGAGGGTTCATTGGCTCATAGGGAGGGGGGAAAAACAAACAACTCCATATCACTAGGTCTCTTTGACAGACCTCGCCATTGTTTTGCAAGTCCCACAGCCTTCTGGTTCAACCTCAAGTTTATATTCAGGGCGCATTATCCCTGAAGCAAGGGTCTCTCAAGGAAAGCAGGAAGAGGAACAGGATGCTTTCTGATATTGCTTTACCGTCAAAAGCCATCTAGAGATTTTGAGTGGAAAACCCAAGTCAGCCACAAATAATTAAGCATTTGGTGGGCATCCAACTCCTTCTGTGCTGCTCAATTTTTATGTACTTTTTGTGGTCTTTTCCTCCCCTTTCTTTTCCACCAGATTGAGCAAGGAGCAAAGAATCTTTCTTTCCTCCCACAGCTTTGCTAGTGTAAATAATATAACAGTATTTTGCCACCGGTAGCACCATCCCCTGGTGCCTGTCCATGGAAGCGGGAATGTTGCAGGAAGGAGCAGAGGGAGAAAGGGCAGCTTATGAACGACTCCAGTGAGCCAGAGCGATGTGTCATTCTGGCAGGGAGCCTATTAAAGAGAAAGTCATGTTCTGGAATATGTTCAGCTTGGGATTTCTGAGAACCCCTTTATACCCAGTCATTATGCATTTCACTCTCTGGAAGGAGATGGTTATGTTTGCTTTTGTGACACAGGCCTTAATTGTCCCCAGATCCTTCAGTCTAATGCAAACACCAGGCTAGCAATTAACATTAAGTGCTAGGAAAAGGATTGGTGGTGCGATAAATGCTCAGCGCATCTTGGGAATGTAACAACAGCTTCTCATTTAACAGGCGTGCCAGGGGCACGATGGTGAGGCTCAGTCCTGGAACAACAACCCAATAGCACCCCACCTCCAATGCACATGAAACTGAGCCCCCAAGCATACACCAGGATCCTTGTAGAATGACATTCCAGGAACACCAGGCAAAGGAAGCCAATCCTGGAAGTTCACATGCTCTCTGGGGCAGAGGGAGGGATGGGAGGACAGACAGGGGAGGAGGTCAAGTCTATTAATGTTGAGAACTGCAGAGCAGTTCTGCAGCCAGAGCAAATAAATACAAGTGACCTCAGCAGCATATTTGAGCAACTGGTCTTTATAGTCTGGGCTTGGTATTGCAGATGGAAGCTCTGCCCCCTGAGCTGTGCATCAGCAGAAAAAGGACCAGTGCCTTTTCCTGCAGTGGTTGCTTTTTTCCTCCCTAGACAGTAGATTTTCATGCTTCAGGAACTTATTTGGGGTAAGCTCTTCACACCTTTTGGGACCCTCCAAGAAGTCTGTGGACCAGTCATTGGAGGCTGGTGGTAGAAGAGTCTACCTGGGCTGCAGGGGATGAGATGCAGGGTCAATGGACCCACATGGGATGGCATGGGGAGTGGATCCAGCTCATCCTTGGAGTTATTGTTGGAAGACTCTGGTGTCTGAAGATTCCTGGTCCTAGACCACAGCGGAAGTGGGTACACCCAAATTAGTTTCCTTATTTTATGTACAGATTGGCATACATATAGTATAGAATAAAAACTTTTTACCATAGTACTAATTTAACTCTTTTGGTGAAAATAATTTTAACATGAGACTATGTTTTGGTATAGCCAAATCACATTTACAAGAGACTTCAGCACACAGAACAATTTAAGGACTCGCACCAAAATTGTAGAAGAATCGCTGCCATATGTGGAAAATCACAAACTGTGACGATGATGGGAACCATGTTAACCGCCTAGATTGTTAGACAACCAGATGGCATTACTTACAGATTGGAACAACATCCCTGCCTCATAAAGTTATTTCTGTTTCAGAGCCTGCTTTTTATTATTCTAGCTACAAAAGATTCAAATTGAGGTCTTGGGGCTTCATTTTTTATTTAGCAGTACTTTAGGGATAGTGATTGCAGGTGGATTTGGTTTCACAAAAAGAGTTAACACTTTCCCAACATGATCCTATTCAGGTACTCAAAATAGTATCAGTAAGAAAATGAAGCCTCCCCATCTTTGCAAAAAGGCACTACACATGCATGTACAATGCACCCCTCCTTTGTACCAGACACATTCCAGCTTGCAAGGAGATGCACTCACACAGCTAGTGTAGCCTGTATCTCATCCTAGCAGTGTTCCAAACAGGGCTGTGCTTCTGGGGAAAACTTAATATCCTGATTTTTTAGTTGGTTGGAAGGGCTCTTGCTGCTATGCACATTTTTCATAGAGTAAGTTGTGTAGTCTTTCCTTGCAGCTAGGTCATTAAAATGTGGGGCTCTTCCCCATCTGCATCAGATCTGCTTGCGAGGAATGACAAGCTGGAACCCTTGTCTTCCAGGAGGGACTGCTTGCTCAACAGTGTTGGATGCTCTTTTGCCAATGATGAAAAATGGCTCTGCCTCAGTTCTTCATTACACAGTGAACCACTGATAAGAGAGGTATCTCAAAGAAGTTCTACCACAGGGGTGGGGAACTTGTGGCCCTGCAGATCAGCCTTCCCCAGCCTGCTGCCTGCTGCAAGACTCAGCTAGCATGACAATGGTTAGGGATGATAGGAGCTGTGGTCCAACAGCATCCGGGGAGACACAGTTTCACCACCGCTGCTCTGTAAACCTCCTAGGCTATTATACATTTTAAGCATTCAGATCTGGATCATAATCAGAGCTGGATTACTGGACTGACTCAGTACAGCTGTTCTTATTACATGATTTATATTACAATAAATCGTAACAGTCTACATAATTGTATTAGTGCGGTGCTTACAATTGCAAATAATTATCTACACTTGGTCCTTTATGCTATAAACAATATTTGTACATTCTTGGGATGTGAGGCCAGTTTCCAAGCCACTGAAGAGCTTCTTAAGCCAACATTTACCTGATGTCTAATTTGTGGTTGTGGTAGGGTAAACCTTAAGTGGTTTTAGTTTTATACCTCCCACCTTTAGTCTTCTATGCATTTGATGTGCTCAGCATTTTTTAATTTTTAATTTTAAAAAGAATGCCTGCAGTTGAACAGGTTGGCAAACTACTGGAACATGTGTGCCCTTAATTGGGGGCAACCACAACTTTCCTAAATGTGATACGTCCCTATTCATATCAGTGAGCAGAACTGCTGGCCTTGTGTCGTTCTGGGTCAGTAGGAAATGCAACATGATAAATGAGCACTTGGCCCCTGTAGTCCAACTATTAATACGCTTCTATTGAAGCATATTACTGAAGGTCTCCATACTTATTGATTCTGATGGATGCCATTAAAAAGAACCACCAAATAACCCTGGAAGTATAAGAGAATACTAGGGGGCCCTGGCTTACAAAGGTGGTTTACTGAAAGAACAAGGAGAAAGCCAAAGTGGGCATTTGTTTCTTTTAGTGGGCAAATTGCCACAGTCAATATGGCAACACATTAATGATTCCTTCCAGTCACATCTGACTTAAAAACCATTTCTCCCTGCCCCCGGTCCCGCAGCAGCTTGGTGTGGTGATGAAGCAAACTAGCAAACCGATTTCCGGATTCATAGATTCAGAGTTGGAAGGGACCCCAAGGGTCATCTAGTTCAACCCTCTGCAATGCAGGAATTTCAACTAAAGCATCCATGACAGATGGCCACCCAACCTCTGCTTTAAAACCTCCAAGGAAGGAGAGACCACCACCTCCCAAGGGAGACCGTTCCACTGTTGAACAGCTCTTACTGTCAGAAAGTTCTTTATGATGTTCAGTTGGAATCTCTTTTCTTGTAACTTGAAGCCATTGGTTCGAGTCCTAGCCTATCCTGTGGCTTCTGCACACAGTTCAACCAGTGGCAAATGTTGCCAACAGGAAATGGGACCTCTGACGCCCAGTTTTAAACCATTGCCTGAAAATGTTACTTAGGCTTCCAATAAAAGGCAGTTCCTCCCCCTGTCCTAACATAGTCATAACGGATACCATTAAGCAGCTGAACGATTTATGTATTGCTCTCGCAAAAGGCTTTTCTCAGCAGAAGAAAAACAGCAGGAAAAATTATACAGGTTTATCACCACTCTGCCCTTTTATGTGGGCAGAGAGGAGGCTCTTGAAGAACAGATTTAAATCTTGTGGAAGCAGCTTCACACCTCTCCAGACTCCTGTAGTCTATAATTTATTATTAATATCAATAATGTCTGAAATTGCTTAACAGTTATTCTCGCTTACGTACTTCTAAATCATGTCTAAACATAACAAAAAAAATAAATGATTGTTTGGAAATCTTTTAGAACAAGGCCCTGGGCCTTCCAGAGAGTGAGATGTTCAAGTTTTAATACATAAAAGTATGAGTCATACAAGCAGATTGTACAAGGAAAGACAATCTGATGTAAGAGAAACATTTACAAGTCTCGTAACCCTCCTTTCCTCTCTGCTAAGCTTTAAAAAACCACGTAAGGCCAAGGATCAAAGCAATGAAGTTGCAGAATGCTCTCTGCTGAAACAATAACAAACCCAACTTCCTCAGACGTCAATGGGGCAGATTTACAGAAGGGATATATTTATTATTATGACTTTGCAGCCACTGAAGGAAGACTAATATAATCACATGCATCACGGATTGGAAGCTGAGCTCTTATGCCACCAAGTCTTATCGCTACAATAATGCAAAACATTATTACAGGGGTCACTGGAAAGTATCAGAAGCAGAACAGGAGGAAGGAGGCTGCAAAGCACACAGTCCAGAAGTGCAGAGTTAGTTAATGCTTACCAGAAGCAATCAAATTGGAGGCCTGTTGAGTTATGGCCCCAGATATGTGTGTTATCATACTACACAAGAACCTTTGCTCTCTTTGCATGTCTTTGCACAGAACTATATTATAACTAGCTCTCTGTTGCAAACCACAAGAGCTGAGGCATTCCTGTCACATATTTTAGCTGTCACTTTTTAGGAAAGGTGAGAAAAGACAAAATGTTATGGTTTGAGTTGATTTTTGTATGAGGCATTAGACAAGAGAAGACATGGAACTATACAGATGGAAGCTGTTTTCAACAGTATCTGAAGCCTTAGCAGCTATCTAGTTTGGTTCCACCCCAACATTCCCCATTTCCAAATGTTGACCCAGCTACCCCTGTATCTTAAATTAAGGGATATATTCTGGTTCTAATTTGGGTTCCCTTCAGTCTCGCCTGTAGGTCAGGGCTGGGCGTGACACCAATGAACAGTGTGGCCTGTGTGGAGGGAGTGAGGTTTAGGGAGAATCCCAAGGGCTGCGTTTTGACCCTGTGTCTTGGGTTCTCCACCCTTGCTTTACTATAGCACAATAGGACATATGACTTTGTTTATTTCATTTGAGACAACTGTTCCCAATGGGCATAGTTTGGCTGTGACATCATTATTTTTATTATTATTATTTTTATTATTATTATTATTATTATTATTTGCATTTATATCCCACCTTTTTCTCCAGGGAGCTCAAGGTGGTATACATGGTTTTCCACCCACCCTAATTTAAGCCCCACAACACCCTTGTGTAGTAGCTAGGCTGAGATGCTGTGACTGACTCAAAATCACTTCATAGCTGGGTGGGGATTTAAACCCTGGTCTTCCAGGTCCAAGTTCAACACACTGGACATCTGCACTGAGTCTGTTGAGAAGGTTTAGTAGATCATGAGAATTCTCTCAAATGCTCCCATATTTTGTGTGCTCTGCAGTTCACACAGTATGAGTGTGTGTGGAGTGGAATATTAATACTGTTATTAGTGGGTCATGCTTTTTATTTTTAAAAAATACCTCTATAGTTTATCTTTATATTAAAATTTTAAAAAATAAACTAAAATAAGCAAGCTTTGGCCAACTCCCCCTCCCCACTAGAGAGATTATAAGAGGCAAAAGAATATTATCTATGTAATTCCACAACAGTGTCAGCAACACTTGACAGTGGTTTGCATGGTAGCTGAAAAACCACCACAACAAACTAACAGGAAAGGCACAACCACGAACAATGACTAGTCAGGCCCTTCTAAGCAGACTTTATATCAAACTGTAATTTTTTTTAAAAAGTATATTAAGTCAGAAGAACTTTATCATCACCATCTTGACCATTTGAAACTTATCAGAATAAGCATACCCCAGCAAGGAAACTTTGAGATGGCCACAAATCCCCCCCTTCTTTTGGTGCCCTTCTGGTACTTCTTTGTTTGTTAATTTATTTTTCTGAACTGTCAACAACTCTTAAATCAATGTTCTGTTTGTTAGTCTGTATTTTCACTCATAACTTCCATATTTCATTGGCCCATTTTCAATGGTTGCCAACTGTGCTTTTATTTTATTTTTTGTCACCACTCTTATTGACCATTGGACCCACCATTGGTCTCCACCGCTCAATTCACTGGAGCCTGTCTTCACAGGCAGGGGAAACCCCAAACTCACTGAGGGTTTGAGACCCATCAGCTACCTTCACCAGGTTTAGCCGGTCAGTCAAAGCCTTTTCTCAGGATGTGGCCACAGCCACATGCTGACAGCTTCTAAAATCCACAGGTGAGAGCAGGGTGGGGACCAAAGGTGGGCAAACCACCCCAGAACGATTACGACACATCCTCCACCAGAGGTACTACTACCCCTCCCCTAACACCACACACACCAGCAATGGATACTTAGCAAATAAGTAGTTCTTGTGGTAACACTGGACAATGCTACACTTGCACAATTTCTGTTTGTCATGCAACAGTGAAAGGCACAAGAGTCCTGTCAGAGAAAGCAGGACATCCGTGTGTGTGTGTGTGTGTGTGTGTGTGAGAGAGAGAGAGAGAGAGAGAGAGAGAAGGAGAGAGAACCAGTTTAAAGGGAATTGGGGGGAGGGGGCAAATGACATGCCAGTATATACAGACAGCTCTTGAGTCAAAACTTCCAAACTGTTTTCTGGCTGTTTGAATTAACTGCATTTCACTATGCCTCATTTTCCTAGAACATGACGATATGTGTCCTTAACTGACTTCGTAGGCAGGAAAATCAGCTGTGGAATATAGTGTTGTACAGTACTTTGTGCTCAAGTTATCACATTTTGCAAATGATAAGAGATAGAGGAACACCTGGCAACAAGTTGAGGAACTGGAAACATTTAATAATTATGAAATCACACCTAAGAGATAACAGACTATATTAACTGGCAAAACACAGACATATACAAACAAAGCCATCCATGTTTATATTACAAAAGAGATATTTTAGAGAATCCTAAGTAAGTTCAATAACGAGCATAAGTATTTCTGTGTTGACAATTGGCAGGATTTGGTGTTCTCTGATATGTTAATTAAACAAACTCTGGTTATCCAAAATGCTTAATGGATGTTAGCATGACCAAATGTAGAGGAAGAGTCATGGTTGTGCAGAAGTCTTTGTAGAACTTGCCATGCCTGTCAGAGCAGACATTCAAGATGCAGGAATTATTCAAGACACAGTCCTTTGTATCTGCTGACCTGAACACTCCTCAAAAAAGGGTTGCCAGTTCCTTATCTGGCAAGGCTCCTACCCTAAGAGTTTCATGCCTGGGAGAAATTCATCATGCGAAGGAAGATGATGAAGTAATGGGGAGAGCGTTAGCTCCTGAATTTCTGCTTGCCACACACCTGTTAAAGGCACTGGAGCCGTGCCAGAAAAAAAAGAGTTGGCAGCTGACCCATCTATGCAATATGGAATAGTAGCCCCTTGATATATTCTATCCAGATTGTTTGGGAAACAGTGTTTATTAGTAAAAAGTTATATTCTTACCTGGCAGAGTTGTGGCGAACCAAACAGCGCCTGCAGGTGAGGGTTCTGCATGTGACATCCAGCTTTTTCACAAAGCCATCCCAGAGCTTAGCTTCCATGATGCAAGCAGCCCTTGTAGGGGAAGGAAGGAAAACATCCTTGTAAACAAAGCAGCAGTGCCGATAATATTGTAGTCATGTCAGGAGGGCTACTGCTGTTTATGGGGCTGCAGCAGTGTTTTTAACAGCACCCTCCCTGCTTAATTTCTGCCTGTCAGGCTGCTGTTGGGTCATTGTGAACTGACAAACTGCATTTGATGAAATGTCTGCTTCCAGCCCAACTATTGAAGGAACAGATGCCTCACAGCTGAAGGCTGCACTGTTGTTACTGTGTGATGTGCTGAGCATAAGAGGCAACTTTATATGGACTTATACTACACTATACATTTATAGAAACCTCCCACAAAGAGGCTTGGGAACTGCTGTTTGTTTAGGGAGATGGGAATTGTAGCTACATTAGGAGGAAACTACCATTCCCATGATTTGTTTTTTGGGGGGAGGCGAGTCATGTGCTTTAAATGTGCACCGAATGTGTTTTAAATGCATGAAGTGGATCTACCCGCAGTCTGTTTCAAAGGCAGCATCTCCTGGAGATTTCAGGCAGAAAGTACTTTCCAGCCATATGTCTTTAAGGAAGCTATTTTGGATTCTCAGCTGGAGATGCCAGGGACTGAACATGGGATGCATGCTGAGCATGTTTTACAACAGACTATACTTTTTCTCCCTAGGTGGAACATCTTGCTTTTGTCATTTGAGTTCAGGTTTCTTTGTATGAATGGAGCTTCGAAGCGTACTTACTTGAAATAAAGCGCTGAGGAAATAAGTGAAACTTACTTTTGAGTAAGCATGGTTAACATTGAACTACAAGTGTTACCCTGGAGTAAATGTCTCCCTGCCCTCTGCCCACCTTCAATATTTCCCAAGAAAGATTAAAAATGAAAAATACCCTGGCCCCACTGAAATCCACTAGACCTTTCCCATATGTTTCAGAGGGGGTAGAATTTCAGCAGAATTGACATTACAATCATCAGGGCACAGATCATGGACAATATAAAATTGTGATAGAAATGTAGCAAGGTAGGCATAATTAACAGGGCTTGGGAACAAGAAATTTAAATTCCAGGTTATGCTTTTTCATTGTCATAACTGATTTTAGGACATTGTCTCTTCAACCTCATTGAATAAAGCAATGTGTCTATTGCCATCTAGTGTTTAAAATATTGAAAGATACTTCAAAGCAGGATTAAGCTCTGTATTAAGTTAGTGGATTTAACATATTTCACAGCACATCTGTCAACATCTGTGATAACTGGTTCTGCTGGTTCAACCTTATGTGACTTAAACAACATATAGAGGGCTTCAGGTTCATCGCCCTAGAAGGGACAATATGTTCTAGGTTTTCATAGCAGGGCTGAGTTTTTCAGTGACTAACATGGTTGTGTTCTCGCCCCAACTCTCTCTGGCACATTCTTCTCCCTCATGCTCTCATATCTCTTTAGCTTGCTTAAAGATGATTTGTACTTTCATTCAAGGAGCAACAGGGGTCTTCCACATGTCTCTGTGCCAAGACAAAGGTGTGGCCTGTCCTTTTCCAAGAGATGCAGTTTGCAGATGATGCAGCCTTGAGAGCACTCTCTGTGGAAGCTCTACAGAGACTCAGCAACCGCTTTGCCCAAGACTGCAGGGAGTTCAGCCTGATGAAGACCAACATCCTGGGTCAGGAGACTGATAGCACCCCACGCATCAGCAGTGGTAACCACATGCTTGAGTGGGTAGACAATTTTGTGTACCTGCTTTCCACCATAACCACCAACCGTATTGGCAAGGCAGCTACAGTAATGGCTCACCTTTCCAAAAGGGTATGGGAGAATGTGATGCTAACATGCCAGCATGTGCAAATTATATGTATATGTATATGCATATGTATAATCTCCTTTAAAAAAGTGTACCATGCCTAGTAGCAACTGAGATCTGTGTGCCTTACCAATGCTTTAATCAGCTGAATATTGCAATGAAAATCTGACAGCATGTTTTCTTACTCTTTTGAACAGGTGCGATATCTTTGATACTTAAGGAGGGAGCCCCACATTCACTAAGGCAGGGCTTCTTCTCTCACTTTTTCTTAATAAACAACCCTGCCCCAAATAACTGTTTCAGTGACCAGTTTCTGCGACATCCACAGATAGTAGTTAAAATTTTGCAAGGTGTCAGCAAGTATTTTAGTCTCAATTAGCTCTTGGAAGAGAGGACGTGGTGCATAAGGTGTGCCAAATAAGCAGCATGGAACGTCTAGCTAAGCAGCCTCGCTCTCCTGCCTGATGCCTTTGCTTCCTGCAGCGCCAGATGTAGCGAGTGTTGTACCATTTCTTTCTTCAAACAGCAGTGCTCAGGGGGGGATAAACTTTACTTAACCTAATTAATTTTAATCACAGCTTTCCAATCTCATACTGTGTAAAGAATTACAAATTGGAACACATTAATAGAGGCTATGCCTTGCGCTGCAAGATCATTCTGAATTGTGCATTTACATTTTCTACATGAGTTTGCAATGATCATTAGAATAAAAAATGCAGTTATGTCCCTTTTAAATTACAGAAATTTGAAGAAACAGATTGGGACCTGTCCCATTTGCTGCGCTAAATGACTCGAAAATAGCTTGCATTTCAAGGAATTGAATGGCTCTCATTGAACAGGCAGCCCTGGAAAATGATTTCCAGTTGTTTAGAGAGTTAATGTGCTCCTAGGCGTTTGTGTTGTTTAAACAATTTAAAAAGGGGGTTGAGCCCTCAAGACTTTCCACCTGCTGTGGTGCAGGGGTTCTGAAATAATACTAATAATACTAATGTTAAAGCTAGCATTTAGGCAGCACTTTAGAATGTTCAAAGCACTTGAGAACATACGAGAGGGAGCATACCAACAAAGGAATCTGCCTTCCATCAAATCAGACCACTGGTCCATCTAACTTAGTATTGTCAACCAAACTGGCAGCAGCTTTCCAGAGTTTCAGACAGGGGACATTTCCATTCTTACCTAGAGATGCTGGGGATTGAACCTGAGATCTTCTGCATGCAAAGCAGACGCACTGCTACTGAATTTATGACCCACAGTGCTGCTGTGCCCCCCCATAATAACTCCTATTTATCCTCATCCAATTCAGAAGCCAAGCCTCACTATGCATAATTGCATTGCTACAATTGGGTTGTTATTTTCATTTTCATTTTCATTATATATTTTGTGGTTTTATATTTTGATTTTGTTCTGTGAACCGCCCTGAGACCTCCGGGTATAGGGCAGGATATAAATTCAATTAATAATAATAATAATAATAATAATAATAATAATAATACCTTTACATCTCTCTTTACACCCTCTATAGAAATCCAGATTGCTCCTGTGATTTGTTTATTCTGCTTTATATAGTACCCTGTATATTAACTACCCTCACATTGACTGAGTAAATTTGTTTTGGGGTTTGGTCACAAAGACACAACATTTCTAGATACAATAAATGATGGAGCTTTAGAGGAGGTGATAATTTGTGGGGTACGGGGATGGGGTGGGAAGGTGGCGGAAGAGGAGAGTTTGGGCTGTCTTCTGAAGAGTGCTCACTATGTGGTGTGTTGTTTGAACTGCTTTGGAACAGAGATTGAGGTGTCTCAGAGCTGTCAGATCCAACATACGTGAAAATAGAAAATTACTCAGAAAGCCCAACAGGGTCCTGTTTAATTTCAAAACCTGGAATATTCTGTAAACATATTGATTAGTTAGAAGAAAGGTGAAGGGAGGAGTCAAGAGAGTCAAATCTGTTCAGGACACTTGTAAATTATTTAAAATTGTGGTAATAGAAGATCAGAGATAGAATCATGTATACCATTCCTTCCAACTCTACAATTCTATGATTTTATGAGGTGTAGGGAGCTGTGGGAGTGGCGCTCTAGGAGGCTAAGGCAGGTTAGGGCCCACAGCCCAGCTCCCTAGCTGATCAGGTGGGGCTCACTAGCTCTGGGAGGAAGTGTGTGATTTCTCAGCTGGAGTAGGCTCCGAACAGGTGAGGGTCCACATGCCTCATCAAGTCCGGATGCAAAGTACAAAAGGAAGCAGAGCTGAGGTGCTTTGTCTGCTCAACTTCCCATGTTGATGGACCTTGACTTGGATGCTCCTGGACCTCCACAGGACTGTGCTTTGGGTTTGACTATGGGCTACATCCTGACTGCTAGACTTCAGCCTTGGCTACTTGAATTGACCCTGAACTGTGTTTCCTGACCTTTGAATTTTGGCCTTTGTACTTTGCTTGTGTGCCTTGACCCTCAGACTTGGAACTGTTCATACTGACTTGCTGCCAGGTAGGCCAGGGGTTCAGGGCAAAGGGCTAGTGATTTGTTAGAGGCTTCCACAGAAGGGGAGGGGGAGACAGTGGTGGCTGCTGTCCATATTTTGTATTATGTTAACTAATTTCTTTGTTGCCTGTTTAAGTTTTGGACATATCAGTGATCTGGTGTGTATATGTTTTCAACATGTTATTTTATGTTCAATTTCTGAATTCTAAAATGCAGGCATGGCTGTGGATAACAAGCGGTGTGGTCTTAAATTAACACCCACAGATAAAAATCTGGTAGCATATTAATCTACCAGTCTGCAGATGCAAAGTGATGAAAGTATGCACTAATCTGTGTCATGTCGGGCCAGGCGTGGAGCACCTCTGACCCGGTTGCCAAATGTGGCCACACACCTGCTTCTCACACCCTCTTTCTCCAGGCCAAATTCCTCACCAGCTTTGTGTCACAACTTCCATGAGTATTTTTGTCAGGCTGTAATGTGCCCCTGAACTCTGGTAAAGATCCCTGTTTGTCCAGATGGAGGACAGAGTGTGAGAGGATGTCTAGAAACCAGCACAAAGATAAACATTTACAGTCATTGTTCTACCTACTTTTGCTTCTGGCTCCTCCTACAACTGGTATATGGCTGCCACCCCCCAAAGGTTGCCTAGAAAGGAATACATTCTTCAGACTGAAGAAAGTTCCCTACCCCTGCCATATGTAAAAGCTCCATTGTGAGGCATTCTCTATAGAACATTAAACATCCTGGCCATTCGTCAGATAAAAACTAGCTATTAATGTTTGGCAGGCAGGCAACACTGGCTCTCCGACAAATTGCAGTGTGAGAGCCATTGGCTCTGCTTGGATTCAGACTCTTTCTCCATATGCTGCAATGAAAAACTAGCCCTTAACATTTGGAAAGATCCTTTGAGCCAAATATGTCAAGTACAAAAAGTGCGGAGAAAGGGGAAAGAAAAAGGGCAGCCTTTTGTAAAAATAAAGGAAAAATCTTCTAAAGTGTAAAGTATTAGAGCTCTCTGTGTGACTCACCAAGAACTTCCAGTGCATGATATATTTCAGCTCTTCAAGTGTGGTAATTCTGTTACAATGACGACTTGAGAAGGGTTAGGTGTTTGCTTGTGTTGTTTTTTTTAATTAAAGGATGTACTTAAAAGCTGTATTTCCAATCTAACAGACAAGGCAGGCGTTCACTTACCACTTGTCTTCCAAGCCATTTGAATCTAAGAACCTCTCCGGTATAACATTTAAATGCTTTGTTCTCACCAAATGCTACCCAGAGACAAAGGATTCTTCATGGTTAAGGCCAAACTGTTTGTTTGAAATATTTGTATCTCACTTTTTCTTTTTTAAAAAAACCCTCAAGGTGGGTTGTGCAAAATATGTGAGCGTTTATCTTTTTGGAACAGCTGACAGCCTCCTAAAGCAACAATAATTCTGCATTTATAACCCAACTGCCCTCCAAAGAGATCAAAGTGGTGTACATGGTTCTCTTCTCCCTATAATATCTTTACAGCAACCCTGTGAGATAGGCTGGTCCGGTCAGATATTCCATACAGAGAAGCAAAATATTGTAAACTACGCTGCGGGGGAACAACTTGAGAGGCAGACATTTCTGGTAGGCAACAGCAGTGTGGTGAAACTGGAAGCCAGAGATGGTGAGAATAAGTAGCTAGAGTTGTGGGAGCATGACCAGAGTGTAGCAAGCCAAGAGGCAGGTGTCTTAAAAGCTGAATTGCTCTTGCCTAGGACAAGTCACAAACAGCAGATTACACCTGTGCTAGAATGCAAGGCGCTTGATTCGATCCTTGAAAGCAGGGTGAGTATGACTTATTTTTATTTACGTATTGTGAAGACCGCAAGTGTCCATCTCACATTAACAAATGCCTTGCCAATATTGCATCATTTTAGTTGTATGCGGAAAACAACCACTGCAGTGTTCAGTGGCAAGTGTGCTATTATGTTAAGCTTTTGATGCATCTCTAAGAGCAGCTGCTGCTTTTCCCCCCTTCCCCTTCCAGCCAAATGAAATAAGGCTGGACATTGTCACTGCTCACTGTGTGAGCTGAAAATGGCTTTGCCCATTGTGCTGAGTGCACAGATACTTACTCAGTGGAGAAGATGATGTGATGTTGGTTCAACTCCAGGACTGTCCAAAGTCTTACAGACTCTTCATTTTTCTTTAGCTGCTAATGTATAACTGCTGGAAATGCTTCCTAATCCGAGTATTGGAAAGCTATCCCTCCAGCGCTGTGGATACAGTTCTCAAACCCTTCGCCTGGGCTAGTGCCAATGACTTCAAGATGGAATGGTTGTCTTAACTGCTTCTGCCTTGTCAGTCTGGTTAGGGCTGAAGGCCTTGAGCAAGACATCTTCCACACACACCCTCCCCACAGTGCGTCTGCTTGCTCACTGCTCTTGTTGCCAGTTGCTCCTGCTTCCTTGCTGAGGAATGGGCGGGGTATAAACAATAAAATTTTTATTATTATGTAAAGACCTAATGAGAAAGCTGGCAGCAGCATCTACTGCTCCCTGTACTAAACACTGCAGTTGTTTGACTGCCCATCCCCTCTAGGTCAGAGCAACATTCAAGTGAGCAAGCAGGTTGCCATGGTGAAGAGGAGCAGGCCAGCAGGACCTCTGCTGTGGTGTGGGCCCTCAACAGGTGCCCAGCCTTGACACAGGCCCTGAAATAACAAATTAAGCAGCCAGCGGCTTGAATCCTGCTAGGCCCTCCCTGTCCCATTTTTACAACCTGGTTAGATTGTGACAGTTTGGGAAGTAGGTGGGGATTATGAGCCAAGGTAAAATCTGGAAGCAGGGTTGATCTCTGCTTACAATTGTAGGGTGATTGCGACACCATCTACCCCATGGGTAGGTAAACTAAGGCCCGGGGGCCGGATCCAGCCCAATTGCCTTCTAAATCTGGCCCACGGATGGTCCAGGAATCATTGTGTTTTTACATGAGTAGAATGTGTCCTTTTATTTAAAATGCATCTCTGGGTAATTTGTGGGGCCTGCCTGGTGTTTTTATATGAGTAGATTGTGTGCTTTTATTTAAAATGCATCTCTGGGTTATTTGTGGGGCATAGGAATTCGTTCTCCACCCCCCTTCAAAATATAGTCCAGCCCCCCACAAGGTCTGAGGGACAGTGGACTGGCCCCCGGCTGAAAGTTTGCTGACCCCTGATTCTGCCCAATTTTAGAATTTTCTCTCTTGTTAAGACAGTTTCCATTACCCCCAATCCCTTAAGGGCATGTTCTTGGTTTTTTCCTGTCACTCATCATCAACACTGTGATGGGTTGGATGCATGGAAGTCATCACAGAGTGTTTCCCTCGCTTCTTATAGCACCAACACCATACTTTTTGATGGAGGGAGTTCACACATTTCACTGAGTCACTGACTCTTTTGCAGGTCTACCCAGTTGTAAGCCCTGTGGGGCTCAATGGGACTTATGTTCAAATGACTATAGGAGTATACATCCATATGGACACTGGAACTGAACCATAAAGCTTGGCTGCAGATCCAGGCTTCTCTAAAATTCTGGAAATTTCGGAAGCCTATTGGTAAAGGAGGCGGTAGCTTTTCCATAAAAGTCATTTGCTGGCCTCAGCTGTTGCCCTGGGCTGTCATTTGAAGCACAGGTGCTGACAGAAAAGTGCATAAAAATGGCATCTTACTTCATGTTTGCTCTCCTTTTATCTGCTTAATTTACAAAAATAAATTCTTAGTACCATTCCTGCGGCACAGCCAGCCCAGCTCCCAGTGTGTTTTGTTGCGTTGGTGCATTGTGTCATTCACAAGTAATGTCAAGCTCTCGTCTAACCACAAAACACTCAATTGGAATTGATGTAGAGAGCTGAAATGCAGGGCAGGATGCAGAGTTTTGCTTAGGTATCTTATGGCTATCAAAGTGACATTTATAACCGACCAGTATTGCTTCTATGCAGTTCATTAATGTGTCTTGGACAGTTGTCGAAGTAGATTACTCAAGTCGTTTTCAACCTTCTCCGATTTTGGACTGACATTCAGCCCCATCCTTCAACAGCATCAACACAAATTTTAGACTTCTAAGGCTTATGCATAAGGAACCAAAACCATACTGCCAAGAAAGACATCAGTAGACTCAGGGTAACATCAAAAGTTTACAGATACTAAAAATAAAGAAATAAATAACTTCAGGGGAAAACCTCTCTAATTATCACAAGATTTGTAGAAGCACAGGACTATATAACCCCATTAATTCCAACAGGGCCTGTCACAACTACTTTTTGTCTAGATCAGGGTTTCCCAAACTTGGGTCCTCAGCTATTTTTGGACAATTCCCATCATCACTGACCACAGGTCCCTGCTGGCTAGGGATGATGGCAGTTGTAGTAAAAAAAACCTGGGGACCCAAGATTGGGAAACCCTGATCTAGGATATGCTTAGCACCTCCTGCTGCTGTTAGGTATTTTTTAAGCTTATTTCTCACTCCCACGCCCAGTATTTCTTCCTATTTTTGAAATTCTCCATTCCAGAAAGTTAAAAAGATGTATAAGAAAGAAGCAGGCAAAGGGCAAGTTTTTATATGTAGTGGGATGGATTGATGGAGTATTCAAATGATTTCTTGTAGATATCTTATATATATTACAGTGCTGCTTCTCCTACAAGATAACCTGTTAAAAACAGAACCACAAACACAGCTGTATTTCACCCCCTCCCAAATATGCATATGCATACTACTGATATTGAGGCCAGCAAGTTTCCATCTCCATATCAATACAAAACACGTTGTTGGCCAAGGATCACTCTTTGCTCCTAAGACATATTTGAGCTGATGCAAAGCAGAATGTATTGTTCATTTAAAGCACATTTATGTGAAACATGATTTAGAATACCAAAAAGATGTGTATACTTTCCTTCCCTCTGCAATCCCTGCATTAAAAACTCCCCTCTGCCTGCCTGAGGGTTTGTTCTACTATCAAATCCTACCTAAGAGGGAACTACAAGGCTAAGATATCTGGGGAAGTTTCAGCATCTCCCACAGAAGCAGCCCTTCTACTTGTTAATTTTAGCAACTCCTTGCTCTAAAATCATAGAATTGTAGAGTTGTAAGGGACCACATGTGTCATCTAGTCCAACCTCCTGCAGTGCAGGAATATTTTGCATAACTTGGGGCTTGAACCACTGACCCTGAGATTAAGGGTCTCATGCTCTATCAACTGAGCTAACCTAAGATGTAGCAACGCTACATTTGGTCTAAAAGTGCACAGTTCTGCTTGCCATTTCAGCCCTTCAGAACTGCTCCTACAAATCTGAGGTGCAGCTTTCTCATTTGTGATATAAATCTACTGCAATAATCAATTGGATCTTGCACAATGGCAGCAATCATCCTTGATGAAGCTTTTCCATAGCCCTCAAAGCACATTATATGGCAAAGGAGAGTTGCTCAGTAACGCTAATCCCTATGAGTAACTTCTTCAGCACCACTAGGCCTATTTTGTATTAAAACAAAATTAGTAAAAACCATAGCTTTCAGTAGATATTCCATTAACGTGCAAGTTACGCACCTGCAATTATCTACGCTGACTACACTTCAAAAGCTATTTCACAACACAGTAGAACAGGATTGTTCCAGAGACAACTTGAGGTTGTAGCCTATGTGTAAAAAAAGTCAAATTTCAACAGATGTGCTTAGTCCTACTCAAATTTACTGAGAAAAGTGGATGCACCACAACTGCATCCATTTGGCTAACCTGACAGATGTGTGCAGATAGCAATGCTTTGGATAACTTTGAGCTATTCCTAATACTATAGTTATTTTCCCTGCCAATTACATTTTGCTAAAAATAGGTGTGCCCTTAAGTTGATCCCAATATCAGTTTCAGCTAACTAATCAAATTATATGCTAAGGTTTCAGGAATTATAACCCTCCCCTTTATTTAGACAAAATGAGATGGGTTTTAACTCTGAGAACTTGCCAAGAATAGATTTATTTTAAAGTTGAAGGGGCTGTTTTCAGAACACAGACCTTTAGGTATGGTAACCTTTGTGAACAAGTCAGCAATACTTCATAGTTTAAAGAAACACAGGAGGGAAAGGATAAAGTTAGGACACATACAGTGAAACCTTATACCTGTCTACTCAGAAGTCATTAGGAGTTCAATGAGACTTACTACTAGGCAAGTAGGTAGGATCCTGCACACACTTACTATGGTGTAAGCCCCACTGCACACACTTCTTGGCAAATAAGCATAGTATTGCACTATAACTGGGGGGAGTTCTGAGTATTTTGGAATGGCTCCTGACCAAATTGGTTTTTCCAAGGTCTGTTTCACATGAAAGCAGCATCTGAGTGCAATGGCTCACCGAATATTGTAGAAGCTACTGTATATTTTCCTCCATGCCTCTGTAAACAGTAATGTGCACGGGTATGGTATACAGTGGCAAATGTGTGGAGTTATTTTAAAAACCTTTCATAGGTAGCTGTTTCGTGAAAAACGAGCTTGAATCAAAGCTCAACATTTTTCAGTTAATCTTTCAGAGGCTTCTTGGATATTTCACCGAAGCAATTACCATTTTTGTCTTATAAGTTTCAAGTTATTAAAAACCATCGCTGTTTCAGAAATGTATTGCCATATTAAGGCTGCAACACAGCACATGCTTTCCTGGGAATAAGCCTCAGAGAATACAGTTGGACATAGCGCTAAGGAAACTTGCATAGAATCAGGCTGCATATTTCAACTAGGACTGAAAGTTATCCAGATTCTCAGTGTCAACCCACAGAACGATGGACATTGAAATGTGTAAGGCTGTATGTCTTCCTTTTGGACAATTCTAACCACAGGTTGTGAGTCATATCTTTAATGATTTTCTGACTTACAAAATCTATAGTTGGAATCAATAACTCCTCCCTCTCATCATACTGGGCCATATTTACATATATACACAAAAGAATTCATGTCTAATCTTTGTGGTTCAAAGTACTGTCATTGTCAAAATGCAGCCTTTCTGCTTCAGACTCAGAAGACAATAGGCATTTTATGTACTAAAAGTCACTTGACATGGTTTTTCACTCAGACCCACCATTTCACCACCTTGTTCTCCAATTCCCAACCACCAAGTGCCCACGCAACATGGAAGCCACTTTTGAAACTTGGGGCAGTTCAACAGCAGATTGTGTTGGGAGTGGGGGGCAGCTATTCTAATGGGGTTAAAAGTAACTTTTAAAAATCCCTGTATAGATTGTGGGAGTTTGTTTTCTTAAAACAAGGTGGTGGTTAGTGAGAGAGCTTAGGGACATTCATGGTGCTTTTTCTCTCCCCTCCCCAACTCCGCATTCAAATTTGACTGCAATATAGGTAGCAATGTTTTGATTATTCTAAGATGCAGCAGAGTTGTGACCTTCGGTCTGATCACATTCCTTATAATCTCTTGCAACACAAGAGAAGGTAGCTGCTGTTTACTTGTTCGTTCGCTGAATCCCATCATCCACATGTTACCCATTGTGTAGCAGTGTACCTGTAATCCTCCTGCTCACATCTGACAAGGCAAAGAGTGGTGTAGAGAACAGGATTCAGTGGGGATTGCAACTACCTTCTCTCTTGCTACATCAGGACATTTAAAGCTGAGACCTGGGGGCTCCAGTTGTTGCTGAACCCACATCGAGCCCAGCAAGCACGGCCAGCTGACAAGGATGATTGGAGTTGTAGGTCAAAATATCTGGAAGGCCTCAGGTGTCACATCCCTGATTTAAAGGAATGTGCCCAGTGTCCAGGTTACAATGTGGTAACTCTCAAGAGATGAACCAATTTTATACATGTCCATACTTAACGATACATAATGTAACTGGATCCATTTGGCTTATTGAATCTTTATCCTCAATTTGAACATACGGGCTTGATAAACTTCTTCACCATATCTTTCCATTCTTTAACTCTCAAATGTAAAGAAAATACAGGATTGTATGATAGCATGATTACAAGAAATTTTAGTCAAAATGCAGGGTGATCAAGTGCTCAACCAGTGATGGTGGCCTCAGCTTAGACTTCCCATATTCAAAAGAATGCAGTGTTTAGCCAGCATCAGCTCTCGAGCTTGGTGGAGTCCTGGAAAATGACTGATTCTTGCTAACAGTCCGAGATGGGGGAATAACAAAAACATTCTAAAAATCGGGGAAAAAATCTATACTGTTCCTATTGCGTTAACACCAAAAGATCTTACAATTTAGCAGCCACTTAAACCACTTTTGGTAGGCTAGCCATCACACGAGGGGCATGCAAACAGCCAGAGTTCATTGCATTTTGCTTTATGTTTAGTGCTGTTGATAATTCCTGTAGCTGCTCATACCTTTCTCAAACAATGTTCAACCAAATAAAAAGGATACTGGACTGATGCTGGAAGAGCAGCAGGTATGTCTACACATTCAGCACACACCAATAAGGGAACACTCAGAAGATGTCATATTAAGGGATAATTTTTTAAAAAGAAGTTTTTCTGTGCAACATTGTCAATTTGAAGTCCCACTGAATCATGATGTCCCTTGACGTTTTTGTTGCTGATTTCGGATAACTTCCAACTGTTTTTTGCATTGCTGGTAGTACGTGGAAAGACTTTTATTTTCATCTAAAAGCTTTTTATGCTCTTGTACCAGACGTGATGTATTTTGCTGGTCTTTTTCATCCTGGTCCAGTTCTGCTATTAGTTCTTGCCTAAATTAAATTTTGAAAAGTTAACATTAGAATCTCAAGAGAAATTAATTGATACTCACATTTATCTACCAATATTGCTGTTTACTAAAAAAAAAAAAGTCTCAAATATTATCTAATATACTTCACAGAGGTTTGATAAAGTAATCTCCATAGGGTACAGTAGCAAGGTCTCCTTCACACCCCATTTAAGTATGCATGTGCGGTGGCATGTGTGTCCACAACTATCCATGTACCATACAACAGCACATGACTTTTGAAAATTAGGGAAGGGAGCAGTGTAAACCAACCCCAAGTTCATTAATATTGAGAAAAAACAATATTTCAGTAGCAGATGCCTGCTGAAGTACAGAAGATCACTGCCACCAATATTTTGTTAGTATGTTAGTAGTATAACTTAAGTCTATTATTTAACAAGTTTTTTGGATGCCAAAATTGGGTGTCACAAAATTATGTATGAATTTCAGGTGTGGTTTTAGTGAAGCTGTACTTGTCACTGGCTCAGTTCAGGTATGCAGTGGTTCTAGACAAATGCACTGCATGAAGCAGATGTTCACAAAGCAACTATCAGTTTGATTTTAAGGAGAACTTCAAGTTCTGACTCCTATATGTAGGATCACAATTAATAGCCAATGTCAAATTAACAGGCAATGATCTGGCCACAGGTTCATTCAGAAGTCAGTGTCTGTATCTGCCCAAGGTGGGGAGCATTCCTGAATCCCAACTTGTCACTGGAGTCTCAAGTGGCTTCTGTGGCTAGGAGTTCTTCTGCCCAGTTTAGGCCAATTTGCTATGTATGGTCTTTCCTAGATTGGAATAGCCTTGCATCAGTTGTCGATTCTCTAACCTCTCATCTGGACTACTGCAATGTGCTGTATGTGGGGTTACACTTGACAACTGGAGTTAGTGTGGAATGCAGTCACTAAGCTGGCAAGTGAGGTAGCCTGATGGGACCATGTGTCACCGGTGGTCCTCAAAACACTGTGCGTCAGTAAGCTACCAAGTTAAATTCAAGGTGTTAGTACTGGCATATGAAGCCCTATATGACACAAGTGCCACTAGGGGCTGTCTGATTGGCAGTGACCTCTGACAGGGCCTTTTCTGTGGCAGTTCCCCATTTGTGGAATCTACGACTTGGTTTGCTGCATCTGTCTCCCTTGTTATTGACTTTAAGGAGACAATAAAAACATTTATATCCACCTAGCTATTTGATGACTGAGATACTGTTCCTGGAAACCCTGAGACCACTGTTTTCATTTGTGTGTTTTCAAATGTTTAATCATGTGTCCTGTCACCCTAGGCTCCCTTGGGAGGAAGGGTAGAATAAAAAACAAACTAATAATACTAATATTCCAGAAGATTATTTGGGCTCATAGTCTCAAAGATTATTTAGGTTTTGTCCTTTTTACACCATTCTCAAAATAGGTCACGTTCTATATTGAGATGAACTCTTGTTAAAATAGCAGAGGCAAGAGTCACGTAGACTATTTTTTCACAACTGTCATTTCATTTAATTGATGAGATAAGCATTCAAAACACTTTCGGCCTCTAATTTTAGATGAGAAAATATTCTAGGCAGAGTTGCAGTGAACTAGTTCTCTGAGTTTTCTTCTGGGTCTTAAAGAATCTACTTCGTTTAGAGAGTCCAGCTGCCCCACAGTGCTCTCTTAGAGATGTACCTGTGAAGCGGAAATGGGAATACAGTGGTACCTTGGGTTACGTTAACTTTGGGTAACGTAATTTCAAGTTACGAACGCAGCAAACCCGGAAGTGTATACTTCTGGGTTTCGCCATGTGCGCATGTGCAGAAGCACTCTGCACGCTTCACGCATGCGCAGAAACGCTCTGCGCACGTGCGCAGAAGCGGTGCCTCCAGATACTGACTTTTCGGGGTAAGTACAGACCCCAGGGACGAATTAAGTTCATATCCGGAGGGTCCACTGTACTGCCTTGCAACTGCTCCAAATGATGCACTCTCAATGATGAAAGCTGGGAAGCACATTTGTCACAAGATGGGCATCAGCTGCTTCCCTTAAGACTGGAGAGTGAGTGGCATTTAACACTCAGAGAAAAGAGTGATGTTGTGACACGGCTCATGGCAGCAAGGGTTGGAACGGCTGACTGCCTTGGGAACTGAAGAGCATGCTGTTTGCTCTGTCACAAAAAATGGTCCTGCAGTCAAAAGTAGGAACTGCTGCCTGGCAGGTGGAATTCTGAGCTATGGTCACAGGCCAGGGTATTGGGGAAGCAATTGGGAAAAGAAGAGGAGAAATGGGGGTTGACTCTGGAATTGCAGCAACCGTCTTGGAGGATGTTCCCATGATAGGAATGAGCCAGTCGTCACTCCTACAGCTCTAAGTTGGGAAAGACACAAATCATGGCACCAGTGTGTTATGAAAAAGTTTTGATTATTTTTATGTAGTGTTTTAGTTTATTTGTTTTTGCAGTTGTTTATTTTGTATTTTAGCTGTGAACTGCATTGTGATCTTGTGTGAAGAAGAATATATAAACAGGAATGAATGAATGAATGAATAAATAAATAAATAGTTTGGGAGTCATGGGAATTTCCAAGGCCTTCCCAGACTCATCCTGGTCTGAGAAATGGGACTCTGTATCTCACTAGGAAGTACAGAAACATTACTCCATGGCTTGTTGCATGTGAAATATTTATAACTATCAGCCCAATCTGCCATTCTAAGCAAGTGAAGAAGATAGTTCAACCTTGGGACATGATACAAAACAGGGCACCATACCTTTACATGTTCTTGTTTCTGTAAGCAGATTACAAATTCATCTACAGAGACTCCTAGTATTATAAGTTTATCATAACCAGAATCATGCTTGAAAGTAAGAAAATGCTGCCATTTTAGAAGCAATATGTAGGGTTTTTTTTAATTTTTAAAAAATGCAATACTGTGTTAATCTACACTTTTGTTTCAGTAAAATTATCACACAAGAACAAAAAAGGAACATATTTTACCACTTACTTTCTTTGCAACAGCAATGCAATTTCTGTCTGAACTTTCATATATTCTTGTGCCATTTTACAGTGCTGTTCAAACACAGCCATAGATTCTGAGTTTGGACATGGCTGTAAAGGCTGAAAATAAAATCAAACATGTTAAAAATGAACCGACTGTTATCTCAACACACAGCATGTCAAACCTTCTCTTTTTAAATTCAAGGGAACTAAACTATATCCAGAAAACATCTTCGCAGACCTAGGCAAACATGAAGTATACCAGAGTATTATTTTATAATCTGTAAAAGAAATATATGTGGGCAACTATTTAGCGATCATCATGACTGATGAAGCGTTTCAAGTGGCAGCCCACTCTGCTCTGGATGTCTACGTCATCCCTGGGATGGGTGACCATGCAGTTACCAATGCGCTGCTACTTGGTACTTCTTCAGCACAGAGTGTGGGATAAGAGGCTAGTGTTGGCAAGATGTAACTCTAACTTTCTGAGCTGGGTTGTCAGGGCAGCAGTTCGTTGCATCAGGTCAATTTATTCAGACATAAAGACCAGAGACTACATTTTGCATAGCTAGCTTTTTGGCTAATCAAACCAATTGCAACAGTACCCCTTTTAAAAAACAAACAAAAACAAAACTATTTTAAACATGCACATGCTAAATTTGGCTCGACTCCTGCATGCACACCAGTATAATTACCCCCCCCATCTCCTGACAACCTAGCAGTTTGAAAGCGCGCCAGTTCAAGTAGATAAATAGGTACCGCTCCGGTGGGAATGTAAATGGCGTTTCCGTGTGTTGCTCTGGTTCGCCGAAAGTGGCTTGGTCATGCTGGCCACATGACCCGGAAGCTGTATGCCAGCTCCCCCGGCCAGTAAAGTGAGATGAGCGCCGCAACCCCAGAGTCGTCCGCAACTGGACCTAATGGTCAGGGGTCCCTTTACCTTTTTACCCCCCAAAATGGACAAAATATTCAAGATAGAGAATTGTATCATCTATTTTTTTATTTATTAATAGGTTGTGTATTGTATGCTTCTCTTTGTAAGAAGCCTGGAAAAGAGCTTTTGCCATTAAAGGTGGCCTAAACATATTAAGCAAAAACGGAAATCACAGAATGATTTTACCTGCAATTGGTGATCTAATGTAAGATATGCCATTGGGATGGAGTTATCAGACCCATTGGTATCTGTTGGAAAAAAGACAGCTTTTTTGAGTTTCAAGTGTGCAAAGTGACATCAATACATGTTGGAAGTTCTCAAAGTCCTACATAGACATAGGTTTCATGAGGAAATGATACAGGGTACTTTCACATGACTAAGTGCCACATAGCACTTGTTATCTATCTCTGCATGATGGCTGCATTTATGGCTTGCTGACTATACTAACTGATCATGTAGTGAAGTATTTAATGAGCAACTACAACCACACAGAACTGTAAAGCTGTTGGAGTGTATTAATGTCAGATATCTATCCTGTACCTTTAGTATCTAGGTGCTTTCAAGTAGTCTAATAATAATGGATGCAGTGGAGATATATTTATAAAAATAGTGTTTTTGTTGCTGTTAAATCCTCTTATTCTTTTTTCAAGGAGCTTACAGCTACATACAGCAGGTTTCTAGAGTCTTCCTCCAACTAGGCCTGTTCAATTTCAAAACCACATAAAAAGGTCACTTTCCCTCTCATCATACAATAATGAAAATGGCCATTATGTTGTACTTGGTCTACTGAGTGTGGTTTGGGCGGCGGCGGCGGGGGGGGGTGTGTCAGCAAAATAGCAATCCAAATCTACCCCAAAATCAGTCCAAATCTTTTTGCAAAAGGCAGATAGATATTTCTTTGCACCAGCTACTGACTTTTGCAACTTGATTTTAAAAGGCAAACATGTATAAACACCTCTAAGCAGTTAAAATTACCAAAGTTAATTAGAATTTTAAAATTATACAATTGAAAATTCAGGGCAAAAGTGTAGTCCTTATTTTAAGGACGGTTACTAAGACTTTTGCAGCCATTGCTGTCATCAGCTAGTATTGATCCGCAAGGAGAAAAATCACACAATAGCCAGTTAGCACTCCAGCTGAAATAGCAATATTGGGGTGATTAACTCCTTACACAAATCTCTGTACAAACAATACTACAGTTTCAGTACTGCCATCTCCACATGTATTGTATATGTAGGAATTTGTAATAGCATTCGCTTACAATGGCCCTCAGGAATCTACAAGATGCTGGCAATAGCATCTTTTTTTATGTACATACAGAACTGCTCATGTACATAAGTTTCCTTGTTCTCTTAAGTCAAGGCATACTTTGCATAGGCAACTAGGATTCTCTGTTGTGAAAACAAGGTATTCTGTTACTCATAAAAGATGCAAGCCTTTCAGGTGCAAAGCTGTGCGTGTGGCGTGCACAAACATTGCAGTCCTATGTGTGCAGCAGGGTAGCTGAATACAGCTCCCAGAAGCGATCCCTACTCCAGTATCCTCCTAAAGGGAAAGAGTCCAGAACAGAGACCTTTTTGTAGTTATATCTGCAGAGATGAACAGAGTCTTTTCAACAATCCCATTATGATCTCTTCTTCCCAAAGAAGCTGGGCATCTTTGTTTTCATTTTAGAAATGGTAAAGGATTTTTCGTTCTAGAAGGGGTGTGAATGTGTGGGGGTGGTGGGGACTGGGGACCAGGCTACATTTTTATAATATGAACCGTTGGATTGCCAATCTGCTATGCTTTCTTCAGGATTTTAATTTTATTGTTTTGTATTTTGTTTAGTGTGCTTTTTATAGTTGTTTTATGCCATGTTGGAAGCTGCCCTGGGGACTCCCAGGGACAGGATGTCAATTCCCCCAAGTAAAATAAAAAGTTGGTGCTTTTGGACCTTGTGTATATACACATTTTGGAGGTATTTATTTATTTCATAAAATTTATATGTTGCTTGATTGTAAAAAACCAACCCCCCCCCCCAAAAAAAACCCCAAGGCACTTTTGCAGCAGTATGTGAACCACTGGTAAAAGTTGTTTCTTCAGGTTAGCTTGAAAAAAAATCATTATGGAACAGTCATGTTTACAAAGCATTTCTTTCCTAATATTGAGTATTCATTATCACAAGAATTGGACATTTACTATCTAATAAGAAACAACAGTTTGATTACAGTACACTGTATACAAAATGTCCATTTCTACATTATTTTGCAGTTGGATGTAATAATGCTAGAAGTACAGGTGGAAGACAGGAGTGCCTGGCGTGCTCTGGTCCATGGGGTCACTAAGAGTTGGACACGACTAAATGACTAAACAACAACACAGATGGTAATTTACTTTGCCGAAGTCAATGTAGTTATTAACACTAGAAGCACTGGGAATAAACTTGGGGAGAGTCTGATGTAGGGTAACATTCACAATCAATTAAGCCTGTCTTAAATGAAGGCATGCACATAAATGATGTACAATTTGTTTTTATTATATGTTTTATGCTAAAAAGGAACTTACATACAGCATTGGAAGAACACATTTTGTAACAAAAATTTGACACACAGCACAATGTCCGACAGTCCTGGCTCCAGGTTTTTGCATAAAAATTTAGCGGGTTCCTGTAAAATACAAATGATCACCCTCCCATGGTTCAGCACTACTGATGGAGAGCAAGCAAGTGATCAGGTGACAGCAGCAGCTTTCTCTCCCTCTGTGATGTAGTTGAGTATTTTAGATGATGCTGTGGCCTTTGGCTAGTGCAATAAAGCTTCTGATTATGGTGCGGACACAAGAGGCCAAATAAGGAGCCGCAGTCACAGCTGTAGCAACACACTCACTTGCCCTATGGTAGATGCCTAGCAGGGACTCACATTGATTTTGAACCTGAAGTTGATAAAGTTTAATACACACAAGCCTTGTGTGTAAATCACTACGCAAACACAGTACTTCTCAAGAGCGAGCGTTGATACTTCCAAAGCCAAACCCAAACCCAAATTTACCTGTAGAGTCATCAGGTGTCCATGGAAGACTGCGAGCTGGCTTTTCAGAGGTTGGTCCCGAGGTAGTGATCATTCTCACACTAGGACTAGATGATCTACTGTTGTTCCTGCTTTCCTGTACGAAGACATTTTTTTTTTAAAAAACCCCAAATTATTATCTTAAGGACACTGCAATTTCAAAACAACACTGTTGAAAATCTGAAATTTCTTGATTGCCAGATCAGTTAATTTTCATGAAGATTTGAGAGGTTTGCTTCCCCTTGAAATAAAGAAAACAATAATATAAAAAACATGTGAAGCAGTCCACAAGTTTCGGGAGTCATTCTTCCATGATGTTTTTCTACATGTTTCATCAGAGCTCAGGGACTTTCTAGTGAAGGGGACAGGGGAATATACTGCTGTCAGAAAAGAGTAGAGCTAAAAAAGCAGCAATGCCTCTTCTCCAACCCACCCACTTGGTGCCAAAGGACATATTCTTCCTCCCACTGAAAATAGCCGGTGTGGCCTCCCATCCTCAGTTTAGACTGACACCATAATGCAGCAAAGGCTTAAAGTCCCCCTTTCCCCATGCCATGATACTGATGTGGTTTGCAGCCCCTGCTGACTATTTAACGTCAAGAACAAAGGAAAAAATAATTGCATACAAGGGCTATGGCCCTCAGAAGTTGGGTTCTACCCTTTTAAAACATGGTGGGGTTTTGAGGGGGGAGGGGGGTTATTGGGCTGTTGTTTTTATTTTGATTATATATTTGTGTTTTATATTCTGATTTTGTTCTGTGAACCGCCCTGAGACCGCCGGGTATAGGGCAGTATATAAATTCAATTAACAACAACAACAACAGTATAACATCATGTAAATAAAAATCAGGATCTATTGAGAAAATAAACAGCACTATTCATCAACCAAATAAACATGGAATGGTAGGCTGGGTTAAGCGAAAGGATTCTTGGGACAAGATTGCATCAGACACAATAACCCTGCTGAAAAATGCAAAATTACAAGAACTGGCCGTAAAGGGGAACAAAGTTAGCAAGGACAAATTATTGTCATGGAAAACGAGGAGTGTTGCCCATCCTTTGGAATGTGTACACCTCTTACCTCTGCCCTGCTGCAGTCCAATCAAAACTTCTCTGTACATTTATGGGTGGGCTTCTTAGAGCCCAAAGTAGGAAAAGTGCTAAGGTTATCAATAGCTACATTACACCTCCGCTACACTTCCAGGATCAGAACCGGCATGACTCTGAATACTGGTTACTGAGAAACCACAGCAGAAGACGGCTAGAGTGCTCATGTCCTGTTTGCAGGGTTGCCAGAGACATCTGGGTGGTCACTAATGGAAACAAGATGCAAGACTCGATAGACCTTTGGTCTAATCCAGTGGGGCTCTTCTTCTTATAATACATGCATAGGTAATGTGTGGGCATTAATGCCCAGTCGGATGGTTGTTAAAGAATATACAGAGAATTTATTGAAGGACTAATGTTATTAAACACTTTGCACCAAGATTCTGGTTGGCTTGTGGTGGGCTCCCATCTCAATGGGGAGGAAAGATTTAATCCCTGTTCTATGCTGATACAAATACAGGTGGAGCACAAGTATTAATTATGAAGGCCATGATCACACATTTCACAAAAAAATAAAATGAAAAGCACCTAGGCAGCACACATGCTGCCATTACTAGTTTGACACTAACCATATTCAAAACAAATGAATCAATGTTACTCATGCTACTGACGTTTAAAGACTGTTGCCTGACATTCCATTAGCTCAGGTATAAAAATTAAAAACACAAAACGTAAAACATTTCATTTCCCCCCTTCCAATGATTTCACTCTAAGCCACTAAGGACAAAGTGATAAGATGATATGTCTTTGGTATGTGCATATGTACTCAGAAATGTCACCTCAAATGACAAAGTGAAACTATGGATAAGTCAGTAGTTGTATTTTCCCTAAACGCAAGTTTGAGAGCTTTCAAATTCACATCGGTTTTGAAAAGTTTTACAGTAAAGCAATGAAGCTGAAGAATTCTAAGTTTTATAAATAAAGGTTTGTGCAGGCAAGAAATTGCTCTCAAATTTAGCCAAATATCAAGTAGTATAGTTAAAAAATAATAATTAACAGCATCATATGCATAGTCAACAATAAACATTTTCAGTGGGTAGCATTAACAGAACTTGCAATCTTTTTAGGCATGTTGGGCGTTTTTCGCTTGGAACCAATTCCTACTAAGTACAATGCCATTTTCTCACCTGGAATAATACATAGGGATATAGGCTTGTTATACCATTACTAAGTCTTACCAAAAGGCAAGCAAATATACTTTAGACTATAGCAAAGGAGAGACAATATTGTGAAACTTTTCTTGCCAGTTTAAGCATCTTCAACGCAGTACAGAGCTATGGTAGAGGTTCTTCAAAGCTGTACATTGCACTTTCACAATTCTAGTGCTCTTCAGGTATTTTATAATTTTAATTTGGTGGTTTCAATTTGAAAAGAGTTGCTCACCCACAAAAACAATTTTTTAAAAAAAGTAAAATAAAATAATATTAGACAATCATTTAATGAACCAACTATGATCTTCAAGGAAAAAAAAGGTTTTTTACCTGGTTGGAATCTGTTCCAGCAACACTAAGGTCTTGAATAGATCTGCGCCTCTGTTGTCCGTTGCCTGCTGATGAGAGAAAGAAAAAAAAAAAGGAGCTGAAATGCACTCAAACAAAATAAGGGTGTGACTGTTGCAGAAAGAGCTTGGAATTTGTACAGATCCAGCGAGAGGGAGAGAAAGAGTGTGTTTGTATATGGGGAGGAGTGGGGGAGAGCAGAAAGACAGCTGCAAAGTTTTAAGAAGAAGAAAAAAACACACCCTGCACACTGGCGTGTCAACAGAAAGCATATCCTAATACAATAACCACTCCTATCCCATGAATAGCTTCTGCACTTTCCTTCACCATCTTCTGTCACATGTGCTTTAACAGGCTTAGTGCTTGGGGGGCTGGCACTGATGACGACATCTATTTCAAGGAGGTTACGTTATGGGGATTTCTAGAGCACGGCTACTACGATAAGATGCTGCCAGTTTTCTCACTTCTTTGGATTAGTAAGCAAAATGAGTAATCAGCAGTACTGACCTGCAAATCATAATTTTGCTCTCTCTCACAGGAAAGGCCAACCCAATTTCTATTCCAGTTATAATGCTCCTGTTTAGTTGCCGAGAATCATCTTATACTTATTTGTCCCATTCTTGAAAATGTAGCCTGCATATATATATATATATATATATATATATATATATATATATATATATAATTTTGCACCTATTACAGACCTGAATGCCACCAGTTTTTTTTAATTAAAAAATTAATGGCTATATGCGATATATATACACATTGTTAAAATCTGCAAGCCAATAAAATAACAAAAGATCACAATTTTTGGGTATGCAGCATTTCCACTAGCATTTTGCTATTCTAATGATCATTGTTTATGCTGCTTCTGGGATGAGAGATCAGTTGTCCAAAGGAAACACCAACACATTGAAATTAACAGCTGACACAATACTTAGGATTCTTCAGTCTCTGAAGGTTACATTACATAACATTTTTGTTTTAGAAAAACACAGACCAGCGGTAACGCAAGCAACCACTCCAACAATGAGAAGCACATGCATTCAGCGTCCTTCAATTGATCATTCTGTTTTACAACATGCAGTTTGGCTTTATACAAGGCCTCAATGTTGATTAAAGTGACCTAGGAACTTATTTCCAGTTTGAATATAAACGGGATAAAAAGGAAGAGAACAACCCAGTTTTCTGAATAATGTCTTGCTTAACATCTTGGGTTTCCCTTGAGTTACACACCACCAAAAGGAGTATATATTTGGGTGGCTTGTTACCCATTTCTCCCAAAGGATTTTGATTTAACAAGTTATTTAAAAAAATACAGAAAGGGAATCAGATACTTTAAAAGTTTTTAGAACTTTAGAGCAAATTGATATTGTGAGCAGCAAAGCGGTTCAGAATTTCTGCGCCACTTCTGAAAATATCAATTACAGAGTACTGACACACACAAGTGCTTGACTTCCAGGTCAACTACACAAACTTCCCAAGAACTGCCTAAGTGGTCCGTGATCTGCTCCTTAAAAAGCATGCAGCAGCCTGTCATTAAGAAAATGATCATTAGGAGTTTACATTGGGAAGCACAACTTGTGATGTTTTTTTTAAAAAGCAGTTGCTCATTAACAGATTTATGCAGTTGGTCACAGGCTCTAGCAACTTAGCATGGACCTCAAGATGATCCACTCATGACTGATGTAACAATTATGTCCACATTTCATTCAACAGCTCCGTTCTAAAATTAGCTTAACTGAAATAAACTTGTAAAAAATATCTGGAATTCCCATTCTCCTTTCAGATTAGCAACATTTGTGAATCTAAAGAACCCAGCACATGTGCTGCTGAAACATTATATCATGGCCACCAAAAAGTTAAAATAATCAGGGTGGGGTAGAATTAAAAATGCCTTTATATATTTATATTCAAGAAGGTTGTGCTCTGTAGCACTGACGACACCAAACTGCTTTAAATGAGAAACCTCCAGATTAGCAGCATGAGATTTAAAGCAAGCTGTTAGGCTAAGGCATTTTCATTGCAGTTAACTAGTACTGGCATAGGGCAAGCAGCTCAAGCACAGCCAAACAAACAGGAAATCGATAAATACTTGTTGCTCCTGGATCAATATCAGCTTAGGGGTCCAGCCATAAAAACACAAGCTTCCAGCACGGAAATCAGTTAGCTCCAGTTATAAACACTGCCCGTGAACACAACTCAGAAACTTCAACTGGTCCAAAATGCAGCAGCCAGATTATATGCCTTTAGAATGCATATAACCCATTCTAAAACAGCTACATTGGTTGCCAGTTCATTTCCAGGCCCAATTCACGATGCTCACATTACTGTTTAAAACCCCTCAAATGATTAGGCCCCAAATATTTGACAGACCGCCTCCTTTCCTATAGACCCTCTTGGGTATTAAAATAAGCAGGTCTTGGTATTTCTGCCACCGTCAGAAGTCCTGGTGGTGCCCCCAGGAGAGCATTTTCTGTGGCACCCAAGGTATGTCTGCCACATTCACTATACAGCTTTTAGTGAATGCTGAAAAGGCATCTCTTTACATTGGCCTTTAACACCTGAGATTCGTGTTTCAGGACACCTGTGACTGCAATTTGTTTTAAGTGTTTTTAATACTGAATTTTAAATTGTTGTAAACCACACTGCTGGCAAAGAGCAGGCAGTAAATTTAATAAATATTACTACTACTACTATTTTTTAGAAGTAACCATCTTACTCTTTACGAACGGAAAACAATGCTGTTAAAACACAAGAGAATATCCTACTGCAAGTAGTGCCATTCAAGTGATTATGTAATTTGGGGGTAAAAGGTAAAGAGAAGCCTTTGAAAAGAACCATAACCCTAAATTTTAATGATAGGTAAACAAATTTTGGGTGGGGAGATACTTAACATGTGTACTGACCACCAATCAATACATGTGTTTAGTAACATTTCTTTACTTTAAATTCTGGTTCAAATCCTTCCCCTGAGAAGTTTAGTGACGTGTTACAGATACTGTAGAATCTGTCACTCTAGCTGTTTTAGTTGAGGGATTGTGGCAAAGGATACATTGCACAGTATACAGAAGCGTGAGTAAATTCAAAGGGCTTAAATCAGGGTTATCAATGAGGCACTTGTGGGCACCAGTGTGCCTGCCAGTACCTCCTATGGTGCCTGCAACAGGTCTCAGTAAATGTCCCATCAAAAATCTGGATAGAATGAGAATAAATGTCCTTTTTGTCCTGTTGCTGTTTGCCCTATTTTGGCCTCTCCTACATGTCCCCTGAAACATGACCACACTTCATGCTCACCCTTTTGTTGTGAGCAGAGAAAAGGTGCAAATATGGCAATGGCTTATCATCTGAGGGAGAGGGGTCTGTACCATTTTGTGGTCCTGTCACTTTCTGCTCTTTTAGATATGGCAGCCATTTTGTGCTATGCCCCCTGGCAGCCATTTTATGACTGGCACTCATGGCACTGCCTCCAAATAACGAATGTGCCCCAAAAGATTGACAATCCCTGCTTTTAATTATACTACAACCTCACAACTGTAACTTGCTAATGAACTAGTATACTTGCATATTTTGTTAGCTCTGCATTTTAAGTGAATTGGATTTGTGCTTCCTGGATTTATGGAATGGAATGCATTAACCCTTTGTTTTTCACAAATCTTGACACAAAATAAATACCAAAATGCATACAAATAATGTGCACCTTGTGAAGAAATGTTTAAAATAATGCATATTTTTGTGCTGTTTAAAATAAACTTGGACTATTCTGGAAATGAGATACATGAAATAATATTGTGAAACTGGCACAACCAGAAATAGATTGATCTGAGCCAACAGTGAATCCCAAAGTAAAAAACACAGGAAATATGTAAAAAATAATAATGCAAATAACATCCTGTGCAAAACATTTATGAATGAATGTTTGGCATGCCAATTTTCCTCATAAACATATATGAAAAACAGGTTCAATGACTGAACCTGTTTGAAAATACTGTATTTCATTCATCTGAAAAGGTGATCTCCCTGCCTACAGAAGTTTATGATTGAATTCATTTGTTACTGTTGTTCCAGAAACACTTGGATTGCTGAGAATGTAATGAAGAAGTTCCTAACCACTTGTCACCAGATTCCTTATCGCTTGGGCAAGAGCAGAGGTGTTGGCCTTTGTTTCCAGGCCAAGTTCTAGGCTATGCATCATATCTTGACTATTTAGAATTCCTTTCAAAACTTTCTTTGCTATGTCCTAAGACATCGCATAACATTGTATTCATTTTTTAACTCAGGGTGTAATAGAACTTTTATAAAGTATTTGGTACATGAAATTCGCTAAGCTATTTGGCTAGGAATGACTATTACATGAAGGTCATTTGTTAAGAATGTTTTGATTGTCACTTTGTTTCTGTATATTTGTCAATCTTACATAGAGCATTCATTACTCAACAGGCGTCATTCCTATTTAATTATAAAGTTGACAAAAATAGACTTGGACCCTAAAATAAATCAAGAAGTTCAGAGAGAATGCTTCCTGTCCCCTCCTTTCCAGCACTGCACTCTGTATAAGATTCTTATTGCTAACACTTCCCTGTACTGTCACGTGATTTGAATAAGATCTATAAAACCAACAGATACTTGTTGGAAAATGTCACTCTACCACAGGAGCTAACTCATACATGTGGTAGCATTTTCTGAGATAAAAAGCTTTGGCTATCAAGTAAAAACAGCTGTCATGAGATTTATGGCAATCTGTCCTTACAACCAAAAATTATGCTGCTTGAATTTGCAGAAAGAAAGAAAGAAAGAAAGAAAGAAAGAAAGAAAGAAAGAAAGAAATGGCTTGGATCCCAAGGTTGCAGAAGGAGACATTTCCATCTTTCCCAGAAGCCCGCTAAAAGTCTCTCCCAAGGCTGAGGTGAGGTGCAGGGCAGTGGGGTGGGAGAAGGAACTGCAATATATATATATATATATATATATATATATATATATATATATATATAAAATGAGCGCAGGTAACTTCTGAGGGTGAGGCATGCTTCCAGTTTTGAACTGCTTCTTGCTTCATAGCTCACCCCATTCAGAAGAACCCACCAAACTTTCAGATGTCTGGGGGAATACAGGAAAGTGCTCTTTTGCCAATCCCTTTCTCTGAGCACTTATTATGATCCAATACATTGTTGTAAATTACTTATGACTGGAAACTTAATTATTGTTGCAAACTTAATTATAACTAAGGATGAGACTGTTCCAAAGTTGAAAAAAGGGTGTTTTTAAGTTGAACTGCTCAAAACACTATATCCTAAGTGAAAATGCTAAATTGAGAGAAGGAAGTCACAGTAACGAGACATCTGTGACAGAATTGCAACTTTTTGGAGAAGAAAATATATTAATGTACATGTGTACCAGTGTTTTTCAATAACAAGTGTGTCTTTTTCTGAAATCTGACTGTATCCATCAACCAGTGGACCATCCAGAGCAGATTTGGTGTGGATGAGAGAGAGAAGAGGCGGGATGAGGAGAGGAAGGAGAAGTCTCTATGCACAACACTGGATCTTGCCCTACATTTTTACTCATAAATATTTATTTTAAGTCATTTATTTACTGCATGGCCTTCCATATATTCCCTTTATGTATTAATAGTAATTAGTAAAAATTAAAACTAACAAAATATAGTTGTAACAAATGCATTTATATCTCAGGCTACATTTAGTCAGTCTTAATAGATATTGCATACTTTCTTAAAACCTGTTATTTTAACCATATCTGTTGCACTGGCATAAACCATATACATGGGTTTAAATAACCATTTAATTATTACTATAGCCAAAACTGGTCTGATATAATTTTGATAATGTAGTTGTTATTTAATCATTCAAAATGCAGACTTGTTTCACATATTAACCTTTCTAAGTAAGAGGTTTTTTATGAAGAGAACCATTTGGATTTGAAAGACAACACTGGTATGTTGACATAATTCAGGAAAATTTATCCTGAGAGTCATATTAATAATTCATTTTTAAAAAATCAAGTTCTTTCTACACTGAGAATTTGAACAAATTCACCTGTTATTATTATTATTTTTTACTAGTTCAAAGAATTGTGTTAATTTGCAATGGGAGCAAAAGCCTTCTTTTTCTCATGCATCTTTAGCATGTAGTGCCAGCTTGTTAATTCATTAACAGGAGCAAGAAGTATTTAAAGAACTGATCATTATTCCAGCATCCATTTCAGTGGCCCACTTTGCCGGTATGTGATACCTGGTTTGATGATCTCTGGGACATCCAGAATGTTGCCAAATGAAGCAGTTTTACGATGGCCTCGTTTAGGTTTGGAAAAGGCTGAAAAAACACATACACACATACAATACACATGCAAACGACTACAATTTTAACACAAATCATTCAGACTAAAACTGCACCTTTTACTCAACTTGGTTAAACTTGGAGACCATGCAAAAAAGGTCATGCAGAATGGTCTGCACAGCTTTCCATTCATGCTCAAAACTGTAAAGCATTTGTTAAGGGCAACAAACATAAGTACGGTCAACAACGTAACACAGCACTTTATTAGTTATAGTTAGAAAGACAAAATCCAAACAAACAAAGCGGAATGGTAAAGGAGAGAGGGAAAACCAAAGTCTGGTCACAAAATAAACTAAACTGTCCACCGGCTCCACTTCACTAATATACTAATAAGATGTCTGCCACATGTGGCAGTCCAAATATTTTCTAAAAAGTGTTCCTCTCAAAAGATTTTAATGAAAACGCCTATACGTTTTCAAGAAAGCTTTTTTGATTTACGTGCACTAAATTGCCAGGTTATTCCCTGCCACCCACTTTTCAGCTGGAAACTGACTGGAACTGCCATTTTGAAGGAGAGTCAGAATCAGCAACCTCCATAATATTAAACACAAATGAAAGATTAAAATGATGGAATATAAGTATTTTCTGGAAGTGAAATGTGTAATGGAAAGCTCTGGAATTAAATACAGCTGTTAATGCTACCAGTAACATAAAGAAGGGTGGTGACAGTGGTGGTATAATGGCCCAACGAGTTAAGTTAAAAGCTCCTTATTAAGAACAAATAACAGGTCTGGGAATGCTGTTCTATAAAAATCTTATGAATACGGTGGATGAGAATCTAGCAATATTTAGTGCCTTCACCAATCCTTGTATACCATCGGGTTCACTGATATGTATGTATTGTATGGTACTTCTAAGTTGGGGTAAGTTTGTTTTACAGTATTGTATTCTATTCTATTTCTAAGATGTAACATGCCCTGGGACCTTATGGAAAAGAGTGGGCCACAAACATAAATAAATAACAGTAATATTGCCAGCTCCAAATATAGATTACTTCTGGACTAGAATGTAGAACTGCGGGTATAGGGCGGTATATACTACTACCACCACCACGCCTGCTACTACTAATAGGATGAACATAGCAGATCTGACCATGGGCAACATTCCCTGTAGTTAAAAGATTTAAATTCTGTTGCTTTAGCCAATTGCTTGCATTAAGAGCATATAAGCAGGAGTTGTTGCTCTCATTGGTTTTCTAATAGAGGCCACATATCAATCTTTAAAACATTTATTTTATTCTAAGCACCATAACTTCTGATTTAGACAGTCATGGAATTGGAGCATTCTGCTCCACCACATTTACATAAACATAATTAGATGATCTCCATTTTGAAGTTTCTCCTGGAATTGTATGTTATTGATTTGGGTACTTGACATTTTCAAATTAGCCTTCTTTAAATCAAAAGGATACCCAGATCAAAATCTAAGAACAAATAATTGCCTCTCAGTTTTCTCTACTGCTCCACTGAAGTCAGGAAACTGATCTAGTATAAAAACTAATGACAAACCAGTATCAGTTCCAGTGTGTATATCTGTTTTATGTCACCTAATGAAGTGAGTGTGTAGTCAAAATGTAATTTAAAAACACAATCCTGTCTACTAATAAATTCATGTGTATGAATGTTCAGAAGAGAACCTACGATCTCAAAGGCTGGGATTTAGTCATCCCATTTGCCTGTTGAAAACTTTGCTTCATCGTTGTTCGGCCAGTATCTCACCAGAAGTAAGCAACAGAAAGGTTGATGGATAAAATAAAAATGTCTGTTTAGTAAGGGCACATTAACATGTTCAGAATACCAATAATTTTCTATAGTACAAAAAACCCATCTTTAATATACAAATAGATTAAACAACTTCGCTTTAGTTATGTCAATCCCAATTAAGCTGTGGTTGCCTTTTAGAATAAATTATGATATTATAATTAGCGACATAGTACATTTTAGGTACTCCACTAATTTACTAAAAAACGGAAATGGAAGCCTTATTTAGATCCTTTCAGACCTCAAGCCAGGGTAGAAAAAAGTGGGTGCTCCGGCCCCATTTAGGCACCTCCCTCTGCACAACACAAGATTAACGCTGTCAAATACTCCAGACATGCTCTCTGCCTCAGCTTTGATCATACCAAATATCTGAGGGGCTCCTTGAGAAGGTTCACTTGGAAGCCCCTGGCAACTCTGATCTATTGTGAGCAGCTGGGAGAAAGGCCCTGAAACAAAGTCTGGACACGCACTTTGCCTTTGTTCCCACGCTCTGAGACAGCAGCTTCTGCCTTCCAACCATTTCAGGATGATGAGTAGGCATGCAATTTTCTGTTCTGTTTATGAATTCTGTGCATTCTGGCCATTGAGGCATCCTTTAAATCACAGACTTGTATTCAGAGTTCATTACAAAAGGCCATACACAACACTTTTTAGTTACGATATAGTAAAGAGTAACTAGAATTCTCTACAAAAGATCACCGTATTTTAATTTAATAATAACTACCTTACGTATGCACCAGTTTCCTCTTACATGTGGAGAATTCCAGTTTTTCAATTAAACCAGCTGTTCTTAAAATGCAGAAAATATTTGAATTCCAGGCAAATGAAAACATTCAGTCCTAAAGGGAACTGCATAGGTTTAGAAAAATAAAGTGGCCAACTTTAATAGTCATGGACATACCCAGAGAAGGCAAAAATAATTGCATATATACCTCACTCATCTTCTTGCAACCCAAGTGCACTTAACTGAGAGTCAGACTGCACCCAGCATAACCCGTTTCAATGGCGAAGGATGGGGATGGGCGTGTAGAATTAAACAGCATCACAAATGTGCACAGCTGACAAAATGATCTTTCTCTCCTGCAGTCCTCAGGTAGATACATCTTGTGCCAGCAAGCTCCACTGGTGCAAGGTTCATCCACCTGATTGTGGATGATTTTCTTCTCCTACAATGCAGCTCTCTCTGTTCATTTTGGTCCTATAGCCCCTGGTAGAACTTATTGATCTCAGTCCCATTTGCCTAGCTGTTTAGTAAGATTCTTTTACCTGTGGTAGCAGCAATTCTTGCTTCAATTTCAGACATATCAGCACTCATTCGTTTGCTTTCTCCTGAAACAAGGGTTGACTGCGGTCGCCCACGAACTTCTGACAAGCTCTCGACACTGCTACCGCGAGATGGAGGTAAGCTCAAACGACCAGGCTCTCCCTGCAGAAAACGAAACACTTTACAATGATTCAAAAACTAATTGCAGAAATGGGTGAACAAATAAAGTTTGCATGACTAATACATCTGCAGCTGCCATTTTCATTTAGTTCTTAAGATGATATGCAAGCCCATAATAACCTCTCTCAGAAGAAGAGTAGGCAGAAGGTTTATGCTTCTGTTAAGGTATAAACATATGTTTAAGGCATGGAACTTATTTTTTATGCTCTCTGCAAACCTGGATCTCCATAACAAAACTAGTAGTAGTTAGATTTGATAAATGTCTTTAAATCTTGTGTATTTTTTTTGTCACAAACTCTGAATAGGTACTTATTGTCAGAGTTTTAAAATAATTTAATATGTATTTTTCAAGCATTAATGGTTAGGGAGATCTCATTATTTTGATTTTAAAGTTTCCTTAATGACTATTATTTCTATGTTCTTACCGACTGCTTTGCTGAATTTTTCATCTGCTGGGCCAGTTTTGACTCCAAGCGTTTAATAGTGTCATTGGTAGCAGTTCCTGGAAAGTCATTTGGTTCCATGTTGGCATCACTCTTGTTACTAGTATTTGTGGAAGTCATATCCATGAAGGAACCTATACATTTTAGAAGTATGTTACTTTACTTGAGAAGTCACTCATGACTACAAAACTACAGTTTTAAATATTGGTTGTATTCGATTTCTTATTTTTAGATTATTATTTTTTTAAAAACCCCAGCTAGACTGCATAACTACAGCCTTAACATATTTGTTAGAGTTACAGATTTATCCCAGTATGTGAAAATCAAATTCATCCTCTCAACGTAACAAATCACTAGTACTAAAGGCATTTTGTTTGGAAACATGACAGGCAGCGCCGCTAATGGATACCAGTTCTGCTGACATAAATCCTTCTTTAGAAGGCTTAGGTGTTTCAGCTAAACCCCGGTTTCAGAATAGCATGATCCTGCATATCTTTTAAATATGGACTGCAAAGTTGTTATCTTGTTTATTTCTTTCTGTGAGTATATGAGATGGATAGCACTAAACTTTATGAGGAATAAATCTGAACATAAAGCTAGCTTCCAGGTAATTTCTCCACATATGAGTTAAGGCATTTCACAGTAACTTTGTGTGAAAAGGATTCCTTAGTCTGTTGAAATCATCATACTGTCAATCAACTACAAGAAAGAATATCTTACACTCTGCAGCACGGTTTATCTTACTGTATGTAAGGCATATCTTACTGTATGTAAGGCATTACTGTATGTAAGGCATTTGAGGCATAAACATTTATGCTTCAAATATTTAAGGCATAAGAAGCAGAACTAACTCTCTCTGGGGAAGGGTTGTATTCAGTGGTAGAGCAGATGCTCTGTGGTCTTTCCAGGCAGGATTGGGAAAGACTACTGTCTGGAATTCTGCTTTCTGACAATCAAGAAAACACTGAGCAAAGAACTGACTCAGTATAAGAGAGCTTCCTGTTCCTATGCTGTCTGCGGGTTACAGCCCATATTAAGAAAATATTAAACACAATGGTTGTTCCATGGTGCCTGAAAAAAACATCTGAAACAGTATGTAGGTGAGTCTTACCATGACAGCTTAGTACAATGCTACAAAAGAAAAAAAGGTTGCTTGTTTCTAGAGTTATACCAAATACTGCTGCGCCAATATGACATCTTTTGCTGTGTTAGCATTAGAATAGACACTGTAAATTGGGAACTCATACTAGTGCAGTGGTTCTGGGCTATGCCTATACCATTCATCTGCTGACACAATGAACAGTAGGACATTGTGCTTGCTTTTAATTCTACATAATCTTAATTAATAATCAACTACTTATGCATATAATCTACTTACCTGTACTAGTAGCAGAGTTGCTTTGGCCTTCATCAGAATACTGACAAGGGTATTGTAGAGGTTCCTCTGCTCCCGGAAAGTACTGCAAAGACGTAAAGGAGGAAAAGCTCAATGATCGACAAATTCATTTTGTGTCCTGGCTCACTGGACAGAACATGAAACAGGAGAAACCAATACTGTATATATTATTTTAGTAAACTCACTAAGATCTTCAACTTGGTTCTCAAAATGTGTGGTTGGATGTTTGGTATAAAGCCAGTTTATTCTTTAACTAAAAAGTCATGACAACATAAAAATGTCAAACAGACATAAGTACAAGGAGAGATGTAGCATGATTCATATGTATGCTACTATCAGGCAAAAGACAACACTCAGCTAACGTTATTATTTTTAAAAGATGTATGCAATCTTTCTACTGTGATATTAAATAAATGGCAACATTTGTTTAATAGCATCAGTCAAAATATACTGAAACATTATTCACTAGACAAGCCTGATGTTCAGTAATGAAAGGCAGTATTCATTTTGCAAAGATGACTCCAAATGTGATTGTAGAAAAGTCTCATAAATAGTTTACTACCACAAGAGATATATGGTGTTGCTGTATATGTTTGCCAGTAATCCTGGCAACAAAGATGTGAACATTTCCATTCTAGGCTTGCATGCCAGCATAATTTCTATTACACATTTCCACTGTAATCTCGCATATTATGCAAATGCAGTAAAGTAATTTGTAAACATGGGTCCCAAGTGGCATGTTACTCCCTCTTTAGTTACTTCAAGAAATTAGATAGCTATCTCTAGATTGCAGCATAGATATTTCCAATGGCTATGAAGGCTTAAGCAGTTATAACAAGATTGTTGTAATTAGGTTGTAAGGCTGAAACTGTCACAGGTAGTTGAAAGAGGATTCCTAGGTGAAATGCTATGGGAATCTGTCCTGGCAAATCTCAGACTTCAAAGCTCCCCACTTTTCTCTTTTTACCTGGCATGAGGATCTTCAGTATCTGCTTTTAAACAAACCAGAGTTCCTTGCTATGACCAAACTTACAGGAACTGTAGTTAGTTTAAACATGATTTATAATCAAAAGTAAGGCTCAAATCATCATTCACTATGGCTGCTAACAAACCATAATTTTAATAAACTATAGTTTGGGCATAACAGTGAAGTGGGTGGTGTTTAAAATTTGAGGCTTCTGATCTCTTCCTTGCAGCTATGACAGAGTGGAAAGGTGAGGAGGAGTACCTGATAGTGAGACTTGTTCTGAAAGTGCTAAACAGTAATTTAGCATGAATTGCAAACTGGGCCTGCATGGAATATTTTACAATGTATTTCTGTGGGTGGGGAAGCAGTAAGAAAAAGTCTCAAATAGAGTAAAAAATATAGTCTGCTGTTTACCTTTGCTTCAGGATGTTCAAAGCAGAAGAGAATTATTCCTCCAAAAAAACCACCCAACATTCTACTAACAAAATTAAGCTAACCTCAATCATAAGATATCAGTCAAATAAAAAATTAAAGAAGGAATGGAAATGTTTCGAAGATTGTATGTTAAAATATTGTTCTAAGAAATAAATGCTACTGTGCCTAGAATAAAAATGTAAAGTATATCTATGATTTGGAAAAGAGAAGAGATAAAAGAAATACAAAGAATGATACATTTGGAGAATGCAAAGATAAAGGTGGAAACAGAGATTCAAAGAAGTCGAATTGTGGCGGAGGGAAGCTGCGGGGGAGGGGGAGTATTATATGGTAAGTATGTAATATTTACTTTCAATATTTTTGGATTGTATTCAATCAATTTTTTTTCCTTTTTTGCTGTTGTTAGCTTTTTTCTGTACTACTTATTTAAACAAAATAAACTATATATAGTTTTAAAATATGCAGAACATTATCCCAAGCCAGCAAATTCTTATGGGCTGGATGTTCTGTTGCAACAAAGTGGTCTTCCATTATCATTCTCTTCTACAATGGTAGTGACTTTTCCATACTTCTCTTTCCCCCACTGCTTCCAAAACATCTACTTTCCATGCCTTATATAAGCCAGTCCTTTCAGTACATTATGCCATATGTAAGAAAAATGTACCTGCATCAAATGTGTCATTATTTTGACAATTTCTTCCATTGAAGGTCGTTGCGAGGGATCTTTTGACCAACAGCGAGTCATTAAGCTCTCAATAGGCTTGGGTAAATTTTTTATCAGTGGTGGCCTAGTACCTACAGGGAGACCATTAAGAAAAATACATTATAAAATTGTACAATGAAGTTGTAAGAATTCTACACAAAACAAACATATTTATCCCATTGATTATACTGAACTAACCATCCTTGACGATTTCAGAAAATTAACAATACTGTTGCTTTTTCAACAAAATAATCTTGCGGCTTTCCATCTGCTATCCATGCAACATTGCAACTTGAAAGATTTCACAGGAGTGGATATAGGGATTATTCTACCACTTCACTAAATTGCTTACCGAAAAGGTATGCCAATTTATGAAGTGGTACTTGGGTTCTGAATGAGAAAAGCATTTTACTTGAAGCAAATGCTGTATATCCTCTCAACTGAGGATGGGAAACGTTTGGCCAGTAGGCCAAATGCAGCTGTCAGAGGCTTCCCATTCAGTCCCCAAAGCCTTTTTTACTCCCAACCTGGCTTCTGCCAAGACAGCACAGAAGGCAGCAAATTGTTGCAAGAAGGTAAATTGGGACCTAAACTGAGTGCTGGAAGACATTTTTCCACCTGGCCTGGGAGGGCAGGGCCCTGACTGACTGGGGTGTTGTTTAGGGGGTTTTGTGGCGGAGGGCTTATTGCTGTTGTTCATGTTAAATCACAACATCCAAAATTAAGATACAATGAATTAAGCAGAAAATGTTTAATTTGGCTATGTACTTTTTGATGTTTTGTTTAGGACTACTTGTTATGTTTGTAGTTATGCAATTTTTAAAAAGTTGTAAATTGCCCTGAGCATGGTTTTAACTTTGGAGAGGAGGCATACAAATAAAATGATTGACTGATGAATCAATCAGTCAATCCATCCATCAATCAATCAATCAATCAATCAATCACCTAATGACCATTTTACTATTTAAAATAATCCCCTGCCTTCTATGCGACTAGAGCAGATAAGAGTTTAAACAAATGGATTTGCCCCTGGCTGGTCTACTTTTGCCCCAATCGTGCGCCCGTGAATTAGGCACCAGAGTAATGCACTTTACTGAAAACTTGTGGCAAATACATACACACACACACACAAAATAATAATTCAGAAATGCTACTTGTCAGTTACCCATTAAGTTTGAACTTACCATTGTGAACTGCCCACATGATTCGAAACGCAGGACCACCAATCTCATCAAAAGGTTTTCTACGGGTAATCACTTCCCAAAGAATAATACCCCAACTGAATACATCACATTTTTCACTGTAATTGCTACCTGAAAAAAGGTTATTCATATAATTTATATCCTTTTAAAAACAAAATGTGTCCCTTCTCAAACAATATATTTTCTGAATGTTAGTGACAAAACTCAAGGTGTTCCATGCATTCAACTCTGTATGAGATGCTACAACACAGGTAAAGAAGAAGTTCCCCATGAGCAACCAATGCAAAAAGCAGGCTTGAAGTTACTATCAGCTGTGTTCAAGTCTGTGGGTCAAGTTAATCGTGGGGTGTGCCATCAAACAGCTAATCTCTGCAGAAAGTAGGAATGCATTCGGCTGATGGGTGGTTATTTCAAGCCTGTTGATCAGTGATGCTTCAAAGCACCCTGTAGGGCATGGTGTTTTGAAGTACTGACAATTATCACTTGACATCACTGTGATGTTCGGTGGAAGGTGTCAAGAAAATGATTCTTTTGCTTAGGCCTCTGGTCTGTGCGAAGAAGTTACTTTTCAGTAATGGAGTGAGCTCATCAGGTTGAAGCACTATGTTATCTTATGCTGCTGTGCTTCAACATCAGCAGTGAGGCCTGCTAGTTGAGAATGGGGGTTAGTGCTTTATGGAACTGATAGAGTTAGGAAGTTAGCTTTCTTATTTAGTCTGATTTGTAATTCCCAGTGGTGTTTGTCAATTGGGGTTTTGATCTGTAACTTTTATGGCTCTTTTGGTTCTGTCATATGCTGCTATTTTCATTCTACTTCCAGTCTTTTCTTTTTAATAAATCTACCTCACTTATGTTGCTATCTGTCTATTTTGGGTAATGCCTTGGCACTAATTCTAGTTCCTAATCTCTTGGTTACCGATTACTAAGTAAGGTGGTTAATCTGAGGCTCAGGGAACAGACAGTCCTGTTTCAGCTGTTGCTTCTTTGGAATCTTAGGGAAGTTTCCAGTAAGGTCTGGGAGTCTCTTGGCCCAGGCTGGTTGCACTTAAGGAGTAATGGTAGTGTAATACCTTGCAGGGTTGGTTTTATACCCTGAATATTTTGAATCACCAAAGACAGGGTTCTGGGTTTGGGGGAGGGGCAAGTTATTGACACGCAGGACTACCCAACTGTCAAATTTGACATACAAAGCACAGGAAAGGTTCTCCCACCCCCCCTCTACAGTGGTGCCCCGCAATACGAATGCCTCGCAAGACGAAAAACTCGCTAGACGAAAGGGTTTTGCGTTTTTTGAGCTGCTTCGCAAGACGAATTTCCCTATGGGCTTGCTTTGCAAGACGAAAACGTCTTGCAAGTTTGTTTCCTTTTTCTTAAAACCGTTACAGTAATACAGGGTGCATTGCTTGAAGAGGTGCAGTTGCGACTTGACTTTGAGGAGCAACTCATAGCACGCGGTGTGGTAGCCTTTTTTGAGGTTTTTGAAGACTTTGGTGATTTTTGAAGCTTTTCCAAAACTTCTTTTGCAGCCATTTGGTAAGTTAAACTTTTAAAACTTTTTTGGGGGTTTTTGGATTTTGGGTTGGGGTGTTTGGAATTCAAGGACTTGGTGTTGGGGAGGGGTTTGCAAGAATCTGGAAGCTTGTGTGTTTTTTTCTGCATTTTTATGATTTTTTGTGACCATTGGGCCACTCTGCTGTTTTTTTAAAAAAAAATTCTGGGTTTGAATTTCTGTGTGGTGGGTGGCTGGGGGAACAGTTGACGAGGGGTTTGCAAGAATCTGGATGCTTGTGTGGTTTTTTTCTGCATTTTTATGATTTTCTGTGACCATTGGGCCACTCTGCTGTTTTTTTTAAAAAAAATCTGGATTTGAATTTCTGTGTGGTGGGTGGCTGGGGGAACAGTTGAGGAGGGGTTTGCAAGAATCTGGAAGCTTGTGTGGTTTTTTCCTGAATTTTTATGATTTTTATTGTTCCTTCAATTTTTGAAATGCTCTTTACAGTATGTGTGACTTTAAAGAGCACTTAATAAACTCTTGTTGTACCAAATTTGGCTTTGTTTGGACTTTTTTTGACCATAAGAACGCATTAATTGAATTTCAATGCATTCCTATGGGATTTCATGCTTCGCAAGACGAAAAATTCGCTAGATGAAAAAACTCGCGGAACGAATTAATTTCGTCTTGCGAGGCACCACTGTAATTAATTTGATCAATGCCAAATATCTGGGGGGAAATATTTAACTAGGAGTCCCTTAAATTCTCTTAGTACAACAGTTGATGAGTTTTCAAAAAAGAAAACTTCTTTGCAAGTAGTTTTGTTAGAAATTTAAAAAGAAATCATTCTAAGCATGTTACAAAGCATTCCTTGAGTGACAGTTCAATGGAACCAAGAGAGTGCATCCTTGAATGGCTTATTACATATTCAGATTGAGAACAGGAGCAAGGAAACTCTTAGGTGACTTCTGAGTGTGTGTGAACTTCTACTACGTTGTGTCCACACCAGGATGCTATTGCATGTGACAAGGCTACACCAATGTCCCTATCCTGCATGCATAATCTCATATACATATCTATTTCAGTGCCACACAAGTGATAGCACTAAGCAGATTTTATAAATGGCAGTATTTGAATTGAATTCCTGCAAGGTTAAATGCAGGTATATATTAATATGGAAGCAAGTTTATTTATTTATTTAATATTTAAGTTTATAGGCTACTTTTCAATGTAAATATGCACAAAGTGACTCATAACAGCACAAATTACTTTGTCAACAGGTAATTCCCTTCAAGATATATAATTTATGGTGGGTCTACATATATAGCTAATACTTTAACGATTTGGAAGTTTATTGCTTATTGTTAAAATTAACTCAAGGTATTAAATATCTAACTTTTGTTAAATATATTGTTTTTAACCTCCCCAACCCATTACCTATTACAATATTCAACAGGAATACAGAGAAAGAAAAATTACATATGCCCTTGATAAATAAAAATCAGTATAAAAACCAACGAACAATAAAGCTAGTAGTACACACAAAAATGCATATTAGGCATCAAATTACTTTCTTACCTTCAAAAACTTCTGGTGCCATCCAAGCAGCACTTCCCTTATTGTTGGTCATGTGTGTCTGAATATCACAGGCTGTACCAAAATCACAGATTTTCAAAACTGTCCCCCCTGCCACCAAGAGCAAGCTGTCAAACAAACAGAATAGTTTAGGAATCTTGTGACTAAATAAGACTAGTTGCTGCCCTGAGCTCTTTTGGGAAGAAGGGTGGGATAGAAACTTTAAAAATGTTACTACACTAAGGGTGAGATTCTATGGCTGCTGGGAAGGTGTTACAGGAGCCATAGGATAAGATGTTGCCCACCGCCCCCTCTTAGGTGATGCTGACCCCTCTGATGTCCTAGCTCAACCAGTGATGGAGCTCTGACATCAGCAGGGCCAAAAAAGCAAAAGGTTGCTGAAAAGTAGCTAAGATCTGAAAAATCCAAAGTCTTCTGTTCCTCTAACCCCTCCCTCCAGAGCCCCAAACTGGATGGAGATTGACACACTTCTGAGAGGGTCTAAAATTGTTTCTTCCCTTTTCTTTCCATTGTTTTCAGCGGGAGAGAAAATGAAAAATATAGAGTTGTGGTTTTTTGTTTTTGTTTTTTTAAAAAATACAGGTTGGGAATAGAGCATTCGTCTGTGCTTACTACTGCCCTAAGGCAAGCCCAGGAGGTTGCTGGATTTGTATTTCCTTGTAAGCCAGACATTTCAAGATTGCATCCTGAAATCCCATGCTCCATTGAGGAGAATGAAGCAAACTTGCCAGAAGGAGAGTTTTATTAGAGGATTATCATGTTGTTCCAAGCTATTATCAATCACAGATCAGAATAAAGAATGGAGCGCTATAATGGGAGTTCTTCCATAACTTTCAATAGATTTTTTAAACATTGTTTTTAATGTTAATTTTAAAGAACAGTTTCGTAGAACTGGGTATCTGATGTTATACAAACACATGCTTTGCATGTTGCACAATGAGCACTTGTGCTGAATACCCTATTCCCTGCTAATAAAAAGCACCATAATATGAGCATAGTATCTGCTTTCAGATGCGCTGTAAGCCATTTATCCTCTAAGAAGGGTGGGGGTGGGAAGAAGACTACAAGATTTATTTTGAATGTTAAGAAGCTTAAACAGTGCCCAAAGACCTACTTTGGTGGTTTTAGGTCCCTGTGAATTAGAGCCTTCGGTTTCATGCTATGAAGGTATGCCACTCCCTGGGAACACTGTAAACACCAACTCATTGCATGTGCAGCAGTGTAGTAAGGCAGAGGTTCAGCACCATGTAGGACTGAAAAACAAAGTTACAAACTAAAAAGAACTTAATTGCACATTACAGTTGATACAAAACAAGAATGCAAAATCACAGGTCTGAGTCACTGTTTGTTTCTAGCAGCATTGGACACAAAAAGGTAGCCAATTTAATTTGTGAACTGCACCACTTATGTGAAGAATAAGTTACAAACATCTTGGGTATTGCAGTAACTTTATTTCTAGAACAAAACACAGGGCCAAACTGGCAGACTAAGAATGTGTGCTCAAAGTCATTTGTCCTGAATGGTATTTGTGGTAATGTGAGGGTAGCTCAACAACTATCGTGTCTGGATTTTCACTTTTTGAAATATGGCAGCTCTAGATATTGCAATATAAGGGATGCTTCACTAAGAATACAATTCAATCTCTATGTTTATAATACCACAAGTGAATATGCTTTCAGTGGCTTTGTGGTGACTTAAAAGATGTGGGTTCAGTAACTGTATACTCATAGTAAAGCAATTGCACCACCACAGCATACCTTGCTGATGAACCCACCTTCTTGCTTAGCCAATTTGGTTATATGAAATATCTTCACAACTTTAGGCCCAATGCCAATGGAGTTGATTAATGGTAGTTGAGTAGAATACTTAATAGCGAGTTTTGATTTTTTTTTTTAAGTAGACAAAACAAGAACACATTAATTCACATTATAAAAATCAAACAACACTAGAAAGAAATTGTCACTTCTACAGCTTTGGAATTATAGTACAAATTTCTAAATGCAACCTTGCATTTTAGTTAAGTGTTTTGGATAATGCAACTCAAGAGAGAGACTCACCATTATAGAGAGAACCTCCTTCAGCATATTCCATAACAAGACAAACCTTTGTGGAAAAATCAAAGTGTTAAGTTAGAAGACACTTTTGATTTTTATGTAGAAGAAAATCTTTAAAATAGGAATGTTTTTTAAAAGTTCCCTATCTAAACTCCTGTGTGGATTTGTGGGTTCCAAATTGCCTGATGTTGTTTGTGCAGCGGCAAAAGTAACTTGGGATAATTTCATGATCTTTTTTCGATTTCTGATCATTGCAGATAGCTTCATACATATAATTTGCTGCAACTTTGATTTCCTTCTGTTCTTACACGATATCCATCCAGCCCTACTTTACTGATGCACACATGGGTTTGTGCATATTCATGAAACACAGCACACACAAAAATCTTGATGCACTTCTATGTTGTATTTCAGTTAATTATCACTTGTGAACATTGGTAATGAAGGGGGGAAAGAACAAATGAAAATAAATTAACTGGTGCACAGTTCTAAAACTAATTTTAGAAATTATTCATGTGAATTGGAAGGGGGGCAAAAGAAAATCTTGGGCCAAGTGAACCCATAAAACATAACCTGGGAAACCTGATTATTCCAGGTTTATTGCTAAACAAATAGCAAAAGCATATCCAACTTATACACACATTTTCATAATAAAAATGGTAAAAGTCAGTGCAGTATGTGCAAGTAAGCCAACTAAGGAACTATTTGCTCTCGTATTCTTACTTAATGCAAGCAAAACTTTTAATCATAAAATATTTAGCCCTACAAAATATTGTATTGTGATCTCAAAAACAGAAAAAGTGCAACTTACTGGGTTCAAACAAGCTCCATATAACTTGACAATATTAGGATGGTTCACACGTGACAACTGTCGAAGCTGGAATTTAAGAGAAATAATGCATTTAAAGGCTACGTCCTTAATTTTAAAAAGTGATCTTTTCTAATCTTTGCTCATGTAGGATTCACAGCTGAATGCTAAAACTGGTTTGATGCTGTATGGTATTTTACACAGACCTGGAGAATGAACTGTGGTTTAGTTAGTGCAAAGCAGATACCTCACCTAACACTAATTTTTTAAAAAAAATTACTACCAGTTACCCTCCCCCTATGCAACTTTTCAGTGAGAAGGACTGCTATGACTACCCTTTGGATAAAGTTTGTGTTATCTGTGGTGGCCCTTGGTTGCCACTACTCTGCCAGTGACAGAGTAGTATTGTAGTATTGCACATATACAACAGCATCTGAACATAAAATCAGGTTGAGCATAAAATCAGGTTCTAGAAACACATTTAGCAGATTATCCTTTGCAAGCATTCAGTTCTGGGTGACCACTGTCCCAATCATAGCATGATGTGAGACCCCTATCCCCCAAGTCCTCTCACCACAGAAAAATCTGGAGGGGGAACTCATGGCTTCTGATTGCCATTAAGAATGAAAGTGAAAGGGTGACCCCACCCCTGTCCGAAGTCCACAGCACATACAATAGGGGAGGGATAGGTGGAGACCACAAATAATGGCTGCCTAATCTACACACGTGTTAAAAACGTTGTAAAATGTGTTTTTTTAATTGTTTTGAAAAAAGCATTGAATTTGCTATAGCTCACAGTCACCATCTAGTGTCACAATTGTATACTGCACTTTACAACACATTCAAAATGTTTTATTTGCAGCTGAGTCCCTGGACTAATTTTACATCAATACACATCCTCTGAGAAGAACAATAGTCTTTAGCTATAGGTAGAAAATGTACAGAGATGTTACATGGCAGATAATGGTAGTAGTAACTGGCAATCCTAATCAACACTTTACACAACAGAAGCAAGGCTTGGCCACTCCACAGGACCCTGTGGGGATCACCTGAGCACTCCAATTCAGTCCAGAAAGAGAAATGTAGTTTCATCCCACTCCAGAGAAAAGGGATGGAAATTTGTATCAGGCCTTTGACCACCATGGTTCTGTCTCTCAGGCTTATCCAAGCAGTTGGACTGGGATGGCGTAGAAGCTCCCTTTCAGCAGCTGGACTGGACAAGTTAAGGTCGATGTTTCTGCCCTCATATGCAAAACCAACTACAAGCATGGCTAATAAAAATTACAGCCAGTTATTTGCCTATTTGTGTGAGTCAGGCCTATTGTGGGCACACTATGCTTAATGATGTATTTCTGCATGTTTAAATAGTGTACTAGCAATGGACCATTGTACTAGAGTGTACCACCAACAGAAGTGCCATACCTCTCTCTCTCTCTCACCCCCCAACCCCCTGAAATATTAAGTGTTGATCATCTGATAAATAAGTGTACATATTTAAGTAGTTTGTCACTTTGAGTGATCTGGTTTAAATTACACTCACTTCCTGATCTCTTTTCTATGTGTGGTAGAAAACACACTTTCCCTCTCCACCCTTCTGACACACCCTACAAAATGTGACACCCACATCTAGTGTGACAAGAGTTACCAGCAGGAAGAGTAGGAACGCACAGTCCCATTTCCCTCACCACTGCTTGTAGGGAGAACATAGAGGGGAAGTAGTATTTTAAATGGGCCAGTGTGACTGGAGAAGCAGGACACCAATAAGTCAGCTTTAGTAGTTTGCAGAGTTGTTTTATTCTAAGCAAATGCAGTTGACATAATATCCCTACAGACACGGAAGAATTCAGTCTTTAATCAGCTAATTGAGTTTGCAATATTCCCAAATACAGGTGGTGGGACTACAATTCAGAGGGTTCTTGGAGTCAACTTTCTAGTTTGTCCCTCATCCCAGCAGAGTCCTGAATACACCCCCAGGGGTGTAGAAACTTTTCAAAACACAACTCACAATAAATCTTAAAGGAACATTTTACGGCACAGCAAAAAAATTATGAGCACCCATACAAATTCACAATAGGCTACCTGTTAATCAAATTATGTTAAAAGAATTTTAAAAGGAAAAAATATACCTCTACTATGAAAGCTTTTCGTTCCGATTCACTTTCTATTTGTTTAATGGCCACATCTTTTGCTCGCCATTTTGCTTTGCAAACTACTCCAAAGGCTCCTCTTCCAACAACCTATATAAAAAATCAATTGGAAACTTTCAGTTACATATTTCAATCAAACCATCTGCATAGCTCATATTATTTTCTTTCTTCCTACTATAGAATGACATGGTAAAACATTTATGTTGTGCAAAAGACCTGCACAACTCATGGCTTGCCAAGATATATTAATCGCAGTCTGCCAGATGCTTGGCAACTTCCTGTTTTTGCAGTCTCAGGCAGGCAACAAAACCAAGAGGTTTAAACAAGCTCCTGCAAACCACCATACCTGGATGGTGGGTCATGTTCAGATTTGAGATATTGCTGTACAGATCTGTCCAAAATAATTTCCATCTCTGCATATGCCCTAACTTCTTTCTATCCTAAAAACCTTTCTATCCAGGCATTGACTGATTATCCTGAGTCTCCAGGAGTGTGCAGATTTTTTTATTTTTAAGAAATGAACCTTGGGGATCTTATGCTTCCTTACACACTTCCCATCATTGACACACCAATTTTTTATTTGAATGCAAGATCTCCCTGAGCTGAGAAAATATGTCACTTCTGGCTACCTAGTGTTTATGAAGCTAAGTGCATATGAAAGTTTTAATTCATCCAGGAGATGTGATAGCCCAGATGGAAAAGGTTAGTCCCACAAAAATCAACAGGGACTACTTGCAAGTAAACTTGCAAAAAGGATTTTGACTCTTCCAACTTAAGATACCAAACCCATATTCAGTAGCTAACAGTTTTAAAGTGATACCACCACTGATGGGTCTTGTTGATCTAAAAAGGCTTTGAAGATCAATCTGTTCTAAGTTGCTTTTACGTGGTTTCATTGGCGATACTGTTGATTTACTGCTTTAATGCTGTGTTTAGTGATAATTATTTTATACTGGCTGTTTTATATGTTAATTTCTGTGGCAGCTCCACATATAACACATTGCCGTAATCTAATCTAGAGGTTACCAGAGCATAGACTACAGAATTTAGGCTATCCTTGTCCAGATAGGGGTGTAGCTGGGCCACAAGTTGAAGCTTATGGAAGGTACCTTGTACCACTGAGGCCATCTGAGCCTCAAGCAACAGCAAAGGATCCAGAAATACCCACAAGCTGCGTACCTGGTCCTTCAGAGGGCATGTACCCCCATCAAGAGCAGGCAACCTCCCATCCATCCAGTCTAGGGAACCACTCACTAAAAGTCCCTCAGTCTTATCTTTTATTTTAAAATTATGTGTGTTGAGGTTCCCTAAACAAGTGTGTGTGTTGGGGGTGGTGGCCTTTAAATCTTATTGCGACTCAAATCTTGAGATGATTGCCTCAGAACTAGTTACTCAAGCCATAGCTCAGCTTTCATGCTTGATAAAGTACCACTGGAATATTAGTATTATTATATTTTCAAACCTTCTAAGGAATTCAAGGTCGCTCCCCATTCCATCCTCACAACACGCCTGTGAGTTATGCTCAAGAGATGGGGATCAGCTCAAGATCATTCACTGAGCTTCAAAGTCATGTAGAGATTTGAACCCCAAGCTACTGGTCTAAGGGCAGCCCTTTAAATACTACACACAACCCTGACTGTCATATATTGTCTTTATCTCACCAATGGGTCATGTGTACAATTAGCCTGTAAAAAAATAGTGTGTGTGTTTTGGGGGGCGGGCAGAAGAGAGAAGGTGCAGTTTCAGGAAAGCCTCGAGCCCAGACCCCTCATATAAATTTGCAATCCTACGTGTGCACTGTACTCCACTGGGCTTACTCTCAAGTAATTTTTAGGCACAGGATTACAGCCTCAAGTGTGCGCATGGGGGCAATGCAGGCAATGTTGACTTCGTGCAACCGAGCCTGCCATCCTATATATGCATCCATATATCTCCAAGGGGGAGCGGGGAAACTGTCTTTGGAGTTATGTGGGGCTTACTGCCGAGTTGAGTTACCAAATGTCCCTCCCGGCGCCCTCTCCACCTGTGGGGACTCACCTCTTCCACCTCGATCTCTTTGTAGTCAATTTCTTCGAAGTTGAGCACCGGGGGGGTTTCAATCATGTCCGCAGAGTTGGCAGAAGACATCCCTCCACTTCCAGCGGGTGAGTGTGAGTGTATATGGGGTGTGTGGGGCTGCGCGTCTGGAGGGAAAGGAGGAGAGCGCAGGCCGCCCAGGCGAGGCGGGGACCGGGGCGCAGAAGGGCTCCTCTCGCGGGGCCGTTTCCCCGGGACCCCCAGCCCACCTCACAGCACTCAGCGGGGGACGGAGGGCCCGACGGAGGCGCCTCCTGGGCCGCGGAGAGGCCTCATACGAGGCTCTTCCGCCGGGGCTTTATTGGGGCCACCGGGAAGCCCAGGCCGAGGGGGCCCGGCTCGGCATCCTGCGCCCTCGCACGCACGCAACCTCCGCCTCCACCACCACCCCCGGCTTCCCTCCTTGCTCCGCTCTTGCAGGCCGCGGCCTCTCCTCGGTCGGAGCCTGGGAGTCGCGTCGGCGGCTGCGCCCCCCTCCCTCGCGGAGGAGGAGGAGGTTGAATGAGGAGGACGAGGAGCCGCCGCAGCCGCCGCTCAGAGCCCAGCACCCGCCTCGTCCGACATCGGGGCCGCTTCGCGGAAGGGACTTTCCCCACACGGCGCGCCGCCTCTCCCTTTCCGGCTACTGAGGAGGCCCGGCCAGGGCCACGGCCTGGCAGGAGAAGCGGCGGCGGCGGCGGCACCACTAGCTGCTCCTCCTCTTTCCTTTCGCTCGTTCGCCGCCTTCCCGGAGCTGCTCCGCCTTCCTGCTTGCTTTGCCGCCTCCCAGAGGCCGCCGGAGGAACCCGCGGTCGTCATTTCGCGTCGCTTTCCCCGTAGCCGCGCGCGGGCAAGGGCTTTTCTCCCTCCGGGAGCCGGCCAGGAGGTGTGAGGCTCACAAGGAGTGGGCTGCCTTGGCTTTCAGCGGCCTGGTGCGAGAGAGAGCGGGGAATACGAAAGCGAAACATGGAAGCGCATGTCTCCCTTAGGAGAAGTGCAGTGGTACCTCGGGTTAAGAACTTAATTCATCTTAACCTGAAACTGTTCTTAACCTGAAGCACCACTTTAGCGAGTGGGGCCTCCTGCTGCTGCTGCTGCTGCGCCGCCGGAGCACGATTTCTGTTCTCATCCTAAAGCAAAGTTCTTAACCTGAGGTACTATTTCTGGGTTAGCAGAGTCTGTAACCTGAAGCGTATGTAACCCGAGGTACCACTGTACTGCTCTCTTGTACACCTCTGAGCAGCAGCAGGACAGGCATAGATTTTAGACGGGATGCTTTTCCGCTACCAATGCACCAACGTGCTAGGTAAGAGCATTGCCAAAGAGTGTTGTACTGCACTTATATTGGAAAAAGTCAATGGGCACAAACGGGCACACCTCACTGAGCATCTGACCATGAAAAGGGACTGATGATCACCCTCTTCCTGCCCAGTTAAGGTCCACAGTGTGGCCTGCCACATGCATTGGGCCAATGACATGTTGGGGCAGCCCCATGGTTGTCATGGCAGCAATGAAGCCCTGATAATATGGGAGTTCTAAAGCAGGACCGAAATTAGGCTTTCTGTCAATCGGGTCAAAGATCCAGTTTGGTACCTCACCCCCCCATACATGTTTGCGTACCCACACATACATACATGCATGCAAACAAACAAATAAACAAATAAATAAACAAACACACCCACCCCCCAACACATTTATCTGTAAAGAGCATAAAAAGTAGTCAATATGTCATTTTAATACAAAGGAATCCTAAGAAGTATTATGACTGTATGACCAAAGGGAAAATGAGCAATCCCCTCCAGTAAAAGCAAATTGTTTGTCAAGAGTAGAACTTCCATGTGCATCAATTGTTTATTTGAGGTCAGGTTTTGAATTGGATTTATTTGGTCTCAGGATCATTAAAAGACAGCATTTCTATAAGATCACCCAAGGCCCTCTGGTTTCCTTTTTTCCTTTTTCTCTTTGAGGCTTTTTGTCACCCACCCCCTTCTTGGTTCTGAGAGAACCTTTTCAATGACTTTTGATGTGTAAATTTACTCCTGAGTAAGCTCCTGCCAACCTAGCAGTTCGAAAGCCCGTCAGAGTGCAAGTAGATAAATAGGTACTGCTCCAGCGGGAAGGTAAACGGCGTTTCCGTGCGCTGCTCTGGTTCGCCAGAAGCGGCTTAGTCATGCTGGCCACATGACCCGGAAGCTGTACACCGGCTCCCTCGGCCAATAAAGCGAGATGAGCGCCGCAACCCCAGAGTTGGCCATGACTGGACCTAACGGTGAAGGGTCCCTTTACCTTTAAGCTTCAACAAGATTCCTTTCAATTTTGTTTTTGTTTGATTACTCACTTTAAGAAATGATAATTTTATAGCAATTTTAGGCTCCATGTAAGGTGAAAAAATGCTTTTTACGAGTTTAAAGTAGAAAGTGCCCTTTCATTACAATCTCAATGCAGTAGCAAATCCACAGGGAGTCTTTTGCTTCATGGGGGAGAGCCATGCAACCTCTCCAGATTTTCCAACTCTCCCTCTCCCTGCATCATGTTGTAAATGAGCCTTTTTCAGCTTCTTAGGGGAAGGAAGATGCTAGTGGCTGCCTTCACTTTTTCATCTTTTTCTCCAGCTGAAGCCCTGGGAGGCTGGGAGCCTCAATGGTGCCCCTCTGGAGGCTTCACCTGGGGCAGAAACTCTGCCTAAACACCACCTCTTGAGGTCAGTTCTGTCAGCTCAGGCAGGGAGACTGCTGGGCAGTGAGGCAGGCAGTAAATCAGTGAAATCCCTAACCTGTCCTAATTGCCCAGTGCCAGGAACACACACACTAGATCCCCGCAACTGGGTAAAGAACCTGGAGAGAGAGAACCTGGAGGGGTGGGAAGAGAATTTCTGTAGATCACAGTAGCTTCCCCTCCCCAACCCTCGGTTCTGGCCTGATGCTGCACCAAGTATGCAGATGAGCACAGCTGGATGAGACAAACTCCTCCCTGCTCACCCATCCAGGTCTCAGTGATACAGGACAAGATGGTAGAGGAGGGATAGGCCTGCGGGGATGCTGGGTGGAGATTGGTCCCATCGGTTGCCAGGGGAAGACTGACTTGAAACTGTGATGTTTCTGAACCGTGTGGAATTTGGGATATCAAGAGGCCTCCGTGGCTAGCAGTGCTTTTAACAGTTTTAGCTGGTACTCCAGCTATGACCATTCCTGGCCTGGTATAACCTGATGATAGTGGTCCATGCACTGGTAACCTCAAGACTTTATAACTGTGACACACTCTATGTGGAGTGTCTTTGCATCTGGTCAGAAGCTGCAAGCAGTGCAGAATTGAGAAGCCAGATTGTACACAGGAACAGGCTACTGGCAACATAGAATCATAGAATTGTGGAGTTGGGTCAGCTGGTTCAACCCCCTGCAATGCAGGAATCTTTTACTCTTGTTGAAAGAGTTTCACCGGTTGCCAGTTTGCTACTGGAATGTTTGTACATATTTCAACTATTTTATTGTACTGTAGTAGAATTCTGATTTTTATTTTTTATTTTTGCACACACACCATATATTTCGGTTACATAGTTTGTTGTTAAGGATTATTTGTGTCTTGGTTGTTTGCATATCTGTTGTTCTGTCAGCCTAGTTGTTTCCTGCTGTTGGTGGATCTTCAGTATAGGATTGCACTCTACATTATAGAGCAATCACAAACCATGTCTCCTCAGAAGTTTTCTTCTTGATTGAATGCTATGCAGTCTTAACCATACCTTCTCTACTGAATTGAGACTTAAGTGGGGTTGGGCTTGCAGCCTTAGGTACTACAAAAACATATTCTGATTTTCTGAACTCATGTAGCAAATCATACAGATCTGTAAGTAACAAACTTGTCCAGGTTTAACAAAAAATGAATAAAACTATTGATCCCCCAAACAGATATTGGTAATAATATTGACAGCAATATTATTGCACCGTATGTTTACCCGAAGATGCATTCATAATATTTATTTTCTTTCTCTTTTAAATTTTAATTTGATTGAACACTTTTCAGATACTTCAACACTGTAAAACCAGCATATAATTAAAATAAAGCACACAGAAAATGAAATACCGTACCTGCTACTTTGCGTTTTCTAAAACTTACTTCCGATTCAGTATCGAATATATTTCTTCCCACAAGGTGGTACTGTGGCACTACTGTTCTATGAAATCTTCCCCTTTACGTTACTAAATTAATTCATTTCTGAAACCAACTTCCAGAAATCTTCAATATAAAAGAGTTAAAAAAATTAATCACCAAGTTGGCAAGTTGTTTTTTTAAAAAGTATTGTGTCTTGTTAGTACTTTTGTTTTTACATTGTGAACAGTATTTATACATTTTATTACAAGATAACTCATTTGCAACAATATGTCCTTTTCGTTTTAAAAACTTGAGAGGGATCTTCAGCCAGATGATTAGAATATTATTATTATTATTTAAATGTGAGAAACTTTTGTTGGAAACCTGGGCTGAAATGCTAAAACTGCTAGGTGGCAAACGGTCCAGCTGAACTATCTATGCCTGTTCTGATAACATCCTGAATCATAATTGGTGCAGTGTATGGCTCCACCCAATATCATAGGTATTATTGGCTATTTCAGTGGCATATGAATTTGTGAGGAAGATTTATCTGGGTCTAAAGACTGGTTTTGGAGTATATTCAAGGTTTAGTTGGAAAGCCCCCCTCCCCCATTATTTTAAGAGCATTTGTTGTGATAATTTCCTTTCTTATACTTCATTACAACTGTAGGAAATATGATGAACACGAGTACCTAAGTACAGGTAGCAACCATTTAGCATGCATCCAATTGACATGCGACCACCAATGCATGTGTTTTCAGCTCCAGAAGGGGTGAAATGGGTGTGTGGCGGGGGTGGAACAGGTTTATGACATGGACAATGACCTGGAATGCAACCCCTGTGCAAATGAGGAGTTGCCTGTAAATAGATCCATTTAGGGTGCACTTTTTTACTCAAGTTAAGCTGGCTGGGGGGCTAGGCAACATGGTGCCATCTGGGTGTTGTTGGAAGCCAACTCCCATCAGCCCCAGAAAGCATGGTCAGTGGCCATAGACAATGGGAGTTCTTGCCTAGCAACTTCTGGAAGGCACCATGTTCACTACCTCTGGATATGTGAAATGGTGGAAGCCACACTGCTGGCAGAACACAAGATACACTGCCACTATGACACATATCTCAGCAGAACGGTTTGGAGATGCCTGTAGAAAACTCTGCTAGTACAGTTGCTGTGCTGGTGAAAATGCACCAACAAAATGGCTAAAATAGAGTGGATTCCTGGGTGGGATGGGTGTGTCATAGGAAAGAAGGACACCTACATCTTATCCTGTACTCACTGAAACCATGACTATGCTTCTGTCAATGGTACATCTTTACACTACCCTCAGATCCAATGCAAGGAAATTCTTCATTGCCTTTTCCTTTTCCTTTTTACCAATAAACACGTTTTAATCAACTATGCATTTTTGTAGACATTAGTTGTCTGGAGAACTGTGCTGCAAAATATGGAGAAGTGTGACTTTGAAAGGATGGCTGTGTTTCAGAAAGTGCAAATTAGTCAAGTTCGCCTGTAAATGTGAATGGTCTTGAATTTCTCCCCCATCCCAGATGAAGGCGATGGACTACATGGAACTGGCGGAAATGACTGGCAGAATCCGAGACCAGGGAGAAGAGTCCGTGGAAGAAGATTGGAAGAAATTTAAAGATTATTTACAGAAATACTGCAAAATTAATGAATGTTAGAATGATGTCGGAATGAAGTTAAGTGGTTTTAGCAGCAATGTTACAAAGGAGTATGTAAAAATGGATTGTTAACAGGTGAGAATCTAAAGTTATAATATATTAAGTTAAAGGATTAAGATAAAAACAAAGAGGGAAAGGATTTGCTGAATTAACTAACTGAACTGGAATACAAAAAAGGGAGGTGAGAGGAGGTCAGGGAAACAAGTGAACGAAAGACAAGACATGGAAAGATTGATTTGTTTTTAAATGTTTTTATTTTTCTGTATTTTGTATTTTTTCTTTTCTTTTCTTTTTTCTTTTCTTTTTCTTATTTTTGTAACCTTTTCTGAAACTTTAATAAATATCATTAAAAAAAAAAAAGAATTTCTCCCCCATCCCTACTTATGAGTAGGTGGTAAAAGGTGACTTTCGCTTTTACTTTAAGGGATGCCTGGGGATTTGCAGAAATGGAATAATAGCTGCTTGTGTTCCTGAGCTATGGCAACCCTAGTGTAGGTCATTTCAGGATAAGGAAGTTGTTTTAGATGAATAATTATTTAGAGTAACTATAACAATAACAATATGCAAGCAAATATTTCTGTTCCTCTCTAGGAACCTAAATGAAAATATTGATGTGTATGAGAAAACGTAAAATTCAAACTACAAGAAATGTCACCTATATGCCTCTTGGAGAAGTGTAACATTTTCTTGCCTTTCCAATGTTTGTTTTATCATAATTAGTTCAATATATACTATGTGGATGTAGATGTTTTAAAAATGCATTTTCCTTAAAGCTCTTAAGAAATTATTTTTTAACTTTTCAGTGGCCTCTAAAACTTTTAGGTCTGCTGTTTTTCTGGGTTGCTGGGACTGTTTTATTCATCCAATCAATGAATATGTACCTTCATCTATTAAAATTGGCCTGCACCAATTAGTGAACTATTGATGAAGTGGCCAATTAAGCAGACTAACATTTGCAGCCTCATTTTAGACCACACGCTTAACTTTCTGTCTCCTCCTTTCCCCATCACCTTGCATTGACTATCACTTTTATTACTCTTCTTTTAAGGGTCTTTCAAGTATATTCCTGTTTCTGCTTCTACTATTCCTATTTTCTGTGTTTTGTTCTGAAGCTTCTTTTTCACTATTCCATATGCTTAGCATGTTCCTGCTGTGAGTAGTCCTCTTTTCAAGTTTGTTCCTGCTCATGGTATCCTCATACTCAGATGACGTGGAGCACTCCAAGCCAAATGTCGCAAAGGAACAGCCCATGTTGAGGGACTATGCTGAGGCATATCAAGTGGATCTGGGACCCCCAGGGGAGATGGCAACCAATGCTTCCCCTCAAGATGCAGATATGCCCTGCTCTGACCTAGAGGTGGAGACTGAGCAGCCACCAGAAGCAGAAAAGTGACTGCATGAGTAAAAGGGTATTTGTGAAGAAGCCACTCCTCATGAGTACTCAAATTCCGTAGTTCACACTGATAGCCAGCAGCTGTGCTTTGAAGGCTCAGGCTTAAAAGCCTTCAGTTCTTGACGCAGAGTGATGGAGCAACTAGCTCTCAGAACTGGGTAGCTTCTGACTGCCTGGCTCTTCAGTGGAACAAGATCCATGCTTGGACCTTGGACTTCCATCAGAGTATGCTCCAAGCAGTGGTTAATTCTTAACCGTTCTGTTTTTGTGCCACCTGAATCAGGATATTGCCTACCAGTCACCTTCTTCATTGTCCTTAATTAAACCTGTCTCTCTAAACAAATTCTTTCCCTTTGCATTTCACCAGTCGTAATCCTTTCAATTTCCCTTTGCTGCAGCAGCCCTTTGTGTCTCATCTTATATTTATTTATCTCTTGAGTTATTTAGATACAAAATCTTTGGAGACTGTGGATCTTGCCTATCTATGTGAAGCACTCAGTTATGAATAAACAATTACACTAATAATAATTTGTTAAATGCATGCTCGGCTAGCAAGGACAATGTCATTGTCAGAGTTTGATATATGTCACAGATCCTCCCACAGATTACTTGTCAAGGGCTGTGACAAAATGGGGACAGAGACAAAATGGGGACACACACAGTAGAGCGGATAATAAATGACTGTAAGTCCTGGAACAACAACAACAAAAGGACATTTACACAAATAGAACTGGTTTCCATGTGTTTTAAGGGAAATTTATGACTATTTGATAAAACTGCTTTGGACAACTTCTCCTCCAGTTCACATGGACTCCTTCAAAGCAGGGATGTGCTACTTTTCAACATAGCCACTCTTGGGTAATCAAAGGGCTGGGTTCAAAGGCCTTGAGATTTGTCTCTCCCCTTCGCACTTGATTCTTCACCCCCCTCCAAAACCAACAGATAACATGTTGAAACTGTTTTTTGAACAGCAGAATGTGTGTGTGTCCCCCCAGTATTAAAACTCCCTGTAGAGAGAAAAAAATAGTCTTTCATAGAGAATAAGGATTCCAGACTAGTTCTTCCCATTGTCAAGGGCTACTTCTAGATGACCTGTTTATTGAGCATTCATCCTGATTTGCTTGTTTATTTTGTATCAAAGCAAGTGTTATTCCACACTTCAGCTCACCACTTTTCCCATCACAAAAATTCCAGCCTTTGGGGGAAATAGAATGTGTGGCACAATATTTCCCGGTCAATTATCCTAGTGCCAGTATATGATTGAAGCCCATCCAAAAATAGTGAGAGTCTGGAAGAACCCTAAGAGTGTGGAAGTTGATATATCTGTCCATCTATCTGGATCAGTAGAACTGTCTCAAATACAAAACTAGCAAAAACAGTTTTAGCACAGTATCTGTTTGTGTCCCCATTGGTGTACTTGGGGCTTTAAAATTTCAGCAGCACCCTGTGTGCTGCCAAAATTCAACATTCCCCCACCTCTTGCCTTCTGTTGTTTGTCATTGTTGTGGCACCTCCTGCAGCACTCAGTGTGGTCGAACCAGTTGTGCTCCCCTAAATCTGCCTCTGATGTCCCAATCCCTGTAGCCCTCCAGATGTTGTTAGTCTGCAATTCCCATCATCCCTGGACATTGCCCATGCTAAAATCCAACAAAATCTGGAGAGCCACTGGCTCCCCTTGGTTTTCCTTGCAGAGGGGATGAGCCGGTATTTCGGTACAGTACTTTGATAACTAAAAACTCTTGTCTGATATTTCTACATTGTATCATGCAAATCCTCTCTACCCCTCTCTCCTCTCTGAACCAGCATGAGTATGTTCTAACTGAAGCTGCTGTCCTAAACACATATACTCATGAATACATTCCACTGAGACTACTGGGATCTGCTAATAAACGTGTTTATTATCACAACCAGAGAGAGTAATCCAAAGTGAAACATCTGTTAGACATGCTGTTCCATACGGCAAAATTAGTGTTGCTCTGGGAACCTTAGCTTTTGTACCTTTAACACTATACATCCACTGTCTTGGTAGCAATCCTTGCTATCTGAATTCAGCACTCATTTATCATTGAGTAACCCTTTTTCCTTTTTTAAAAAGAAAATGGCACAATCACTTGCACATTTGCTATGGCTCCCATATGATATAGTGAAACTTGTGCAGGGTACTTTCCAAGAGTGCTATGCCTACTATTTCAACGTTATTTGTTGTGTACATATTGTCTTTATTTTATATCCTGAAAATATTTTTTTTCAGGGCAGCTTACAACATCCAGTTTAAATAATACAATAAAGTTCAAAGCGAAAACATCCTTGCATAGAAATAAAGCAGCTAATAATTTCCCAGAGTTGCCAACCTTTTTACGGCGCTGCTGGCAACTTTGCAGGACTGGAGGAGGCGGGCAGCGGCTGGAGGGTGGCTCATCTGGCGGGGAGGAGGCGGAGGCTCCGGGTGCGGCGCTGCTTCAGTGAGGCGGGTGAGGGCGGTGAGTTGATGCCGGGAGGTGCCGCGCCCAGCCTCCGCCTCTTCCCTGGCACCCATGCCGTGGTGGCCATGGCAGGCAGAGGCTCTGAGCGCGGCGCTGCTTTGGTGCGGCATGGCGGAGGTGGGCGAGGGCAGCGAGCTCATGTCGGGAGGCCTCTTCCCTGGCACCCTCCAGAACTTGGCGCCCCGCGCCACTTGCCTCTATGGGCAAGATGCCCCTGATTTTAACATCACTATGTCCTGGGTCTCCAAGCTTTAAACGTAAAGGTAAAGGTACCCCTGCCCGTACGGGCCAGTCGTGTCCGACTCTAGGGTTGCGTGCTCATCTCGCTCTAGAGGCCGTGAGCCGGCACCATCTGAAGACACTTCCGGGTCACGTGGCCAGCGTGACGAAGCTGCAGCTGGCGAGCCAGCACCAGTGCAGCACACGGAAACGCCGTTTACCTTCCCGCTATAAAGTGGTCCCTATTTATCTACTTGCACTTAAGAGTGCTTTCGAACTGCTAGGTGGGCAGGAGCTGGGACCGAACGACGGGAGCTCACCCCGCCGCGGGGATTCGAACCGCCGACCATACGATCGGCAAGTCCTAGGCCCTGAGGTTTTACCCACAGCGCCACCCGCATCCAAGCTTTAATGGGTAATAAAGCTTTAAAATGTGAGCCTGCCTGGTTTTTTTCTTTTTAAAAATTTTAAATACACAAGTGAACAAAGAGCACATGTGATATATTACATATTACCTAATATTCACCAAATTTATAACTTACTTCTGTATGCTGCCATTGGCTCCTTTGGGAGGAAGAGTGGGATAGAAAATCAATCCTACATTAAAACCATAACTTTAAAGTAATGTAAGTATTTCCTAAAATGCATTTCTCTCTATAATAAAAATGTAAGAATGTCATTTCATAGTCCTCTCTGGACAACTGCATCACAGTCGTGGATTTTCATGGATGGTGTAGGAGCAAAAGTGAAGGCAATCTGCACAACAGCAGTGGCCATGGCATGGGAGAAGGGAGAGACCCTGAGAGGGAGAAAGGTGATAGTTTAAAACAATGTCAGAGGCATGATTAAAATAAGGATAGGGAGAACTGGGAAGAAAATATTTATTTCCACATTTCATCTGAGACATTTATTTTAATCTTTTCATTGTCAATGTTCATTTCCTTTATTACCTTCATGAAGTATAAAAATATTATCACATTTTGGATAAAAGTCCCCCCCCTTGTGTAATTATTTCTTCAAATGATGTCAATTGTACCAATTCTCCTTTCTCTAAGTTTTTCTAAAATTATCATCGGAAAGCTCCTTAGCTGAAAATACCGATACCATGGGGCTTGTTAGCTTCCATTGTAGTTGACAATTCCTCATTTGATAAATAATCACCATTTCCTATTACAACTCTTATTGTTGTAATTTTGTACTTATGTCATAAGTCTGCACTGCCCAACAATTGAAATTTAACATTGTATAGAATGCACTGAGGTTGTGACATAGACTTTTTATGATTGCCCCATATTCCCAGAAAAATTAAGTTTGGTTCCATTAAATGCTGAATCTCTTGATATCTTTTGTCATATACTCAGAGGTAATTTTCTATGGGCATTTTACTATAACATATATAACCCATTATTTTCTTTAGTGTGGTCTTTGGAGATCATTTAGCTTGATTTAGCATTCAGATTTTGCTTTGTCTTGTAAATTGCTGCTGAGTCTCTCTCTGGAACAGAAAGTGATACTGAGTTACTAAACAATGGCAAGAATGACTCATATCACAGACTTATTTATGAGAACTACTAGGAACTTTTATGAAAACTACTAGGAACTTTTTATGAGCCCTCACTTAACAAACTAGATGAGCACTTACTATAGTGCATAAGGCTGCAGAGATTAAGAATATTTTAGAGCATTGCCATCATCATCACCATTATTTTTTCTCAATTGACATACCTATTCACACACGACACAGCTATGCCCTTCTTTGGCAAAAGAGAGCAATGGACCCCTGACTGGTTTGAGGCCAGCATTAAGGGCCAGTTAGTTATTGCTGGGAGAAAGGGACACGGGTGGCGCTGTGGGTTAAACCACAAAGCCTAGGACTTGCCAATCAGAAGGTTGGTGATTCGAATCCCCGCGACGGGGTGAGCTCCCGTTGCTCGGTCCCTGCTCCTGCCCACCTAGCAGTTCGAAAGCACGTCAAAGTGCAAGTAGATAAATAGGTACCGCTCCGGCGGGAAGGTAAACGGCGTTTCCGTGCGCTGCTCTGGTTCGCTGGTGCTGATGGGAGTTATAGCACAAAACACCTGGAGGGCACCAGGTTGGTGAAAGCTGTCACAGAGCTCAGGGCTAGGTAAGTTTTTCACACATGGAATAAAAACTGGGATATGAAAGTTCCAGTTCCCTTTGAACCAGCCTGGAAAAATAAAGAACAGTAGTTGCTTGTGTTTAATGCTTATAGACTTCAAGCTGCACTTACTAGTACTGCTTAACAATGCAACTTGTTTCCTTTTAAATAAATAAATAAATAAGTAAATAAATCTCAGAAGACTTGCCACCCTCCCAAAGAAAACTCTCTATATCTATCTATCTATCTATCTATCTATCTATCTATCTATCTATCATCTATCTATCTATCTATCATCTATCTATCTATCTATCTATCATCTATCTATCTATCTATCATCTATCATCTATCATCTATCTATCTATCTATCTATCTATCATCTATCTATCTATCTAATATATCTACCAGTTGGTTTGTTTGCAGGTCTGCTAAAGTCTGAAATACAAAATATTAAACCCCATTGAACAAACAGATAACAGATCTTTCCATTACTATAGTTTTGAATCAAAGCTGGTAAAGCACAGAAATGCCCTTTTATCTTCAGTGATATCCAATTAATTTGGTATCGTTATTGCCGAGGCTT